AGAAGGCCAAAGAACACATTACGTCGGGAAACAGAAGCAGATATGTGAAGGATGAATAATCATTAGAAGGAGCTGGAAAGGTTTGCCCAGGACAGGGTTAGATGGATAATGCTGGTGAGGTGCCTATGTTCCTTCGCGAGGAGTAACAGGCGTAAGTAAATAGGTAAATGATCATCCATTTTGTTGTAACGTGTGGACTGCAGGTTTTGATAAGCAGCGTTTTATTGATCAACTCCGCCTGTAGCTCTTCTAGAGTTACTGCCGGTCCCAAGCCCGGGTAAAGGAGGAGGGTTGGGCATGGGGTTAGCGTCCCCATCCCGTAGAAAACTAACTCGCTAAAAAAACGCTTACCAGAAAAAATAATTCAAACCATTTTAACTCTGCCCTGAGAGTTAGAAGGTCTTCATTTAGAAGAATTATGACGCTTCATGGTGAAAGCCGAGTTCCTTCGGAAGCCACGAGGCCGATGCCCCTTCTAACAACCAGAGCAAAAATTTTTATAGGTACATGGAACGTTCGAACAATGTGGGAAACCGGGAAGACCAGCCAAATAGCAACGGAAATGAGGAGATACAACTTGGAAGTACTGGGAATCAGCGAAACCCACTGGACCCAAGCTGGACAGAAAAGGCTAGCTACGGGAGAGATGCTGCTATACTCCGGTCACGAAGAGGAAAATGCTCCACACACTCAGGAAGTTGCTCTAATGCTGTCCAAAGTAGCACGAAATGCACTTGTAGGATGGGAATCCCACGGATCCAGAATCATCAAAGCATCATTCAAAACAAAGAAGGAGGGGATCTTAATGAATATTATCCAATGTTATGCACCCACCAATGATAGCAACGACGACATTAAAGATCAATTCTACGAGCGGCTGCAGTCAATCATAGAGAAATGCTCAAGAAAGGACCTCACCAATCTGATGGGAGATCTCAATGCCAAGGTCGGAATAGACAACACTGGATATGAAGATATTATGGGACGACATGGACTGGGAGGAAGAAACGAAAATGGAGAAAGATTTGCAAATTTGTGTGCATTCAACAAATTAGTCATAGGAGGCACAATATTTCCACACAAGCGTATACACAAGGCTACATGGATCTCACCGGACCACACTACAGAGAACCAGATAGATCATATTTGCATCAACAAAAAATTCCGAAGGACAATGGAAGATGTGAGAACCAGGAGAGGTGCTGACATAGCTTCAGATCACCACCTAGTTGTAGCCAATTTAAAATTGAAGCTAAAAAAGAACTGGACAAGTGGACAAACAGCACTACAAAGGTTCAATACGCCCTCCTTCGAGATACTCACAAACTCAATGAATTCAAGATAGCTCTCAACAACAGGTTCCAAGCCTTTCAAGATCTACTGAAGGAAGAAGAAACTACCATGGAGGACAACTGGAAAGGCATCAAAGAAACATTGACTTCAACGTGTCAAGAGGTTCTGGGCCTAAAGAAACACCATCATAAGGAATGGATCTCTATAGAAACAGTGGACGAGATCAAAGAAAGGAAGAACAAGAAGACAGCAATTAACAACAGCCGAACACGAGTAGAGAAAGTCCAAGCACAAGCTGAATACATAGAAGCAAACAAACAAGTGAAGAGGAGCATTAGAGCCGACAAGAAGAAATACGTGGAAGAACTAGCAACGATGGCCGAAAAAGCTGCTAGAGAAGGAAATATGAAACAGCTTTACGATACGACGAAGAAACTATCAGGGAAATACAGTAAACCAGAGAGGCCGGTCAAGGACAAAGAAGGCAAGCCAATCACCGAAATTCAACAACAACGTAACAGATGGGTAGAATACTTCAAGGAACTCCTGAATAGGCCGGCTCCAATGAATCCACCGGACATCGAAGCAGCACACATAGATCTTCCTATAGATGTCAATCCACCAACGACGGAAGAAATTAGAATGGCCGTCAGACAAATCAAGAACGGGAAAGCAGCAGGACCCGACAACATACCACCTGAAGCACTGAAATCAGACATCGAAACAACCACAAGCATGCTTTATCTTCTATTCAAAAAGATTTGGGAGGAGGAACAAGTGCCGATGGACTGGAAAGAAGGACACCTCGTCAAGATTCCAAAGAAAGGAGATCTGAGCAAATGTGAAAACTACAGAGGCATAACACTACTGTCAATACCAGGGAAAGTCTTCAACAGAGTGTTGCTGATCCGGATGAAGGATGCAGTAGACGCCCAACTTCGAGATCAACAAGCTGGATTCCGTAAGGATCGGTCGTGCACAAACCAAATTGCAACACTACGGATCATCGTCGAACAATCAGTTGAGTGGAACTCATCATTATACATCAACTTCATTGATTATGAAAAGGCATTCGACAGTGTAGACAGGAGGACGTTATGGAAACTTCTTCGACACTACGGAATTCCTGAGAAGATTGTCAATATAATCCGGAACTCATACGACGGACTACAGTGTGCATGGAAGACAGCTGACAGATGCATTCCAAGTAAGGACCGGAGTCAGACAAGGCTGTTTACTCTCTCCCTTCCTCTTTCTTCTGTTGGTCGACTGGATTATGAAGACCTCGACATCTGAGGGGAAACACGGAATACAATGGACAGCTCAGAATCAATTAGACGATCTGGACTTCGCAGATGACCTAGCCCTCCTATCACGTACACACGAACAGATGCAGATGAAAACAGCCAGTGTAGCAGCAGTCTCTGCATCAGTAGGCCTCAGTATACACAAAGGGAAAACCAAGGTCCTCAAATTCAAAGCGGAAAACAGCAATCCAATCACACTTGATGGCGAAACTCTGGAAGATGTAGAATCCTTCACATACCTAGGAAGCATCATCGATGAACAAGGAGGTTCAGATGCAGACGTAAAGGCGAGGATTGGCAAAGCAAAGGTCGCATTCCTACAATTGAAGAACATATGGAACTCAAAACAACTTTCAACCAATATCAAAGTGAGAATCTTCAATACGAATGTCAAGGCAATTCTACTGTATGGAGCTGAAACTTGGAGAACTACAACAACCACAATCAAGAAAGTACAAGTATTTATAAATAGCTGTCTACGCAAGATACTCAACATCCATTGGCCGGATACCATCAGCAATAGCCTTCTGTGGGAGAGAACAAACCAACTTCCAGCTGAAGAGGAAATTAGGAAAAGACGATGGAAATGGATAGGACATACATTACGCAAATCGTCAAACTGCATCACGAGGCAAGCTCTAACTTGGAATCCTGAAGGGAAGCGGAAAAGAGGAAGGCCAAAGAACACATTACGTCGGATAATAGAAGCAGATATGAAAAGGATGAATTACAACTGGACGGAGCTAGAAAGGATTGCCCAGGACAGGGTTAGATGGAGAACGCTGGTGAGCGGCCTATGCTCCTTCACGAGGAGTAACAGGCGTAAGTAAGTAAGTAAGTTTTATTGATCGATTGTATTGGACACGTAAAACACGTACGGACGACCTAGAGTCCCGATTGGCCCTGCTTCGCTGTCTAACCCAGTCAGTTGAGTCCAGAACGCAAGTCTTAGCCTCTGAGATATGAATCGTTATATTTCAAACATACTCTGTTTATATACCAACCAAACAGACCACGTCGTACCATAAAAATAGAAAACAACATTTACACAATATTTAACAAGTGAAATGAATATCGACCAATAGGAAATGCCCCTTTAACGTCCAAGGATACCATTCGACTTAACACGACAATCATTGGTATATTCCTCTGCATACCTAACACATTTATGCACTAACATTTTGTTATCCTGCTTCTGTAAGAACACTTTCGTCATAACACGACAAAGTAAATGGGTGGACGAGTTAACGTAATAAACAGTAGAGCATTCGCAACAATTTGATCTTGCCTGTAGATTGTCGTGCTTCATATAACGTGTCACTACTTAAAATAAATTATTATCAGAGCACAGACTCTATTTTCAAGCATGGTTAGTTTAACACAATACTACTATATAATAATCGGGCCTAACTAAGGCGTCAAAGGTCTGCTAATGCCTTGGATTTCTATGGATAACCTTCGAACATGAGTAGCCCAAACTTGTAAGGTTGGACCCACTACTAGCTGTAGGCACTCTCACGACTGTTCCGTCTGAAATCAGAGGGATTCTCAGCATCTTGGGTAGCTACAGAACGCCTAACAACCGACTGATTCCTGATCGACAGTTATGTGTTACCACCTGATGTTTTGTAGGTAGCGTATTGCCAAATCTTGGATATCTTCGCACTGGACAAGAAAGTTACAACCCTATATGATTACAGTCTCAAATGAGATTTTCACCAGTCCTTGGAAGTTTCGCAGTATATCCTGCTATTTTATTTGATGGAACCCTGGATCCAATGCTCAATTATAATACTTTCAGTATGCTTTTAATGTTTTATACATGAACACTGAACGCTGATGAGAGGAATTTTCGCTTTATTGCATCAAATTGAAAAATATTTTTCTGAATATCTGCAATTCAAATACATAAGAAAAGTTACGCAATCATCTTCTAATTAAGTTTATCAGATGGTCATAAGGTTACTCTTGGGTTACTGGTAGTTGCCGTCTGCTGCCCTCTTTTTTAAATGCCAATGGATTGTTTGTGCTTACTGAGCCATCGGCTTACTTTTGTCTGAGATTATCATACACGCTGCTCTCTATACTCTCTTAACACATTATACTTTCAGACTAGAGGAGAACGTCTTAAAAGTCTGACGTAGCATTACATTAATGACTAACTTGTGCCCTCAATTTATCACATTAATAAACATAAGGAAGAAGCATGAACAGAGTGAGATTAAGTTTTAAAAGGTCATCTTTAGTTCTTTTCAAGGGACATATAAGCTTTAAAGTGATGTCAGAAAAATAAGGCCAATAATATAAAATTTTTATTTCATTTGAGTTTACTATTTAATAAATTCTCTGGCTTCCTTTTATAGAAAACTTATCAATTGTCGATTATATATTTGTTCATCTTTATCCTGTAACACCGCGTAAATAATAAACCCATTGAAATCCTTCGCCTTTTTCTGTAATTGTAGAATCAATGAAGCTTGACTGTTGCTGTTGTGGTGATGATGAAGACGATGATGATGATAGGGAAGTGGTATCACTAATTACATTTGATGGTCCTTTACGGATTGTACGTGCACTTGACTGTGCACGGACTGCTGTCACAACTAGTTTACCCGTTACAGGAGATTTAGTGATATTAGCGTCAAGACCAACAGGAATTCTAAATTCTTTACCAGGTCTAATAACTTCACTTTGTTTCGGTAGATTGAATAAAGTATTGTCAACCTATGAAAAAAAGAAACATATTAAATAAATGACAGTCTAATTCAAATTACACAAGTATAAAATATTCCATATAAGCTTTCGAAACAATGATGAAAAACGATGAAACTTGGTTTAAGTTGACTACGCACATATGCTTACATACTAAGTCCTTCTTCGCTTTTATTGTTTTAGAAACAATGGTACCACATATATTGTCGTTTGGTATTTGATGGCTACCACCGAGAAACCCTAGATTCATGATTTTTACATTTTACCAATTCTTTTCACGTACGAACCTGATTGATAAAATCTTATCAGCACTGAAAAGTAAACAGTAAAACATCTTTAGCTCTACACTATTTGATAGGAATTTGCTCATGATCTAAAGTTTCTAATAAGAACGAAATAGACAAGTGTTTATTCAGTAACACACATGAGTGTAAATCTAAATAAAATTGTCAATTTACCTGAAATGAATAAAGTATGGGTGTAGGGAAAACATTTCGGAAGATGATATGTTTTGTTTCACCAGCTTTTATGATTATTGGACCTTGTGGTTGTGGTAGTAGAGCAGTACCTTTAAGTAGAAAACTGTATTCACCAGCTTGTGCACTTGTAATTGTTAAAATAGCCTGTGAATTACCCACACTAGTTGGTTCATATACAACTTCCAATGATGCTTCAACCCCCGGTGCTACAATTATTTGTTTTTCACAATGATAATCAGAATTATCAACCTGTAAACATGTAAAATTTAAGTGTTATTTTCTGATAAAACTGTTTGAATTCGTTGTTTTTTTATCTGTAATTGTAATTAAACGTATCGCATAGCTGTCGAAAGAAAAATTTAACTTGGTTTAAATGATTAAAAAAGAAACCAGGTAACTGAACCCTGGGAATCCTTTACAATGAGTTCATCCTCACAGTTGTAAAACAATATATATGTAAAATAAGTTAAAAGTTTATAGACAAATTGTCTTTCATTGATTATCTTCTTCAAAGATTGATATAAGTTAGGTACTACTGAAATGTAAATGTCATTATCCGAAGAGCTAGATTTTAAGGCACATAATATGAATGACAATTAAGAATTCTAAGCAGTAACATATTTTATAATAATCAGTGCATATAATATAATATAACAATATAGTCAAATCAATGGTATAGTAAAAAGAAAGTGAACTATCAACTTGTTTGTAGATATCATTACCAAGGTTTGACTTGATAAGTGACTTACATGGAGTTATGAAACGTCAGAAAAATGTCAGCCTGTTTGTTTTTCGAAACCCAACTTGTATATAGCGAAAGTTTATGCAATATAGTGTAGATTCATGTATAAACCTTCCAGAATTCTTGAATAAATCTTATGAATATTATGAAATGATCAATCTAAATCTCTCAAATAAAATAAGTCCGAAAATATTTTATTTTTTCTAAATTATTAATGAATGACTTATTGGGGGTATAGTTAAGGTAACCATAAAAACACTAATACTAAACTTCATAATACGTTATCATACAACTAACTTAGTAGTCTGGTAATCACCTTATTTTACATGAGATCATGAATTCTAGAAAAAAATTAACTGAATTGAATGTCAGATAGACCCCCCTTTAAGTCATAATGTCAAATTAACAGAGATATATTCCTAAGACTATTGAGTATGTACATAAGAAGATTAACTTTATATGTGTCCAAGAATAAATGATGAATGCTTAATATAGCCAGTCGATTGAAGTTAAATATGTACACTACTGAATGCCAGCTCAATGACCTGAAGATTAAGCGCTCGCCTCGAGACTTAAAAATCATCGGTTCAGTTCCTTAGGGAGATGTGAACTGGTGAGGAGTACGATGACTGTCAAATATTTCCTAATATTCAACGGTTATCTATCTATCACCAAGTCATGGTGTAAACTACAAAGTGAACAATCTCTACAAACCTTTTGTATTATTAACCCTTTGTTAACAATTTCTTCAAACGTTTAAAATTATACAAATATGTTATATTACAACCATCATTTAATCATATTCAATCATATTTTGATTATCATATTTATCGACACTTTTATCATTAATATTTCTTTGATCAACTGTGAATTCGAGAATTATTGGAGTTAAAAGTTTGAATTATCATTAAACATAATTTGGTGTACTTATCAATAATAAATTTTGGTCCATATTCATATGCAAGAAAGTAACTATCAGTATATGGTTGTGAAGATTGTTGAGTTTGGATTGATATCATGAATGGATGAATGTTAGATCACGATCGTGTAGTGACTTGCTTTTATTAAGAGAACGCGATTGGTGTAATGGAAACAATTATTATTATAACCAATTGTACCAGGGATTGTTTTACTGTACTTGTTTGTTTAACTGTACCAAAACACATACATTCTTCCTTTGATTGTGACCTTGCACAAATTCGGTTACGCTCAGTAACCACACTTGTAACCTGGCATGATCTCGGTATTCTTTCGATACTACGAGATCGCCAACAAATACATCTCGACTACAGCCATCAACTGCCTTATGATATTTGGCTTACGGGGGATCTTATCGGTTAACTGGCACGTAGTCTTCCTGTAGTGGTGATCATAGTCAACCGCGACTCGACACCACACTACATTCGAAAGCCTGGAAGCACTGGACGACCGTTTTGTCCAAGTATGGAACCGGTGAGCAGTGCGCATCCACGATCCATGATGTGGAACTTGAACCCAAAACGTTGGATCTCGCATGCGAACGCTTAACCTCTAGACCACTGTGACGGCATGCAACCGTGTTAGTGTCTAAGTTCAACCAACCCAGGATATTGTGGGTGAACAATTGGATAGAATGTTGATCGGTAGCCTATGCTTCATTGGGAGTAACAGGCGTAAGTTAGGGTAGTCTCTGTTTGCTATGTTTGAAGTGATCACGAGTTCACCTAGTTTGAGAACGGAACAAAGACTCTGTGACCAAAGACCAATAAGTTAGCTATTCTGATGCGTCCCAGCCCCGCTAACTAGAGAGAGAAGTTCATATTCGAAACAGGGAAATATATTCCGCAAACAACCAAAAGCACGAGCAATGATAATGGGCACAAATCAAACGTACATATACAGCATAAAATTGTCATTGGGAAGCGTTACAAAATAGCATACTAAAAGATGCAACGAACTAATAGCGCTTAAGATTCACCCAAGTGGGAAATATAACATGAAGGTGAAAATGAGCGCTTTTGGCACGAAAGCAAGAAATTCAAATTTTCAAAATAGAATTACAAAAATGGGGTATTTATTAAGTGAGTTCTGGGGATCTCACATGCCCAACACTGTTTAATCAAAAATGTAGTATAAAAGTGTTGAGGTGATCCAGAAAACTTCTCACAAAAGCCAAGAAAGGCTCGAGAAACACTAAGAAGCATTTTTTCCAATCAGCTTTCACTAGAACTTTAAGCAGAAACATCAAGAAAGTGACATGTGGAGTTTCTGATTGGCCGATCACTACCCTGCTACTATGTTTAGTAGCATTCCAGAATTTTCGGGAAAACCCAAGGACATTTGAACTGGTATAAAAACCCTATATTTTCTGTACCAAAACGAACCTTTGAAGTAAAGTGCTTCTCGCATATTTTGCGCATTTTCTCTCATGTTCAAGTCGCTATGTAGTTCTAGCTTGGGGGTCACGAGAATAGTTTAGGAACCGAATATAGCGTTCAAATCAACAAGACTTATCAAAAAGTATAGATATCTTTTTTCAGATATTAGAAAAATAATAAACTTACGTTAGTAGTAAATTCATTTTTATTTTTTGATAAATTTGTAAATTTTACAATTTGACAATGTCGTTGTCCTATGGTTGTACGAAAATGTATTGTCGATTCAAAACTAGCTGGTGTAGCTTGTAGATTTAATTCATAAACAAATGAACCTAATTCATTACAATTAGCTTCAAATTTTCCATTATTTTGACCAATTTTAATTGGTAAATATTCAAGTGTTACTTTACCCTAAGAAAAAATAGGACAGATAATAAGTCATTTTATGAACCATACTATATAAGTAAAAAAATATCTAAGTAATAATGATAATGATAGATAATGAAGTTGGATAAACAATTGAAGATTATTTGATTGACATCATGAATCGATTGATGTTAGACAACAATTTGAAATCTGAAAGTACTGAACGGCCGTTTCGACCTATTGTGAGACTACTCCTCAGTAGTGAGCATCCAGGATCCTGCTAGCGGAATTCGAAGAATAACCTGTTTTGTTTTGTTTCTGAGATTTATCCACCTTGTCTTCAATATTATTATGAACCTAGAATCTTCAATTTTCATGGCATTTCCAGTCAGTGAGTTAAAATTCAACAGTTCAGATTTTAGACTTCAATCTATTCATAATATAGTGAGTTCATCATTCAATTAGATATCTGTTAACTGTTGTGGAATTACAAAATTGAAGTATTCATCACATTTAAACAAAATAACCAATAGTTAAAATGAGCAATAGTAAACATATAACTAAAACCTTACTACTACTGTGGCGTGTGCCACTTATATTGACATAAGTAGTAGATTATGTTAGTTGTGAACAGAAGGTCTGGCAGCAGAGAGACAAGAGGATCAAACAGTAAAGAATGGAAACAGAATGCAATTCGTATTAAAATGCAAGAACAATGAAGTCTGAGTCCATTTTGAGACAATCGATAGACATTTCGCAAATTAAGTATTTACTATTTGATTGTTAGCTTTTATTAACAATTCCTGTAATTTTATGTGTGTTCTGTTCACTATACTACTACTTACTTCACAATTAGCAGGTATTTGTAATTGATTTGGACATTGAACTTCAGAGATATTTGTACTCATTTGAAAATTCACTGGTATTGATAAAGGATTTTCTAATATGAGTGTATGTGTAATAGGTTTACGAATAGGTGTTTGCATTTTAATCAAATCTAAACTTTTATTTCTGATAGATTTAAAATTCACTTCAAAATATTGATATTCACCAGTTGTTTCATTTGTAAATGTAACCTTAATTTTAAAAATAAAAAAAATAATGTAAAATACAATTAATTGATCATAAGGTACTTAAGAAAGTTGGATAGTGACTACAATTCATTGTTATAAATAAAATTAATCATCGTTGAATATGATAGTGATTATATGAATTCAGTACTTTAATGGATGAAGTATCGTTCATTCAAGGTAGTTGAATCAGTACGAACATCAAGACTAGAATTTCGGTATATTCAATTGAAAACTTTCAAATAAGATGACATAAGTATTCTAGTTTTCACTATTATTCAATATGCATCTTTACTAATTTAAGCATACATTACATACTAGTAGTATCAATAATTACAATAGTTAGCTGGTAAATTTATTCGTTATTTTTGTTGAGAGAGAGAGGTTATGTGGAAATTGTTTCAAGTTGCAAGTGTCATTCATTGTAGATTATCATCAGTAAGGATACTATTGAAAACCATTGACCGGCTTATAATGTTCAACCGTTAAGTTAGTTTATTACTAATGGACTATGTTTAAACTATATAAATCTTACTACAAAATATTTAAGTAAGTAGTCAAAGGTGAAAGTGAAGAATTCATTTAATACTAGGACAATTTAGGGCCTTTTTCATATTTTTAATAGGGGGAACTAATTACAGTTTTTATGCTGAAGTATTATTCAAATTCACTTGGTATTGTTTACTTGAATCTTCTCATTGATGTTTAGAAGTGAAATTGATCAGTCGCTTATTCGTATATGTACATACTGTGCGCACTGCCTCTATATTGCCTTAATTCACAAGCATTATAGGTAAAGATGAATAGTGGTTAGTAGTGGAATCCAGGACGCGCGTTCCGCTCTATTTGGGACTCGTCAGCTGGATTTACCTGCATCCCAGAGTTGATGTTCACTGTGGGACTCGAACCCAGCACCGCTCGCTTCAAACGCCATCGTATTATCCACTTAGCATCTGAGTCCTGATAACCACTGCTAGCCACTATCCATTTTTGCTTATAATGAAGTATTATTTCTGTAATATTATATTACTGAATTTAGACTAGTCTTTGTTAACAAAAACTCTTGAAGTTGAAAGCATAATACACAAAGTAATCATGGAACTTTTATTTCATTTGAAGTAAATGACGATTAAAAAAATATGTACAGATTCATGAGGGAAACAATGAGTTACATAATTCCGGCATAGTTAAAAAGTTCTGAAAATAGAGTGAAATGAAATTTAATGAGATTCTCTTTCTAAACTGTTTTGACGGGCATGACCTAAATTTCTTGTTCTTTATTGATTTGTTCCAGAAAATAATCTCTCGTTATGTAGTATAGTGAAGAATATTACCAGAATTGTTAAAAACGTATTTTTAAGTTATGATGAAGATTTTCTGGACAGACATTTGAAATCCTTCAATTAATTAGTCAATTTTATTCTAGCAAACAGAACTTACCCATTACACTCATAGCATAGATACAATAGAATCCACATAATTAAAAAGAAATACAAGTGTTCTATCATAACTAAAATTAATGGTGATTAAAGATTATACTCCTTAAATAACATCTTCAAACTCTAATTTTTCTGATTACTGCTTATACTTTTATTACGTCTACCACTATGGGATTTGAATCGACAATTGTATCTGTGTGCTAATGTGGTAAGGCAACTCGAACTGATGTACGTACGTATGAAGTTCTATATTGTTGCTGACTGACTGACTGACTAACATTAATATGAAGTCATTTTATGATATACTCATCATAATGTAAATAAAGATCAAGGGAAAATGTAGAGTCCATTTATTCTACAGTTATCATCTGTAAATTGTTTAGCAAGAGTCTATGAAATTTCGTCTTTTTTACAACTTGATTCGAAACAAATCGTAGTTATTTAGTAGTTGAATTCATAAGTCAACTGAAGCTAGATCACTGGACGGCCGTTTCGTTTTAGTATAGAACTCCTCAGCGGCATGCGTCCACGATTCCGCCCGTTGGACTCGAACCCAGGACTCGTCGGTCTCGTGCGCGTGAACGCTTTGCCTCTAGACCACTTTATATGCTAAATATATACTACTGAATAAAATCTAACTAGATATATTTCTTACTTTAATCAATGTAAAACCTTCTCGATAAGTGAATATACTCAATTTATACTCTTTACTTGAATCAGCTGGTACATCTAAATAATTTAATCCTTGAATAGTTGTACTTGGATCTAATTTATCCGGTCGAAGAATTTCCTTTGAAACACGAAATCTTTGTGATACATTTAACCAATTTGGTATTTGTACAATTTCCGTATGTAATTTTTTACATTCAATTTCACGATTTATTCGCATCATTGATTTTGGTGCATCAGATGTTCCACATAAATTATATAATAATCCTGTACCATCAGGTAATGGAAAGAATATTGTACCCTGAATCATAAAGAGTAAGTAAAGATGAAAGAAACTCAAGTTACTACAATAGATTGTAATCTGATTAAGCAACAACTATCTTATTATTTATTCAGTTGTATGAGACTAAATAATACAATTAGTGATTGAGGTTTTAATTAAGTAAAATATAGTTAGCAGAACACTAGTGAGGACAATCGAATGCGTTTGAACACAAAATTACAGAACATCTCACTAAAATCTGAGAACCATACAGTTAATTTGCAAAATATCTATCCATCATCTCAAACCTGACCGTTCCTGTCTCAAACATAAATCCATTGTCTCAGATTCCATTGTTCATGCATTTTCATACAAATTGCGTTCCGTCCCCGTTCTTTCCTCATCGGCCTTCTACTGAAATACATTCTATGCCTGACCACCGTTATTTACCACTTGTGTGGAAATAAGTAACCCACACCACACTCGTCCCCCCTTTAAAGCATTCGTCCTTGCGGTGGTTCTGCTCACCGTTCCACTTTCTTCTTCTCTGCAGTCTGTGCTACGCTCTCCGTCAAAATGTCGAGTCTGCGGCGCGCCGGCCTCCATAGCTCCGTTGACCTGCCGGGGCATCAACATCCGACATCCTCCCGGCACCTGGGACATTCAACGCCTGCGCTCCAGAGGCCTGCTGGGCCATCTACATCCGATGTCCGCCAAATATCCTCACGTCCCACCGCTTCTCTTCGTCGACAGCACCCGCCGCAGCCAACGCCGCTCCGCCAGAACACACCACCCGATGTCACCTCTCCGCACCAGGCCGCCTCCACCGGCACTTCAGCTCCAGGCCCTTAACAGCGACCACAGAACAGCACCCTTCCCCTCTCCTGATTGGCAACGACATCAAATGTTGTGAACAAGAACACCAGTGAGGACAACCGAGTGTATTTGACACTAAAATAACAGAGCATCTCACTAAAATTGGTTGGGACTGTAAAATGTAATATGCCAAGTTTGTCTTTCTTACCTGTTTAAATGTGCGAAGAGAACTGATTGCATAGCAATGACCTGTTTGTAAATATTACATTTTATTAACTACAATGACTTCAGAAAATCAATATGATTGAAATAAACAGAATAGAGAGGACATTTTGATAACATTTAAGCCCATATTTCACTAAATTAACAAGTAAAGATATAATTAAAGGCGATTGTGCGTTACTCTAAAAAAAAACTTCTTGAATCATCACTCTCCAGTCTTCGAACATGTATAGATTAATTATCAGTGGGGATATTGCTTGAAGAATAAGAGCTTTAAAAAGCAAAACTAATGAACAATGACATATGTTAATATTTGTTATGACTTGTGCCCTGTATCCTATTAATGTATAACGTAATGATACCGTCAATTACAGAACAGTGATTTATCGACCGAGGACTATAATGATGATTTGGTTTTTATTAAAAACTATAAATACATGACAGGTTTGTACCATAATTGACACTATTTGGAATAGAATTCCTTTCATTTGTCTTCTGTCTTCTCATTTGCGACTTAGGAGGGTTCTAGAGTTCGGGTGCTCAAGTTATACTCGGCATATTAAAAATCTAAGCTCTAGATATAACAATATTGAAATGAAGTATAATTAAAGCCTGTGGCAGGCAATATGACTGGCAATGTCCTAATCGAATAGACTTTGAGTAGTCCATATAATTGATTTTCTTCTGTCTTCTAAGACATTTTAATTACATTTGTTTTTTGTCAATATTTTGTCCACAAGAATATTATTTTATTATAAAAAAGACCTATTTTACTATGAAACTGTTTCGATGGAGTTTTGTTCTTTGAGCTGAATGGTTTAGTAATCGACCCTCCATCGTTCTTTTGAACCACATCATCAACACAAACTCCACCGAAATCATTCACCTGAGCTAGAAATAGTCTTCTTTATCTCAGTATAAAACTGTCATATCCGCTGAGATCAGTTTAATGAAAGGCTTATGTCAATAATTCGGTCCTATGAATAACCATCACTCAATCACACGATGTCATTGTATATCACTACCTATTATTCGCTTTTTTTCCTTCATTTTAACACTTGAGAATGCATTTATTAAGTCACCGAATCCTCATTCATAACACTAAGTATCCGCATCTTTTTATGTTTGTTATATAAGACAGTAAAGAAATCAAAGAAATGTAGTAACATGCTACTGTGGGTTCATCTTGAAGTGAATTCTCATTCGACTTATTTTTCCTCCTTTCTACTTGTCATATATCGTAGTTTGTTGAATGGCTTACTTGTCAACATTTTAAAAGTACTCGAATGTAAATAAATAATTATTAAGAGGAAGTGCTTATGAAGATAGTCGGCATTGTAGACTGACTTAAGTTCAACAACAATTGATAGATTGGAGGCACTGGGTGGTTGCTTTGTTTCAGTATGCAATATCATAGCAACACTAACCACAGACTCCATCAGAGATAGAATTAAGTAACTTCGAGGTTTACGGTCTATAGTTAAACAATAAACTATTTGGTTGACATATAGCCATACATATTTCCAACTTCAATCAATTCGTGATATTGCACGACCTTCATCCAGTGCCATCCATGATATCTGATGAGCGTAAGCACTCTTGAAAAGTTGCCTCATGCTAGCGTAAAACAACTCTCCATACTCTCTAACTTTCAGTAGTCCTTTAGTTAAATTTAATTCTTTATGTAATCCATCATCAAGAACTTAACACATGATCATAAAACATCTTACTTTATGTTTTGCTCCATCTAAAGTCATTGTTAATGGTTTATATGTTAATTCATAAATTCCTATTTGTTGTGGAGGTATATCAATTATTTTTGGTCCATCCCACTGTTCACCATCAATAACTGGTTTGATTTGCCAATTAGCATTTGTACGATTAACAATTTGTAGATTTTTAATATCTTGCTGTCTAACAATCGTTGAAAATTGTTGTATTTCTTTAATAATAGTAGGTGGCACACACGCTCCACTAACAGTAATTAATTTTGATCCTATACCTTGAATTTGACATGTTACATTCTGTTTTTTTTAATTGGCGATTAAAAGAAAGAAAAATCATAAAAATACTTTGAGAAAGCACACATAAATGTTATCCTGTACTTTATCCAAGTTTACCTGGACTACTTATGAATGAATAAATAAACAGTCATGATTTATAGAAGTTTGCTTCACATCCGATAACTTCGATCTCGTGAAAACTGAAAGCCGTCTATTAATTACTTATTGATAACAGGTATCGCATTATCTAATCCGTGGTGATGATTTAAATCTGCTAAACAATTTATTATGCGATCAGTAAGTTAAGTGCTCGACATTACGAAGAACTTTGTTTCATGTTAAAGTAGCCGACTAGAAACAGTCGAATAATGTTTTATGCCAGTTAGAATACGTTGACTAGACTTATTAGCCATCTGAAAGTATTATTAAATGAAGTGGATTTTGAAATTATGACGCGATCAGAGATATTTCTTTTGAGATAGTCGACGAGCGAGTTATCTCTTGTAGGACGGTTGGACATTCAAGTTTCATCTCAAGTCAAACAGGTATTTGATTTATCCGATTTCGATTTAATATACTTCTGTCTATAACTGGTTTATGTTTTATGGCACACAGTGACTATTGGCCTATGGTTCGATCTGTTTGATTGTTCCTTGGTTTGAGGATTACCTTTGTATACGCGTTCATGTAACGACCCATCTAATCACTTCGACTTTGTTTCTGTAAACAATCCCAAAGTAGATTGTCATGTAAAATGTTCGATACATTAAATTTTAACTTTGCTGATTCACCGAGTTCTTAATGCTTTTTATAAAGTATTTTTGAATATGTGACAGTAAATGATTCATTAAAATAAATAGCCCAATAGGAACTTGACATTCATTGCTAACTTTATTAGTTTCAATAAATCTAAGAAGGTGTGCGAAATTTGTCAAACCATTTTAAACAACTGCGTACATTCATCGCTTTCATACGTCCCCTCATATACCCTACGAATCAGTCTCAGAATAAAGTTTTCCGTCCACGAACAAAAATACTTCTTAAATCAAATTAGTATTGCTTCCTTCTTTATTCATGATAGATTAGAAACACGTAAAAAGCGTTTGGATATAAAGCTTCGGGAGCTTGGTGTCAGTATCGTCAGTTTTCTCAGTACCATGATCTCTATAAACAGTACATTTGCTGAATGAGTTAATCATCTCAAAGGAAGTGTGCTCATTGAGAACAGCGAGGTAAGAAAATAATTGGTGGGGTCTATGAAACTGTGAAAAATATTGGTAGTATTATATGATTCATCGTAGCTTCGAAATAACTGAACAGTGATCAGCAGTAAAATTTTAAAATTTTTACGTATTTGTAATCACGGAACTGAAGGTTACTGACCCGATTCCAGGTTGCGAAGTCAAAACACAAGCACTCTTAAGAAGTCACCTCTTAGGACGAGACGATAGTTCAGTGCTTTCAAGTCTTTAATGCTTGTCTAACTTAGATTGGCTCGTGATATCAATAAAATTCAATAACTTTTAACAACGTACACATAAATTCTAATAAGGTTCTGTTCATGAAGGTTATAGTGCTCACGATATGTGATCATTCATAGAGTAATAAATAGTTTATAACATTTCATACTGTAAAACTTGTAACCGACGTGATCCATACTGTTTTTAACTTTAAACAAGCACGCTAAATGCTCAATAAACTGAACCATTTAATTATAAGAGCGAAAACAAAGCTAAATCTCTCCTGAGCCAGTAATAGCGCTTGCGACCTACCTATGTGTACAAATGTACATATTTAATATGATAGGTATTAGCTTGACAGTTGGTATTGATTTCACTGACAAGTTAACCGTAGCCTATCTGTCAGTTTTGTTAGTTCTTCGTTCAATCTAAATGATCTCTATATAATGTATGATGAATAGTGTGTAACAGTTATGTACTAAGTTTCTTGTAGCAATCACCAGGTTAGGCAGCGTAAAAATCTATCGTTCTATGTCCATATAGAAAATAAATAAGCAAGTTCATTTACTTACATCTATTCGTATTTCACGTGTTAATTTACTTGGTTTAAGAGTTAAAATAAATGTTACTTCTAATCCTGGACCAATGGATCCATTCATTGGTTCTATAGTTAAATCCGATGTGAAAGTTGATTTATCCCATTCGAACCTTAAAATGAAATCAGTAATAAATACATATCACTACTTGGTCATATAAAAAATTAATGAGATCAAAGTTATACAGTTTTCGAGTACAAATTATGTTACTAAGGTTTCAGCGACAGTCGAGTTAATGATCCTGTAATGAATGTTATTTATGTTGACAGATATAAGTAGTATGTAGCATCAATCAGAAGTGGAAGGCTTGTAAAAAAGAAGGCTCAAAAGATTGAACTGAAGAAAACGAAAACGGAAACAGAGGAATCGATAATTGGAAGAATCATGAAGGATGTAAAGGACAACTGATAGAAGATATGCAAATGAAGTACTTAATGTATGCTTTTTATAATTTACGTAGAAACTGAAAATTTGCACTAAACAATAAATTGATCTTTCCCACCTGAGTGTTGATTCACTATAATCCCATAAAACTACCTATTTAAATTGAGGTAAGACAGCCATTATTTGACCTTAGGGTCTATTGTTTAAGAGATGAGCCCTTCAATCACTAGATCACTGCCTTAAATAAATCAAATAATGTACAATAATGGATATTTATCAATTTAGTACAGTCGGAATGTCATATTGTAGTTATTTAGTGTTGTCAACTAACATTAACCATTATGTGACTTTTATACTCTCTGATCAAACCAATTGATCAAAGAGATAATTCGCAATGAAAAGATTTTTTACTAATTTTAATCAGAAACTTTATAGAGATTTATTTTCTGTTTGAAATACAAATAACTTATTAACTATGCAAAATTCTCCATATAAACTAATTATATTAATAAAAACTTTATGTGCATGAATAACTAACTGCAAGACGAATATCCTGAAGTCGAGATTGAAGCAGTGACTACATGATAACATTAGTTGAGTAACCCTCTATATCCCAAACTAACTAAATCTGAGTTTCCACTCAATGATATGACAATATCATGTCCCCTTGTAACCTGAAGGTCATAGGTTCCTTACTGTATGGGTCCAAAGATATTTCCGGATACTGAGTTTTATTAACAAGCAAAGATAATTGTTTATTACTTTCTAATCATTCTTGGTGCTCAAACTGATGGAGGCTAAAGAAGAAAATGAATTTCATACCCATTGAAAAAAGACAAAATCATGATTTCTCACAAAAAATTCAAATGCCATGGTACGGACGAGGACGGAAGGAATCCGTTCTCTCTCCAAATGCTTTCATATAACTACGCATATACAGCCACTTTCAAGGAAGTTCTACTCACTGCCTGCTCTCAATGAGGGTGTTGTTTACGAAACTGAGAGAATAAAATTGAATGCCCGGTGCTGGTACCGGGTTGGTGGATATGGAGGATCCATCCACGGGAGTTATAAAAAACTGATTCCAAACCAATGGTAGACATGTGTTCCAGGATCCTGAGGGAAAAAAGCCGTATGAACCTATTGTTGGTCACAGGCTACCTTGTGACTGCTTCTCCTAAGGTCGCACCACCGCCTTGTGGATTAGATTTCTAGGTCAATGGCGCCGGGTGTGGTCCCCCCTAAGGAAACCGCCTGCTTCATTCTGGGCGCTTGAGCAGAATTCTAGCCCTCAAACAAATCATTCGATGTGTGTGGCGCATATGTATTTGGTGCCTCTTTGTACCTCGTTGTCTAAATAAACAATGAATGTACTCCAATTTTCTTATAATCTCATATCAATAGTAATATTCTGTTAAACTCATTTCCTGTTGCGAGTGATAAATAAGAACTTTAGATAGTCCCAATCTATTTAAATGACGTTTGTTTCGTCCTAACTACTACCTTACTAAAAATTAGAATTTGATCTAAGCATAATGTTTTTCAACAGTCACCATATTCTGACATTTATTTCAGTAGTATAACGGTCAGACATCATCTTTCGCCAAATTAGATCGTTTTACGACAGAATAGCCCCATAAGACGTCAGTCTTTATTTCAATAACTGAGAGATAACATTTCTAAGACATTCGTTAAATCATATTTGAAATTTACGAGGAGAATCACTTCTATAATGATTGTAAATATGCTTTGATCATAGCAAGGAACGTAATTCGAGAGCTTATAGTCGATATTTTTAAAACCTATCATCAGATTAGAACAGTCTATCACATTAACAATCCCCATTGTATTAGGAGATGTCTCATACTTAAAACCCTAATTACTACTGAGAGACAGTGATATTTTTCCGTAAAATCATGATAAATATATCTTTATTCTAATGTAATAATCAAAGCGGTCGCGTAAAGAAAACCATTTAATTTCATAACTAACTCAGTTACTTCGAGGTGAATGATACTTCACTTAAAATGAATCGGTAGGAAATAGTCCAAACGGTTTTAACCAACATTCTCGTCCGCGACTTTAAATAGTGAAGGAATGAGTCATACAGATAGGTTCAGAATACCTGATAGAGGTTTACGCCGTTATTGTAGTTGATGTTTGGAGATTTTGGGTGATGTAGATCAAAGTTGGTCACAGTGACACAAATGTACCATGTCATTATGTATCCATAAATCTTCAGTTTTAAAAATATCTAACACTTTTTACCTAATAAATTCATTTCTTTTTCTTAAACCATACATTTTCTAAGGTTACTGATATGATAAGTTAATATGCAGTAGCCAAATGAGAAGGTACATCGATGGAAATCATAAGTGACTTGAAGTACATGTGCATCTCATTGACTAAGAAATGGATTGATTTTTTAAGGGGTATTATATATATATATATATATATATATATATATATATATATATATTTGTGCATTTTATTCGGTAACCCAATATACTTTCGTGCCCACTCTTGTGTTCTCGCTCAAGTAATCAGTTGAGAGGTTAGCGCGTAACATGTCGCGAATCAGTATCCGATTTCGGACACCAAAACATGTCACAAATACATGAAGTCACTGACAAGTAGACTGAACCATGTTGGTAGGTGTAGACTACCTGGTTCCGGAGATCCACCAGATGAGAGCAATCGATGGTAAGAGACTTTGAATCACATGGCTCAAAATCATTTGCAATGGCGAAGGTGCATCCACTCTTTGTGTTCTCCCAAATTCTAATCTTCTGAATTCTTCATGTCCCCATTTTTTTTCTCTTTCCAAGTTTATTTCACTGAATTGTACTCCTTGAATAACATCTTCCAATCTTAATCTTTCCAACTACTGCTTATACTTTTACTACTTCTACTACTATGGGATTTGAATCGACAATTGTATCTATGTGCTAATGTGGTATAGCAACTCGAACTGATGTACGTACGTACGAAGTTCTACATTGTTATTGACTGACCACCCATCATAACAGTGACTTACTACTAATAATAATCTTACTACTTGTAATGTTTAGAAATTTATGTCCATTAATTTCATCTTGCTCTCACAATATAGTGGTGGAAGTTAAACTGATACAGATCTATTCAAGATCATACATTACTTATGACTATATAACTAACTTATTTATTCATATTTAAATTTGCTTTTCAACAAATGATTACATAATTCTTAATTAACTTACTTTGTATTATAATCACCGGTATTCATTAAAACTAAACGTCTACTTAATTGACTACCACGTACAATTGAACCAAAATTAATTGATTCTGTATTAAAATTAATATCATTTGTATTCACAGCACCATATATTGAAAATACTGGTAAAAACATATTAGTATTCTCTTGTAGATTTGTAATCATTTCTTCTTTATTTCTATGGTTACTATTCATAGTTATAGTAGTGTTTATTTGATTCTTAGACAATTGAATTATATTTTTATCATTTTGATCTACACGTGAAATTTCACATAGAACTTCTTCAGTAAATTTAGATAATCGATAATTTGATGTTAAACTTAACATGATCATTATTTCCCCACCATTTGATGGAATAATGATTGGTGTCATAATTTCTTTGATCGGTCCAAAATTATTGAATTGTTTATCCATAGAAATTGATTTACAAAATTGTATATGAATTGAATTAGATTTATTCTCATTATTATTATTATTATTAGATTGTGGTTGATTCAAATGGATTTGATGTAGACATATTGATGCAGAACTTTTATTAATTAAACTAATAAATCGTCGTGATATTTGACCAGTTTTTAAATAACCTAAATTGATACATCTTTTATGATGAATAAATTCATCTTCATCATTGAATTGAGTAATTTTTGTAAGACCTTTCTTAGTTTTATTCATTATCAATAATGGATATACTTTTGGTTCAATGATTAATTCACATCCTTTACCTAATAAATCAATTGTATATTGACTACAACCATTAATTTCAAATATTATTGTTTCTTTATAGAATTGATCATGATATGGATAAAAGTATATTGGTAAACATAGACTATTTGAATTGGATCCATTAGTTTCTTGTTGTTCTTTCTTTGATAAAATTGTTGATATAAAATTATAAGAGAATATTTTTGATGATTTTGTAATACATTCAATACTTAATTCTTGTTTTATATCATTATTACTTATATATAAATAACGTATAGATGGTTTAAGACCGGATTGCATAATGAATTGTGAACCGAAATCAATAGAAGTTTCAGAAAATTGTATCATTTGTTTTTTGATTGAACCTAATAATTTAATACCATAAATAGGACCATCACGTATTATAAAACAAATACCAAGTAAATTATATAATTTTAAATGATTTATATTTAATACATTTAGTTGCTTTGGTAACTGAAATGTAATTGTACATGTTAATTTTTCATTTGGTAATAAACTACCAGAATTAGGATTGATTATTAATGATGGTGGTTGATTGATATCATCTATAGTGAAACCATTAATTAATTGATCAATCAATTGTTGTTCTTTATTATGTTTCTGTACATTTTTTTCATTGATACTTGTATTACTTCTTAATGACATAAATTGACATATAAAATCAAATTTATATTTTCCATTATTATAAACTACTAATTTACGTGTAATACATTCACCAGGATAAAATTTACCAAAATTTAATTCAGATAATTTATTGATTAAATTTTGATCATTTTGAATTCGATTTATTGATTTATTGATAAGATCTATTAGATCAATACCAATACATGGTGACCATAATGGTGTAAGTTCAATTAGTTCACTAGTAGTTGTACATGTCTTGTTATTATGATTATTGTTATTATTTGATTGAATACAATCAATCCATAATGATGAATGAATTGTATATCCTTGAGCTTTAACATTTAATGTTAAAGGTAAATCACGATGTTTTATAAGGCATTGTAAATTGATATTAGTATCACGTTCACCATTTGCTTGAAAAGTAATTTGAATAGGTAATCTAAATTAAAGATGAAAACAAACTATTAAAATATCATTTTGAGTTAAAAATAGACATCATTGAATAATTGAAACATTATTGTAACTTACTAATCAACTCCAAAACTCATTTATCATAATAGAAATAGCTATATAATTTATCTACTTAGATCATTTAAGATATAAGAAGATTTTAAGGGAGGGCATAAACCCTAATAAAGCCATTATTAATAATCATAATGTTTGGGTAGACAGATCAAGGACGTAATAATAAGTGTTTAAGTAACCAATACGATTGAAAGACATTAATTTAACAAAATCCAAAAATGAGAAAAGTATCATAAGGCTGCTATTAAACGAAATTCAATTTCATAAACGTGGCAGTCAGCTTAGCAACCAATCAGAATGAAGCGGGAATTATTGTATCCGCCATCTTTGTAAGCAATGGCAGTCGGCTTTCCATATTCTTTGTCTTTCCACCTAATTTTTGTATCGCTACATAATTCACTGTTTCAGTGTGCTAAAATAGCCGCAGTTGGTATGAAATTTATTTCGATTCAGCATTGTTTTCTGGGGTTTTGCGGCTACTCAAATCAATGTATTTCTTTAGGCAATCTGATAAGTCTTATGTTATAAAATGTTAATCCGTTTTGTTTTGAGTACTTTTCTCAGATATCGGGAGCCAAGGTTAGTTTTGTTGGCTTAAATAACTGTTGCTGCTGTATGGAACTCCAACTGTTGGCATAATTGTTCCTAACTGTCAGGCAAGCTCGATATTATTATGTCATAGAATCTTAATCCGTTATATTTTGAGCATTGTTTTTTAGAGATCGAGAACCGAAGTCGGTTTTTTTAGCTAAAATAAATGTTGCTGCCGCATGGGACCGTAACTGGCCACATATTCGTTCATAAGTGTCATTTATTGTTATCAGGCGGAATGAAAGGTTTGTTTTTTTGCAGTATTATGGATCACGCTACTCCATCAACGAGTCAAACTAATATTGAGTGTCCAGTGGCTGTGGATACCAGTGATGTTTTCGAAAGGATTATGAGACCCAGGCGCCTGACAAGTTGGGACCAAGTCAGAGAAGCTATCGGTCTGTTGCAGAAGGTTTGCTACTAATAATACACCATTATAAAAGTAATAGGTGAGTTGGAATCATTACGTAGTACGTGAAAGCAAGCGGAACAAAGAAAAGCCGGGAATTCGCTACGAGTAAGTAGTGTATGTATGTTCTTTTGGCCATAAAAAGAAGCCGGAGGGCCATGGTCAGAGAGTAAAAGGGTAAATGATTATCATTATTGTTATTAATTTTCACATATCAAAGTTTAATGGTTGCAAGGCCATGTTTCGTTTGCGGCATGATGTAAACTGGTTCGTCATAGCGTCGTCGAGGAAGATAAATAACCATCCGTGTGATGAAAAGTGCTTGGAAAATGATCCTTGGTTCAGAAGACTAAATCAAGATCAGTTGAACGTTGTTATACCGATGGTAAAGACTGGGAGTAATGCAGAATCGATAATTGAGTATGCAGAAGAGAATTTTGGAAAGACAATAACGGTGCAATATGTTAATAATTTAAAATATAAAGTTGTCGAACGTAAGCTTATCCCATATATCTACGGTATTTTCGGTTGTGGAAGTTTGAACGACGTAATTTCAACCTTACGCAACAATGGGAAAGTATTCGTTTTTTATTGTGGTGTGGCTAACCAGGTCACAAAAATGGCATTTATTACGTACGAGCAAATTGAAACGTACAAAGAATTCCCTGAAGTTGTTTGTTTGGATTCAACATACAACACGAACAGGGGAGAGTAATTAAAAATGTCCTGCTTATTAATTGTCTGAGCATGGAGTCCCAGTTATGTTTGCTTGGACGAAGGAAGAGAAGAAGGTAGATGTGGTATAGATACTGGACCATTTCAAAAAGATCATGAATGGGACTAGTCAAACGGAAACCTATCACTATACATCGCTATATTTTGATGATATATCCCTTTGATCTGATTCTTAGTTTAATATTTGTGCATGATTTTTCTGATTGTTTGGTAGACTGGATCGATTTCGAAGTGTTTATTGATAGCTGATTGACCCGGGTCCCAGGCTTCTAAAAATAAACTGGTGTTCTTAATATTCCCTCTGTCCAGATTTTAAACATTTTTCTAGCCGAATATGTGTCGAAAGTTGTCCACGTGCATTGATGTAAGCTAGGATGTGTCACGGCGTTTAATTGCTAATTGATGTTCATGCAGGCGAAGATGAAGAGGACGTCCATTTTTTCCGATATAGTGCTTTTCGCAACTGAAACAGTTTATTTTGTAGATGATGTTTGGCTTTTCTTTTTTTGTCATGTAGCCCTTTGGTTTGCATAAGATCAATTTAACTTATTTTGCTGGTTTATGTGCTACACCTATTCCAAACATCAATAATCTAGTCGCAATTCCTGATGTCTTTTATGTGTGATAGGATGATCAGTTTGTCAGTTTCATTACCTGATTTCATTGCTGTTGATGAAATGAATTGTTAGTTTTTGATGAAATCGCGTGGGCAGCTGTTCTTATGAAGTATAGTCATTAGGTATTTTTCTTCATTCTTCTGCCCTGTAAGTGTCCTGCAGTGTGTTTTTGCCCTCACGAGTAAAGTTTGTACCCAGCTGATCTTCTGAGTTCTTCGGTTGTTGGTGCTGTGATTGAGAATTCGACCTGTGTTAACTGGCTTCTGATATAATTGAGTCTCTAGTTTTCCTGTATCTGTTCTGGTGATCAGTCCATTCAAATATGGTATTTTGTTGTTCGACTCATTACACACTGTGAATTTTATGTCATCGAAGACGCTGATCAGATTATAGTTGTTTCCCAGTTTCGATGGATGGAATATTAAGAACACCAGAGGATTTTTAGAAGCCTGGGACCTGGGTCAATCAATCATTCTCCGTTCTCTTGAAATTTCACTTTTTTATTCATCCACTTAGAGTCTAATTTAAAAATACCATAAAAAATAACTGAGGTGCATGAATTCATGGTGAATAAACATTTGACTTAGATAGTTTCATTGTAATTATAAGAAAACCTGATAATTAGGTCTACAAATATTGCTAGTTATTCACGTAAATATTCCAAATATTTGAGACCCAGTTAGTATGTAAATAATTGAAAAAAATTAGGAAATAGTTCTTCCATTGAAGATTATTATTTATTATTATTGTAACACATAGATATTGGTACAAGGAGGCACCAAATACATATGCGCCACACAAATCTCATTCGATACGTGTGAAGGCTGTGATATTGCCCGGGTGCCCAAACCGAAGCAGGTGGTTTTCTTAGAGGGCCACTCTCCAAGCCTTTGACCTGAAGGCTTGATCCACAAGGCAGTGGAGCATCGTAAGGAGATGCAGTCCTATGGAAGCCGGTGACCAACAATTGGTTCATACGCTATTTGTTCCCTCAGGATACTGGAGCCCATGTGCACCACTGGTTTGGAATCCGGTTAAAGTGCCGGACATTCAATTGACGATAACATTTGTTCAAATTCAAATGCCTTCATCAATTAAACCTTGAACAAATGCAAAGTATTTACTGTAAATTTTGGATAAAGTAACTGGATTATCACTAGTTAAATCTTTGTTTCTTAATGTTTATCAAAATTGCAGTGCATTTAAATTGTACCAATTGCTGACTGAGTACTGAGCAATATCATGTTTTATTATTCTTTAATGTGAACAATTCAGTTCTACAAAAGGTCAGTGGCTATGTGAATAAGTTTGAAATTTACGGAGAGGATCAGGTCTCTCAAGTAGTAAGATAAGTGTTGTTGACGTATGCTAACCGCGGCAATATATATTATTAAAGAAATGATTAAGTTTAACTAAAGTGTAGTTCTAGAGGCTTTTGGTATAGTAAAAAGTGCCAGGTAATTAAAAAACAGTTTTTGGATTGTTGTAATAGTATACACGGTTAGTATTGTGCACTGCATCTCCATGTACTCGGAAAAAATGAGACCAGTGTAATACCTTCATCTACATAGATTTTTGGTTTTTTAATCGATACTATTGAACAGTACTAAGTCAGAAATAGAACGTTAATTCACCGGTGGTATTGAGTGATTATTGCACGGTATCTTGAAGTAACTAAAGCTGGTAGCAAGGACGGCATATTTTTAACGCGTTGATCTAAAAGTATTGTGGTCACGGCAACAGCTAGTGTCCTGGATATTCAACACCGAGGGGTCTTGAACAGGACGAAATAGACGTCTAGTGACATCTGGTTTTGAATGCTTTTCTGCCCATAATATAAACCTTTTCCAGAATGATATACATTTTAAGGATGAAATTGATAAAAACCAGTAGGAAGTAGCGTCAATGACATACTTTGTACCGGGTGGAATATAACCAGACATCGGTTCAACAATAATCGAATCTTGTTTTCCAGCACTATGAAGACTTGACTTCAAAAATTCAAACTCGAATATATTTGAGGATTGTTCTTCATTATTCATACATATGTCATTGAAAGTAGTTGATGATATTGACGTTGAAGTTTCTTGATTAATTAACAAGACAGTTTTACTAACTTGATGACCAACAAGTACAGCATTAAAGTTAATATGTGATTGATCAAATAGTATATTTGGTTCCCTTGTATTACCGACAATAAGTAATGGAACACTATATTCATATTTCTTGACAACAAATCGCCAAAACGATTCAATTAGTCCAAGTTGATAAGAAATGTATTCAAATCCAATCTGTTTCAAATTAATGAATAAAAGTAAAATTTTACTTATTATAAACAACTAAGTTACTAAATTAAATTAAATTTTATAGTTTTCACATACCTCAGTTATAATACAGACATTTTGTTTAAATCCACAGGTAATGCATGAAACTAATATTCAACATTCAATGAAATCATAAACCTTTATTCATGTATGAGTTTTGTGTGTTACTAATGACAAGCAACCACTTACATCGTTACGCTTTTTTTTAACCAGAGTATAAAAGTAGGTTGGAAAAGTGGAATAATATGATATAAGTTTGTAAAACAACTGGCTTACTGTCTTGTTTAAATTAAGAGCTCAAAGAGAAAACTGTAATTTGACAGGAAATGTTACACCATACAGTGTTAGTTATCTATCATAGCAGTGTAATTTAATCAATTAATTAAATTCTAGTGTATAAATTATTTAATTACACATTCAATTTCTTTATTTCCTTGATTTATTTGGCCTTTTTTCAGTGACAAGTAATGACCAGTGGAGTTCAACCAGGTCTGTTGCGAGACACTAACTCACTGTAGACAATGGTGGTGTCTACCTCAGTACAATAGAAGATGGTCGCTCAACTTCGTGGATTAGTTGAAGTTAGATATTAACATTGTTGGATGCCGGCCAGCTCAGTAGTCTAGTGGTTAAGTGCTCGCGCGCGAAACCGGTAGGTCCTGGGTTTGAATCTCGCAGAGGGCGAGGTCATGGACGCGCACTGGTGAGGAGTCGCACAATAGGACGAAACGGCCGTCCAGTGTTTCCAGGTTTTTCATAGTGGTCTAGCTTCAACTGACTCATGGAATTATTATAATATCCACAAAACCCATCTGATATTTTTTTAGTTCATCACTAAGTGTGAGTCAAAGAGCAGTTTCATGAACATTACATCAACCTCAGAGATCACAAAATCTTCAATACTATATAAGATTGTATTACATGAGACTGATAATTAAGTGGTGTATTTCTTTGAAATTTACGGCATTCTCTTAGCTTTAATGTTAAACAGTCAAATAAAATGATCACTGAAACAAAGTAATTATTCACTTGTTTTTTACATGTCTTGATACGATTATTTGCAAACTTGTTTACTCACGAACAGTATGTTCATTAGTAGACTGTTAATGGTAGATATTCATTATGTGCCATATATTGAACACTTATTTTCTTCTCCCAATCAATATGTATCAGTCCTGATTTATTATCTAACATTACTGGATCTCAGAAGTATAGTTGATATGATAAGAAATATTAACTTGTATGATTTATAGTAAATGAACCTTTCCTGAATGCTAATAAGTGGGGTTCTACTTATCACTAAACTCAATCAGGCTCTACGCAATAAATTATTATTACTATTGTGTTAAAACAGACAAAATAATTAAGTTTGATTAATCCACGTTGTTAAATGAATATGGAGTTTTGCGTCGATTGAATCTTAAATGCTACAAATCACATAGTGCCATTGGGGTAAAAGAAATTATAAACTTTAATTTGATGACTTCTAACCTGTATGTTAAAATTGAATGTAAAATACCTAGTACAAATTTGAAGCTAATGTAGAGGATGTGTAAAGAATGTTGAACATTTACAGTTGAAATCATGAAGTGAACTCAGTTAGATCATCTTTGGAAAACTGAAAGAACTTGAAGGTCGTTCTCAGTAGTGGGTTTCAATAACCCCTCTTATGAGAATCCAGTCCGAAACGTTTTTCTCGAATTTCGGTTCAGTGGTCTGGCTGTTTAGCTTTTGGGTGCAAGTTCGAAGGTCGTGCATTTAATTTTCATGTGCGGAATCGTTGGTGCGCATTGCTAAGGAGTCTTGAGCCAGCACAGAACGATCTTCTAGTGCTCCCAGGTTTTTGATGGTGGTCTAACTGAGATCTCTTCGTGATCGAAACTCTTAAGATATGCACTGTGATTGTAGTTTTTATGATAATAATAATAATAAGGATACAATGTAAACTAAGATAAGTGACTGGATAATTATGAAAAAGGAACATGTTTTGAAAGGCAGTGCAAATCAAAATGAAGGGATACAAAATTGGAACTAAGAATTGTGAGCCAAGTTATATATATATTTTTGTATACAGAGGTTCAGTTCCTTCGAAATGACGCCAATTGCTTAAGCTACACAGAGCAAACGTATTCTTCAACATTTTGGTAAATTGCTAGGAACTAGATATGCAACTGTGAAAGCATCTTCAATTGTGATGTTATGTCCATACTCAATTAGGTGGTAAAGAACGGAACCAATAATAAATTCAGTAAAGCATTTTTCTAGCCATCCTGATACGTGTTCACGAGAGTGTAAGGATAAGGGCCTTTGAGTACGTCGAATATAATTACCCCCACAAGAAATGTGAAAAATGATGCACATCCATAAATTAATTCATCACGAGTAACGTACATTAACTTTTTTTCCAGCTAAGATAATCCCCTTTTCTTCAATACATTTAACTGATTGAGGTTGTTTAACATTAATTGAATCTTCATTTATAATCATAAATTCAAAATCTTCTCTAGTTGTATTAACTATTGAAAAGTATCTGTATATAAAATAAATAAGTAACAGATAGTTTAAAATAAAACTGGAAATCGGTAGTTGAAAATAATTGGAAGCAAAATTCATTCTATACAGATGAATTTCAAATTATCACCTTAGTGTTTACAAAGATATTTGATTGATCAGTAAATTTTATTTCTCGCTAATCTTACCTACTTACTTACTTACGCCTGTTACTCCTCGTGGAGAAGCACAGGGCACCCACCAGCATTCTCCATCGAACTCTGTCCTGAATAATCTTTTCCAGTTGCCATTCATCCTTTTAATATCTGCTTCCAATTCTCGGTGCAGTGTGTTCTTTAGCATTCCTCTTTTTCGTTTCCTTTCAGGATTCAAAGTTAGCACTTACCTCTTGATGCAGTTTGGTGATTTTCGTAGTATATGTCCTATCCACCTCTAAAGTCTTTTCCTAATTTTCTCTTCAATTGGAAGCTGGTTTGTTCTCTCCCATAGTAGGCTGTTGCTGATGGTATCTGACCAACGGATGTCAAGTATATTGTGTAGACAACTGTTTATAAATGCTAGTAGGTTTTTGATTATGGTTTTGTAGTTGTTATTCAAGTTTCAGCTCCGTACAGTGGAACTGTCTTGACGTTCGTATTGAAGATTGTGACTTTAACATTGATTGACAGATATTTTGAGTTCCATATGTTCTTCATTTGTAGGAATGCCGCCGTCGCTTTGCCAATCCTCACCTTTATATCTGCATCCGATCCTCCTTGTTCATCGACGATGCTTCCCAGGTATGTGAAGGATTCCACATCTTCCAGATTTTCGCCATCAAGTGTGGTTGGGTTGGTGTTCTCTGTGTTGCATTTGAAGATCTTACTTTGTCCTTTGTGTACGTTGAGGCTTACTGATGCAGAGGCTGATGCTACACTAGTTATCTCCATCTGAATTTGTTCGTGTGTATAGGATAGGAGGGCTAGGTCATCTGCTAAGTTCAAATCGTCTAATTGGTTCCGTGCTTTCCTCAAATGTGGAGGTCATCATAATCCAGTCAAACACCAGAAGAAAGTTAAAGGGGAAGAATAGGCAGCCTTGTCTGACTTCGGTCCTTACTTGGAATGCATTCGCTAATCAGTTATTATTTAATTTGACAAAGTGAATTCACACAGTTTGTCTCTATCATACTCATCTGAATAGTATACAGGAAACTATTTGTTGTATTCACTGATGTCTACAGTTATTCACTGTTAACTTAGACGATTATCTTTAATGCATTGTGAGTGATAATTCAAAATATATTAAAGTATTTAGAAAACACCTACATAACATTGATTATTCCTGACTGTCAGTCCGATGAATAAGTCTAGATTTAAACAATCCGTATAACAACAATAATCGTATGTTTTGTTATATTCTAACGAAGAATATATGAATGGTAAATGCCAGGAATTATTTATGAGCTTATATATATATATATATATATATATATATATATATATATATATATATATATATATATATATATATCTTTATCAGTTGGTCAACACGTTGTCTCAGACATTTAAAACTGTAATTAAGCAACTAAAACACAAATATCGAAATAAAAAATCGAACCTATGAGTGATAGTTAAAACAGTTAGACATAAGTTTATTACAACAGCAGAAAAAACAGCTTATCATTTTATGAGTAAAACCAACGACTTTTTTCATACCGAGTAGATTTTAAGCCTAGACCAATTGTATTGAATTCAATAACTCTAGTAAATGGATCTAGGCTTTCACCGAATGGTGTTCCATTCGGTCCAGGTAATTCTGGATTTCTTCTCCCGCTTGAGATATAATCTGAGTCACATAAATCAAAGTGTAGAATTGAATGTTCTGACTTTCCTGTTATTGTGATTATTGGAGCTGTCAAAATTGGTCGATTACGATTTGTATTGGATGATTGTTGAGCTAAATTATCAATTTTACTCGTAAGCTGCGCTTCAAATTCACCCAGTAAAAGTGGACTAAAAGTGACCTGAAGTTAGCATAATAAAACAGTAAAATAGACTGAATGAATGTAAAGAGAAATGAATATTTGAAGTTACGTTTATCATGAAATGATAGGGTCTAGTCAGAGATGTAGCGATGAATAAATTCCCGAAACAAATAGTTTTGTAATCCTCCAACATTGATATTGACCTCTTTGTTTACTGAGCACACCTCTAGCTGAAGGTGTTCTGCCAAACATTCACGCCAGATCATGTTTAAGTACGTCACGCTGTGCATCTCCTATGATAACTATTCAGCTTAAATTACATACACCTCGACACATCGACAACTGTTCGGACAGACATTTGAACCCTTAATTCTTGACTTCCGTTTGAACCAGTTTTGAGATTCTAGGACCAAAGCGTTATTAATAGCTGTATATCATTCACATCGTTAGAGACTTCCTTCTACTTCACATCCACAACAGCGGTGAACATTTAATCCAGGACGTCATCGTTAAACTACTGGGTCGGAATCTGTTGGTATGCGTTTTCTTGCTTTAAATAATATGATGGTCGACCAGAACCATTGAAAGATTCTTCTCATCCGTGGTATAACTGAGTTAAAGATGTTTATGGTTTCTGATCAGAATCCGAAGAATTTACTTCAATACTGGACATAAGTGAGCATTCGATTATCGTCGTTATAAAAGGTTCGAACGGAACGTTTTATTTTAGTGGTTACTCAGTTGACGTTAATTAATGATTAAAATATTACTTTGTCCAGGGAATGTCAGAAAATCTTTCGTCCTTGGGAATATTAATGTTACTTGTCTACAAAGGACTGAATAAAAATAATATGAATAACAAGTTTCATTAGGGTTGAAGCAGTTGAGTAAGTGGATCCCTGGATGTGAGTTTCCTCATACAACAAACAAGTTAACTGGATGTATCTGGACCTCATTGTTGATGTTCACATTGAGGCTAGAACCTAATCTCTTTTATTATAAACACCGATGCGTTGACCGTCAAGTAATTGAATCCATATAGTCAGACAAACCACCCATTATTCACAAATTCCGATAGAGCCTGATCAGTTTAAGGGTTGTGGAGATTGTTAAGTTTTTGACTGAGATCACGAACCAATTGATGTTAGACCATCATTGGAAACCTGGAAGCATTGGGTGGCCGTTTCGTCCTATTGTGTGACTCCTCAGCAGTGTGCATCCACGATCCCGCTCGCGGGATTCGAACCCCGTGGGCTTCAGTCTCGCTTGGGAACGTTTAACCTACTGGACCACTGAGCCGGCATCCAATGGTGTTAATTTCTAACCTCAACCAATCCACGAAGTTGAGCGACCATCTTCCATTGTACTGGGGTAAACACCTGTTTCTACCCGACACGGATTAGCTCCACTGGTCACGGCTTCTCATGATCTCCAGTTCATGATCACAATCAAAAACCTAACAATCTCGACAACCCATAAACTGATAATTACCATGTGCTCACTAATGACTAGCTTCGGGAGGGAATTCTCGGACTTCTAGTGAGAGGCCGTGACCAGTGAAGCTAATCCGTGTCGAGTAGGGACAGGTATCTACCTCATTACACTGAAAGGTGGTCGCGCGATCTCGCGGATTGGTTGGGGGTAGACATTAACATCGTTGGATGTCGGCAGTGGTGTAGAGGTTAAATGTTCGCGCACGAGACTGAAGCCCCCGGGGTTCGAATCCCGCGAGCGGGATCGTGGATGCACACTGCTGAAGAGTCCCACAATAGGATGAAACGGCCGTCCAGTGCTTTCAGGTTTCCAATGGTGGCCTAACATCAATCGGTTCATGATCTCAATCAAAAAGTAACTGACAAATTACAGACCTTCAAATCAACGATAGGAGAATACAAACTATAAAAAGTGAATCCATTAGTTAATGAAACTGGGCGGCCTTCTTAAGTATCTGAGCTTACTGTTTCTGCCATCTAGATATTTCAGTAAGTCTGTGTTTTTTTGTTTATTTTAACATATTATGTCAAGTAATTGTATAACCAAGTCAGGTGCGTTTGTGAAAAGTTTGCGACCTTTCTCTGTACAAGTTACAAAATAACCCAATCAGAGACATCGTGGCTGTTGTCAATATGCATCGAAAAGGATGTACATTATTAAGATGTCGAGTCCTGAAATGATAACATCTAACTGGCGACCGCTCAATATTTATCGTCAGCATCGATCAAGAAATAAGAAACGGAAACTTGTTGAAATAATTTGTGATGGGAATTCTATATTGAATAAAGCTAATAATAATGATTTATTATAATAGTGAATCGACTGAGGAGTCAACTAAGCTTCATTTTCTATCCGATTAAGTTTTCACTTTCATTGTACCATCCCTGAGTAACTGATATTTAGAAGAACAATAAATGGATTAATATGTGATAAGCATTATTTTAAAGTATGTGGAAATGTGGTAAATCGCTATATGTTAAGTGCTGTTACATATAATGAATTATAAAGCCTCGCTAATGTATAGTAATATGTATAAGTGTATAATTTGTTTAATCATCACTAATTAACTGACATTTTGGTCCAACGTTATAGGTCCAAGTCTTATTTTGAAGAATCACAACAATAGGCTGCGAATACATCCGTTTGTTGAGTCTCAAATAAGAAGAAACGTATGTTCTGGATTTCATTTCTAACCATTATACAATATGTAATGAACTTGAAGCCACATGCCACACATATGATCTCACCTAAACATAATCGATCAAATACAACATTTAATACCAACCATTACAAACAACCATCAATATTTACCTCGATAAATTGTGATCTTCCAGGTAGTATACAACCTTCAATTGGATAAACTTTGAATGGAATAAGTGATTTATCCCAGTGTTCATTTTGATTTTCATCAGTGCTCCAACATTCATTAGTATTAATATTTTTATTTGACTCATTTTCAGGCATTGAACTTATCATATGAATTGACCATTTAAAATGTAATGTAATTAATCCTTGATTAAATAATTCAAATCTGTATGATACAAGAAATACAAAGATATTTATATCAAAAGGGGTTTTGTGGATATAATAGTAATTTCAATGGTTGAGATCATGATTCAATTGAAACTAGACCACCATGGAGAACCTGGAAGCATTGGACGGCTATTTCGTCCTATTGTGGGACTCCTCAACAGTGCGCACCCACGATCCCGTTTCGCGGGATTCAAACCCAGGACCTGTCAGTCTCGCGTGTGAGCGCTTAACCTCTAGACCACTGAGCCGGCATCCAATAAGGATATCTGTTAGGGATAACGCTTATTTTGACGTTTAAAAAGATATTAAAGTGTATACGTTGTATCCTCGATCCTATTACTTATAATTGAAACAGGCAACTGCTGCAATTACACAATACAAAAGACTGATGCATATGGTGATTTATTAATTATCCAACGACACAACCCTTAAACATGTCATGGCTAAAATAAAATGCACTCATTCATATAATGATTTTACATACATTTGATGATTAGTTAAATAGAAAAAAATACACAAAGTTATTGTATATTACGTACGAAGTTCACATTTTGTAAAGAATATAATGATCAAACTGGATAGAAGTTTACACTTAGAAAAAACTCATGCTGAATTGAGATGGAGACAGCGACCTAAAATGATATCACCCTTTTATCCGATCACACCAGTATATGTGAGAGATCCATTGATAAATGCTTCTCATTAAGAGAATTACGTTTGAATTTTACAGTGAAATAAGTTTTTATTACTTGGAATTGAGTAGAACTTAACGAAAGTACGTGTTTCTAATTTGAACCAATTCTAATATAAATGTTATATCCCGACGAGAATTATGAACGATAACTTTTGAGAACTATTTATGGAGCAATACAATACATATATTTTTATTGTACAATTAGTAAGTAGCCAAAGTGTGCATATTCATGTTCCTCTTATTATAAGGTTTATTTTGACTTGAGGACTGTTATTATACAACCTATCGTTCTTGAGTTATGCCCAGTCTATCAACTATTATCTCCCACGTTCACAGACGCTTTTGGCTAAATCTTGTACAAATGTTATTTTCTATTTTATGGTACAATGTGATCTGGTTTGTTTGTATGTAAACCAAGTATGTTTGAAATACATGATTCATATCGCAGAGGCTGTGATTGGTGTTCTGGACTCAATAGAGAGTGCTAGGCAGGAAGAAGGACCGATAAGGACTCTAGACTACTCGTACGGGTTTTATGCGTTATTGGTCCGGTCGATAAATTACTGTTCTCTAATTGTCAGTATCATTACGTTATATAATAATAGGGCACAATATCACAAGTTATAACAACATGGATCCTATTGATAAGATTTTATATATAGAGTACTACAAACAAGTAATAATAATTGCAATTCATATTAGTGCAGTACAATCTCAACACTACAGAATAGAATGAGATGTTGACTTTCATAAAGTTTACCGAAATATATACTTTTCAATACATTTCACTATTTACCATCATCAATAAACAAACCTGTATATTCGTTTTTCAAAAATATTTGTTTCTTTAAAATCAATTCTATTTGGATCACAACGAAATTGAACAAAATCAGCTATAGCAGATACGAATAATTCTATTGGTTTAGGATCTGATTGATCGAATACTTCTTCATAATGAGGTTCTGGTTCAATTTCAATTAGTTTTTGTTTACGACAAATTATTTCATTAGATGAACCATAATTACAATTCATATGAATATTTCGTTCTTGTAAATTATCTGAACTTATTATCGTTGTTTGAATATGATTTGTTGGTTTTAATGAGTTTACTGTTCCTGTTGTCGTCGTCGTTGTTGTTGTTGTTGTTGGTATTGAACGATTTGAAGAATCTGGTCCATTCGTTCTGAAATTATATGAAAATTATATTCATGAAAATGGACATAGGTAATTATGTCTTATAATAACTATTTACATAGCTAAAATACATAAATTAATGTGAAACAGTAATGAACTATAAATTCGCATGATTAGGAAGGTTAGACAAGTTATAGTGGACAGAAATTTGATCGATCACATCTTCTTGTAAATGTATATAGTAAGTGAGAAATCAAAGTGTGACGGGTGTACTATGAATGGACTGTTTATTTACTCATACACCTCTCTTTAGGTCAGTTCGGATATACATGTATATGTGTGAGTTGTAAACATTGTTATTCGGTTCTGGTAATTAAACTTATCATTCAAACTTCATCCTCTCTTTCTCTATCTCTTTATCGTGTGATATTCAGGAGTTTAGGATTATGCATTGGTAGGATTCATCAGAATCACATTTACTGTGTCGTAGTCAAGTGTACTAATTTTCACGCGGTTGAGGCTTTTAGGCCAATACTACCAATTCTTCAGATTTTACGTATCGTTAACAAAAAATATATTGACATCAGAAATAAACCCTTTTAAAACTAATATAAAGTCAAAAGTATTTTATAGAAAAATTATCAACTTACTTGTCTCCAGGTACATCAACCCAACGAATAACTTGTTTTGTATCATCCCAGTCAACAGCCTAACAGGATGAGTATAAAAAAGTAATCAAATAATTTACACAGATAACTAAGCAAATAAAATCTTATTCAGATTTCAAATTACAAATAAACGGAATAGCTAATCGATGCTTTCTGGTTGTCAATAATTATCTAAGTAAGCTCATTAAAGAGGAAGAATCTATTTGTAAAATCTCAACGAGAGAACTTGAAGTCAATCCAACGTTTCGCCTGACAATCTGGTCCAAGTTTTTTCAAGGAAAATATAATCAAACAACAAAATTATCGAATATAAATGGGTACATGGTTCTCTGGTTTACTGTATACTGAATACGTCATCCAATCAACGTGAACAATGTTTAAAGTAGGTATTTACATTAATGTGTAAGAGACACATGGTATGAAACGAAAAGTGTTAAGATAACGGATTGTGTGTATACGTAAGTGATGTGAGAAGAAATTTCATCCAACTATATATTGTCCTCGGTCTGTGTATATTAAGAAAAACATATCATTTTATATATGAAATGAACCAAAAATGTCACAGCATGCATTAAATGAAGATAAATAAATAAGTAAACAAGATAAAAGACTGAATTCAAAGAGGAATGTATTTGTAATTGAAAGTTTGTGTTATTTTAATGTTCCAGTCAATTGTTTATCATATTCAGATAAGCTAACTGATTTGAAACCGTTGATTAGTTAATATGATATAGACAGATCAAATGGAATAAGGAGTTCAGGTTTACTTATTAATTATTAGTTGCCATGGGACAGCTAGTTGTATTCCATCTCTCCTATTAATACTGTTTGAATTTGCCCATATATGTAGAGGTTCGGCTGTTAGTCGTTCTTCGTAAGAATTAAAGCCTTTTTGAATGATTCTTGCGCCATGGAAATCAACTGTATGACCCGATTCAATCGAGTGTAATGCTATCGCTGATTTGTTCTCAAACTTTCTTACATCATCTGAGGATTTATGAATGTGCTCTAAGCACGCTTTGTGTCCCTTCACCCTCACATTCAGTTACCTTGATGTTTCAAGTATATACGTTGTATTACAGTCATTACATTTGATTTCATAAACACAATTCTGTTGTTCATCCTTGTGTATTGGATCTTTGATTCTTACTAGTTTTGATCTTAGAGTATTGTTTGTTCGAAAGAATACTCTTATATTTTGAAGAGTTAGAATCATTCTGATCTCTTCTGAAATACCTTTACGGTATGGTAACACAACTGTGTTATCCATTCTTTTTGTTTAACTCTTTTTTTAATAATATCATTTTGTTCTTCATTCTTAACTATTCTTTTAATAAAACCCTTCGGATAATTATTCACCATTAGCGTAGATACAATTAAATTCATTTCCATTTTTACATCATTTGGTTCAGTGACAAGCTTTTTGACTCTGATGATCAAATTTTTGGCTACTGTCACTTTGGTAGAGTGTGGATGCACAGACTTAAAATCTAAATATTTCCCTGAATATGTCAGCTTCCGGAAAATACTAATTTTTAAACAACCATTATACTTCCTTTCAACCAAGCAGTCTAGAAAAGGTAATTTGTGTTCAGGAGATTCCAACTCTTTAGTGAACTCGATTTTGTCATAGATGCTGTTGACACGTTGAAATAGTTCGTCTAAAACATCTCGTTCTATAATGACAAAGGTGTCATCTACGTATCTTAACCGATAATTTTGTTGTTTGATTATATTTTCCTTGAAAAAGCTTGGACCAGATTGCCAGGCGAAATGTTGGATTTATGTCAAGTTCTTTCGCTGAGATTTTACAAATACATTTTTCCTCTTTAATGACTCACATTAACTCGGCGCCCAAATATTGTGAAACTATTCGTTTAAATTTAGACGAAAGTTCTTATTTACTAACTAAGCTCAGTTCATGATGTACAATGTAAATGGTTTGCTCACAAATACTGATATCAGTAAAAAACATAGAAGTTAAAGGTAGTTTAAAAAGTAAGTATAAAATCACCACATCTGTGCCTTTAATTTGAAGCTGGTGTTCCCGGTGAGATAACGAATTCTAGATAATGCTTAAAAACAAAACTCAAAGATTTTTGTGAAATTCAGTGATGATATCAAATGTCTAAAATAACCTCGTCTCTTGGTATTGATTGATATTTATTCATTTATTTGTTTAGACACACAAACATTAGTACAAAGAGGCTCCAAATATGTATGCGTTACACTTCATCATTTGATTTGTGTGAGAGCTTGGACATCGCTCAGGTACCTAAACCACAAAAGTGGTTTACTTAGGGGACCACAACCGGAGCCTTTGATCTAATGGTCCAATCCATAAGGCAGTGGAACAAAGTTAGGAGGAGTCATATGGTATCCGGTGACCAACAGCAGGTTCTCATGCCATATGTTCCTTCAGGATCTTGGAGTTCATGTACACCATTGGTTTGGAATCAGGGTCTTGCAACTCCCCTGAGTGGGTCCTCCACACCCACCAACTCGGTACAAGCATCGGACATTCGCTTTTCTTCCCCTCAATTTTATTAACAACACTCCCGTTGCAAAATGATAGTGATTAGGACTTCCCTGTCAGTAGCTATATAAGCTTGGCCATGTGAGAGTATTTGGAGATGGAGAGCGGACTCTCACCACCCTCGGACGTACCAGTGCATTCGGGGGCATTTATTGATATAACTGCTCTGAAGAGCAAGTTCTAAAGAAAGAACTTTCACGCTTGTAACCACTTTTAAGTGGCACACCATCTGACTCCTGCTTGATCGTATGAACATGCCATGAACATAAATTTTTCATTTAACTCCGCATATTACGTAGGCTACATTACATAGGCTAAGCGAATAGTTAACAAAGTCAAAATGCGACTCGAAGAATGAAGCAACTGGTCTATCCGAAAGCTAGAATAACCCATGTGGGCTTGACATAGTAGACACTGAAACGTTCTAACATGTCTATTGTATTTAAAATAATCAATGGAGAATGCTAAAGCATCATGTTCTTCAAACAACAAGAGCATTGATCGTTAGGATTTCCAAAACCTTAGAGGTTTGAATACAACAGAGAGAGGTTAACGTCTTCTTATAAATTGTTCAGCTTCAGGGTCAATAGGTCAGTTATCATCTCCATTATAGTTTGATCTGATGTAACACACACATAACCTTTTTTCTTTTATGTTCACACAGTTCAAATTTATCAAATTTATGTTTCTACATAAAAACCGTTTAACTTAGTGTTCAATTTATTCTCGCCACTCTTCTGTTCATAAAATTTCATTCATTAATCAACCAACAATCAAACACCGTATACGGCCATAAGTCATACTAATACTCCTCAGAATTTTATTTGCATTCATTCACATATTATTGAGGTGTGGTATTAGATATGTATGACAAATCACGTATGAATATATAATTATGAGTAACTTACTTTCGTACAACCCTCTGGAACGGGTACAACAATACGATGTAAGTTACATTTAATAAATTGAGATTTAAGTGTTATTGGTGAACCAGATGGTTTGAATGTAACTTCAATTCGTCTAGATTGATTTACATGTAAATGACCTTCAGATGGTCGAAATTGAAGAATCGGATTATTAGTTGGCCAACTGAAACGAAAACTTGTCGGTTCTGTCTCTTTAACTTTGCCACAATGAGTGATTGTTATTGTACGCGTTATAGTTTCATTTGGACCACAGTCACCAAAGTCTAAATGGTTATGTTGTAATGCTAATTTAGGGAAAAAAATCCGAAGAAACGATTAGTAAATATCATTTATTTGTGAATAAGAACTAAATGTTTCCTAGTAAACTGATATTTAATTTTAAGTAAATGTCTATATAGGATTAAATTAATCCTTTATTTGATAATAAACTTCGTTGGACTTCTTTGCATGAGTTTAATACTACTTATCGTACTTTCTCTAATAATTTGTATAAATATACATGATGCTTGAATAATAAATTGTACTGTGGCATATGTATTTCAATGATCCTTGGTGTTTAACAAATTTTACACAGGTCTTTTTTTATTAGTAATCTACATCATTAATCAAACAACTATGTATATTCATTAATGGGGACCCTAGCGACATTTAGTCAGAGTTTAGATGGACTTCACTATTTAATCTTTATTATCAAACTTTCTGAGGCGCTGGATTCATTTTTAACATCATTTAGATTTATCGTTTTCAATGAAACTCATGCTTCTTGTTAGTTTAGAACCTTTGTCGCTCTGCTAAGTTACTAGTAGGTTGGATCAAACATATCACCTGGTAGACGGATGATAAGCGATGTTTTAACTAAATCCAAAATGCTGAATGATGTATATCGATAAAAATCAAATAGGTTTTAATGACCTAGTGATATCATAAATGTCAAATTTAATAACAGATTATAACTCTATACCGACGAAACACTATTCAGTAGGTGGTACCATCAGAATTAATCAAAATTAAAATTCTCCTAATGTTTGGTATGATGCATTTAAATGAGAATCAACCATTCAAATAGAAGTACATTTCATTGAGTTAAGATCATAATGGGTATTGGGCCGATTAGTATGAAGGAATTTTTTCAAGTTCCGAAAGACAAAATACATCATACAGTGAATGTGTGGTGTGTGGTACTGACGTTGAAAGATATAAGTAATATGTATCATCAATCGAAAGTGAAATCCCCGGTGGTAGAATGTGAACAATATCGAAGAAAGAAGAAAGAAAATAGCGAATTAAATAAAGGAACAGTGAAGTCTGAGACGATTGATTAACATTTTGCAAATTAAGTATTTACTGTATGGTTCTCAGATTTTACTAGAATGTTCTGTAATTTTGTATTCAAATACATTCGGTTGTCCACACTTGTGTTCTCATTCACTACAAAAATAAATGCATTTTGAGAACTTTTACTCTTCTGTTTTAATTCCTTTGAATCAGAAATTAAACAGTTTAATGTCGAAGTTTACTTGGCTCGAAATTGAATGGACAAGCTGAAGTGTTACGTTTATGGATTTCTGCCAGCTACCTTTAATCATCTATTATTTCAAGATTTGCAAAATTATCTAAATGTAGATTGTAAGGAGTTGAATGTTCAGCCAAAACACCCTTGTTTATGGATCATGAATACGATACCTAACGTTTTTTTTGTTTATAATAATATTGCTTATAAAGATAAATATAGTGAGGTTCTTCTTCTAGCTGAACTAGATATTATATGTAATTAAAGTTAACAATAGGAGCAATGAGTAAAGTATTTGTAATAGACTGAAGTACATATTTCTATCCTTATAAAATACAATGAATATCTGTTTCAGAAACTAGTCGGGATTTTCAAAATTTGAGATCATGAGTCAATTGAAGCTAGACCACCATGGGAAACCTAGAAGCACTGAACAATCGTTTCGTCCTATTATGGGACTCCTCAGCAGTGCGCATCAACGATCCCGCCTCGCGGGATTCGAACCTAGGACATATCAGTCTCGAGACTTATCTGATGAACGTAAATAATTGATTCTTCAGTAAACCACTTTTCTTACAGTGATCAAATGTTAAACAAATAACCAATGACAATTGTTTCCCATTAGATTTACGAAAAGTGTAAAGACTAGTTACCTGACGTAGTTTGAACCTCATCCTGATTAGGATCTGTAATTATTTATAAAACAAAATTAAAACTATAAATTAAAGGAAATTTATTGTTAATTTAAACAATAAGTTATATTGAGTTAGAGTAGTTGAGGAAATTAATAAATTTATGATTTCCGTAATGAATCGAGTTGGTTTTGGACTCCTCAGGAGGTTATATCCAAAGTTTACAGTAATGGCAGTACATGATCTGACAAAAAATCACCCGAACAACAATCAGTCAGTCAGTCAGCTACAACGTAGGACCAGGCACATATATGCATCGGTCCAAGTTGCCATACCTCATTAACACAACAAGATGGACACCGGATTCATAAAAGTAGTTAATTCAGAGGTGGTAATATATAAAAGAAAGACTGCAATCGCGAATAACGATTCTGATATATTTTAAGGAGAAAACATAAAAAACGATTGTCAAAATGTATTTAGATTCTTAAATAATTTGGCTGAACATTTTCACGATATTGCGTGACCATCCTCTATTATGCTCAGTGAGTAGCTACCTCATACCTGACACGGTTCAACTCCACTGGTCACGACTTCTCACTAGAACTCTGACATTTACTTTTCGAAGCTAATCACTAGTGAGCACGTAGTAATTATCAGTACAGCGTTTCGGAAATTGTCTAGTTTCATGTGAGACCATGAACCGATGAATGTTAGATTGCCATTGAAAACTGGAAGCACTGGACAGCCGTTTGATTGAAATTAGACAATGACACCGTTGGACGCCGGCTTAATGGTTTAAAGGTTAAGCGTCCGCTTGCGACACCGAAGGTCATGGGTTAGAGTCTCTCGTTCAGGATCGTGTATGCGCACACCTGAGGAGTCCCATGCTGTGCCTTCCAGTGCGTCCGGGTTTTCAAGGGTGATCTAAAATCGATCGGTTCATGATCTCAATTAAAATTCAACCGACTCCACAACTCTATGCTGATAATGAACATTTTTTCTCAATAATGTTATACAAAATAATGTCACTTACTTATCTGGAACAAAAACAAAGACCAACCTACTCACAAATAACAATGGCTACTATATCTTCAGTATTAATAGGACCAACAGAAAATAGTAAGTATATTGTGTAGTCGGTATAGTGAAATAAATTATACTACTTATAATATAATATAGACTGGAGAACTCAATCACTAACCGTTGAACAAATAATCATCTAAGCATAAGTACCATTCGTTCGATTCGTTCAGTAAATCAGGAACAAAAGTAGTAATAATAATAAACTAAACTGGAATTGATTTTATATCAAGATTTCTCATCAACTTTAAATTACGTAAAATAATTTCGACTTGCTTTAATTAATGATTTTAAGATGGATGTTTAAAGAAAAAAAACAATAATCATCACTATCAGTATAGGGGTTGTGGATATTATTAAGTTTCTTGATTGAGATCATGAACCATTTGATGTTAGATCACCATTGAAAACCTGGAAGCACTGGACGATCGTTCCGTCCTATTATTGGATTCCTCAGAAGGATCGTGGATGCGCACTGCTGAAGAGTCCCATACTAGAATGAAATGGCCGTCCAGTGTTTCCAGTTTTTCAGTGATTGTCTAACATCAGTCGATTCATGATCTCAATCGAAAATCATTATAACAGATCAAAACTTTATACATAATAAGAATTGAAACAAAAACAACGACAAAAAAAAAGATTTAAAAGAAAACCTACCACAATCCATATCCTCTAATGTTAATTTCGATACAGAAACTATTCGTTTCAATGCATTTTGTATACATAAATATTTGTCATTATCTAATTGTGGTACATTTTCAATACATACTTCATCATTTAATGATTCACCAATTAATTCAATTAATGTATCTTCATATTCATTATTTACTACTATTAATTGAATTTGTCCATAATTTTTAATATTACGTTTATTTGGTTTATATGAAATTGTTAAATTAAATTGATGTTTAGGTTTTAATAATAAACCAATTAAATATGATTGTTTAGCTATAGATAATTCATCATTACCAGCTAAGAAATGATTTGAAAAGAAAACAAAAAATAAAGGAATGAAGAATTATTTTTAGTGATTTGGATACTAAGAATTCTTTTACCTCTTAGGAAAGATATTCTTGAATGAAACATTGGAATAATAAAATCTGTTTAACTTCAACAAAAATCTACTTAGATGGTGGTTGGAGGTAGTTGAACAGGAAACCCTGGACCCAGATTTCGTGCTACTTGGCACTTGTCAGCAAGGTGTGCCTGTAATCTGTTAATAAATATAGCACCTGTTGTATAATTTATCAGCTTGTTCAATTGCATGAACGGGTATGCTTCCTGAGGTTGGATATTTTACATTCATGATATGTTGATAAAGCAATACAATAACAGTGTTTTATTATCCATGGTTAGTTTATCGACTGAATCGAATGATACGAGGAATCAATGATGAATTATAAATATCGTATTGTTGTTTTTTTTTAAATCAAACTTTGTTAGTGATTTACGATTAAAATTTAACTTCCTATTTTGTTTGTTCAGTGCGAGCTTACGATGTACACATTAGCTTATAGCTACAATTATATTCTTGATTAAGAGAACAGTGTAATGACCAACAGATTTATAAATTATATAGTGTTGTTATAAGCAATGGTGAATAGTGGCTAGTAGTGGGATCCAGGACGCGCGTTTCGTCCTATTTGGGACTTGTCAACTGGATATCCCTGCATCCCAGGGTTATTGTTCACTCTGGGGCTCGAATTCAGTACTGTTCTCTTCAAACGCTATCTTGTTATCCACTTAGCTACCGTGTCCCGATAGAATGACCAGTTGCAGTTCTTAACATCAATGCCAAGATTCACACAAACAATACTAAATGAATTTACATAGTGTTGTATCATTAATTTGAAGTTATCATCTTCATTAAAAACAATGTTTGTTATCTCTTTAATTTTGTTAAGTGATAGCAGTAATTGAAACCTCATAAAATTCTGGTTATTACACAGATCTGTAGTTGGTGGTCACATAATGAAAAGAAATTTTCTCACAATGACCTGTACAAGACAACTTGCCAACAATCAAAGTCAGTCATAATTAACGTAGAGGTTTGCAAAAAGACAGTGGAAAGGAATACCGGGACCCAAAGTCTAGGGCAAGGAAAAGACTTAATACTTCTGTACCACTATGACCTATCCTAATACATACGACAGAAAATTTTCAATCTGAGACAATTATTTCGATTTGTCGAAGAAACAGATATTAAAAAAACTGTTATGTAAAATATTTCAAAGAAAGATAGAATCGGCGTTCAGTGATATACAGAAGTTTATAAAACAAAATCAATAATAAACTTGTAATCGTTTTAATCCTACATGATTCACTAGTACAATCAGCCGACATGTCTGGGGGATTGTAAAACAGTAAGGAACCATTGTTCGATTGTGGCTTCAATAAAAACACTCCTTCTGGATCAATGAGATCAATGTTCAACTAAAATATTAAAAATATCAAATAATGGTTAATTGCGACATAATAATCAGTGATTCCAATAATAATCCTATTAATTCATCTGTGAGTAATCAAAATAAAAAAAATGGTTAGCAGTAGAAAGATAAATTATTTCTAGAATGTAAAGTATATCCTTAATTTGGTATGCGCCTGGTACTGCAATCAACGATGCATGTTCCGTCCTATTTAAGAATCTTTAGCCAGATGTACAAGCTTTTCAGTGTCGATGTTCACACTGAGACTTAAAAGTGTGTCTATATCTTCAAACACTATAAAACTCCTGCGTCCAGAGCGCAACTAATTTTTCCAGTGGACATAAACGTAACTTAAGTATTCGTAGTTTACCGTTGCAATACTCTATTCTGTAAGGTATATAATATATAGTTAGTTCTGTTCGACAATATATATATATACGATTAATAAGTGAACCAGAGATGGAAAACGTAGACCACTGAAATTCAGCTCAGCATATCTATAGTATTATGTTCACCACGAGTTGAGAAGCTTTAAGGTTCAATTCCATGTGATATTTCGGTTGTACACTAGTGAAGAATTTTAACGAAAGGAATATTGAATCGTTTATAAGTTTCCCAGAGATTCAGTAGATTATACTGGTCGATGATGGGATATGTCTCGAATTCGAATTATCTCCGAAAAATCACCTAACGGAAAGGTAAAATTAGAAACCTATAAAAGGATTTATATTAAGTGGTTGGCGGTGATCTACACTTATCCCTAACAAGAAACGTGGGTTCAGGATTTCCTCCCAACTGCCTGCAACAGTAACTCAAATTAATGGCCTCATTGATAGACAGAAGTCTATCTGCTTTAAATGCTGAAAACGTGATATTAGCCATTATCCAGTCGTAGATCAATTGTAAAATAATAAACCATTTAAAAACAAAATGACTATAAACAGTAAAGTTATCTAAACAAACAAAAGAAATTCACAAGCATTCTAAGAAAAAATGGATAGTAGCTGGTAGTGGAATCCAAAACGCGCGTTTTGTCCTATTTGAAACTCGTCAGCAGCATGTACTTGAGCCATGGATTCCACCGCTAGCCATTATCCATCTTTGCTTAGAATGCTTGTAAACTAAAGCAATATCGAGGCAATACACACAGTATACATATGTGCCAATAAGAGACTGATCAATTTCAGTCTTAAACACCAATGGGAAGATTCAAGTAAACAATACCAAGTGAATTTAAACAAAAGAAATTTTTAAAAACGTTAACTTTACAAATTTTTCAAAAACGTTTATGGAACCCAGTCATTCATTCAGTAACAATGTAGAACCTCGTACGTACGTACATCAGTTCGAGTTGCCATACCACATTAACACACAGATACAATTGTGAATTCAAATCCCGTAATTGTAGAGGTATTAAGAGTATAAGCAGTAATCGGAAAGATCAGAGTTTGAAGATGTTATTCAAGGAGTATAATTTAGTCAAATAAATTTGGAGAGAGAAAAAAATGGGGACATGAAGGATTCAGAAGATTAGAATATGGGAGAACACAAAGAGTGGATGCACCTGCGCCATTGCAAATGATTTTGAGCCATATGATTCAAAGTCTCTTACCATTGATTGCTCTCATCTGGCGGATCTCCGGAACCAGGTAGTCTACACCTACCAACATGGTTCAGTCCACCTGTCAGTGACTTCATGTATTTGTGCCATTTTTTGGTCTGGCCGCCCCTAGCTTTCTTCCAACCTGCACCTATACCATTGAACATTGCACGTCGGAGCAGTCGGTGGTTGGGTATACGTAACACGTGTTTCACCCATTTCAACTGATGAATTTTCACTATTTCACCAATTGATTTGCCATCCTTACCTAGTACTCGTTTCCTAACAACTGCATTACCTACTTAATGATCCCAAAATATACGAACAATGTTTTGAAGACACATATGATAAAATACTAGTAACCTACGAATATCCTCTACTCTTACCGGATATGTCTCACTGCCATAAAGTTAATGGAACTTAACTTTTACAGTACAGATTCGGAGTTAAGATGAAAACTGAGTTATATAATCTACCATTTTCAAACACCATTAGATTGAAAAAATGAACATTTTATTGTGACTAAATTTATGCACGCTTATTTGCTAAACAATATTAAAGCATAATTGTTATAGAGTCAAAATGATCAATAATATTTATTATTTTACAATCTCATATTTTAAATCTTAAACTAATCTTAGCTAGACCACCACGGAAAACTTAAGAACATTAGACTGATGTTGCTAATAGTGTGAAATTTCCCAACAGTGAGTACCAACAACCCTGCATCTAGAATAGTGGACACATCCACACACAAGACCGAAAGTCACCTGGGTGATGGGTCGTGGGTGCACACAATCGAAGAGTCCCATCCGTTAAAGAAAGTGTAGTTCAGTCCTTTCAAATTTTCTGATATGGTCTAGCTAATATTAGTTCGTGATTTAAATATGAGGTTATAAATTAAGATAGAATATATAGCGACTCACGTGCAAATGGGTTTATTCTCATTTAACTCAGTTAAGCCCTTTTGCTAACTTATTTAGCGGACAAAGCCATCCGCACTATAACAATTTATTGTACCCTTATTATTATTTTTTGCTTGTATGAAATACGCATGCTTGAATATTGCTTACGGCCTACGCATTTATTCACTCTGCTAGTCTCACTACTAACCGCTTATTTGATTCGATTACTCATTAATTTCACATGCTATATATATGTCCACGTTATTCATATGCCTGGCTCTGCTTTCTCGCTCACTTGATTGTACTCGATTACTTACATTCGCTCAGTCGCTCGCTTGCCTGTTTGTCGTTCGACACAACTCTTAATGCTCGTTTTATGCATCTGTAATTTTGGACATCTGTGTGTGTGGTCTCGAAATAAACGTAATCAACGCTTCGTATTCGCCTTCTGAATAATATACCGTTGGGGTTAAATAGGACGGTTATCAAGACGAATTGTATACGAAGTTTAAGGGATATATCGAATACCGACCACCACAAATATATCAGTGCTGCAGTTTAAGTCTAGACTTAGAGTTGAAGTAGATATGGGAAATGAGATAGACATTACGATGGCCAAAAAACAATCCAATCAACACTAGCTAGATCAATACTAGCTACTAAGAAAATCACCAAGTAAGGATCTACTATAAGCATCCTATATTTTTCTCGACTTGTTTGTATCTATCAAATGTCCATTCATATTTATAAAATCCATTCCACAGTATGCTACATACAGTTATCAAGGCTATTTTAATAACGAACGGAATGCACAATGAAAATAAGGTTAGATTTATCGGAAAAAATTACGTACTCGACTATTTAATAATCCATTATTCTGAAGAGACAATGTCTGACTTGATATTTTACCAACTTGAATGCGTTTAAACACGCACATTGTTTGGCCAGCACGATTGCGAAGTTTTGGTTGTAAAACACTTATTTGTGGTAGATTTCCTTCACCATATAATTCAAAAGTAAGAACAGGCGGATTTGAAGAACGTTTTGTACTGGAACTAGTGCTTCCTCGACCTGAAGTAACTATGGTACTTGGAGATAGTTTATTGTCTACATATACATTAAATGTTGCTGTGTAAAGCTGGAACATTTAACAAAGTATAAAGAAGTGAATGCATCGAATTTGTAGAAAAATCATCCGTATTAAAGTTAAGTTTTTTATCATGAAATATCAAAAAGAAATAAGTTAATAGACCCAAGACACTAAGTAACGCGTAATCTTACTTCAGTGTCAACCACTCACTTTTAAATGGTCGGTAAAATTCAATACTAAACCTGGTACATGTGTACACAGGTTTAAGCTGTGGTCCACATTAGCACAGAGATGAAATTGTCTGGTCGAATACCACAAGGTTAGACGTAGTAATTGTTGTAACGGGTGGACTGCAGGTTAAATGGAGCAGCGTATTTATCGATCGATTACAGTGGCACGGAAAACACGTAGTGAACGACCTAGTGCCCTGACTGGTTCCGCTTCCCTGTCTAGCCCAGCCAGTTGAGTCTAGAACGCAAGTCACAGCCTCTGAGTTATGAATCATTATATTTCAGACATACTCTATTTATATACTAACCAAATAGACCACATCGTACCATAAAATAGAAAACAACATTTACACAATATTTAACGAGTGAAATAAATAACGGCCAATAGGAAACGTTCATTTAACGTCCAAGGACATCATTAGACTTAACATGATAATGATTGGCACATAATTCCTCAGCATCCATAACACCTCCCTTTTTTTCAAGATCCGGAGTTGATATCCGGATTTTAAAATTTTCTGCGTCCGTCCTCCTCCGCGAAATAATGTTAGGTCCTCACATACCCAAGTAACAGTTAGTCTGATTCTATTTAAAGCATATTTCCCGCATTGGGTAGAGGGTCCACTGGAACCGACTAGATGATGAGGATCAGCGAAACTAGATATGAGGTCATTAAGGTTTGATTCTTGTGAAACATATTCATCAGACCTCTTCAAAATTCCATCAATGGATAATAGATCACTAAAATAAACAGCATCTTTGAAATTTGTATTAGATTTCTGACCATTATTTGATGCATGAGACACATTTTCTGGCACGAGGGGTTCTTCTTGTGAGCTGGATGCCTAACTGTCTGTAAATGTTTCGGGCACAGTGGGATTTGAACCCACGACAGGGCATGCTTCTGAATTGGACATTTCTGGATCGCTGGACGGATCATGAGCGACTGCCTCGTTTGCATTACTGATCATCAGGGATTCATAGAGGCTTTTGTTTTCATATTCATACGTCCTGCAGTCATTTTCGAGTTCAGTGTGCAAGTGAGAAATTAATTCATCAATTTCTTTCACATCTCCGAAACACGGGAGATTTAGCAGTCACGTGCGTAAATTGTCCAAAACATTCAACTGGCTCTCTCTGAAACGCTGCTGCTGGCGATCAAGTAGTAGCTGCAATTGATCGTGAAAAACAGTCATTTTCTGAATCAGCAGGGTAATGAGAAATACTGTGATCAATTAACAACCAATGACTTCCAAGAACACCGACGATCAATCTGAATGCTGATTGGTCAAAATTATTAGGTTGAATCTCGTCCAATTACAGGGTTCAAAAGTAATAGTATTAGTGGTAACAGACATGATTAGATATCGAAGATACAATTCGAGAAGAAAATACAAATTAGTGAAATTTAAAAAAATTGTGAGTAATTTAGAAGCCTAAAACTTGGGAGAAGATAAACGGTAGATGCACCTGATTCATAGACTGATATCATATCTTGGTTTGGCTTTTATATCTTAAAACAATCCTAAGTATAAATTTACGTTAAAATAATTATACATTTTCAATGAAAAATAATAAAGTTCTGCCTAGTGATTAACCCACTTGCATAGATGTTGGACAAAACGTTACATTTGCATAACTAGATGAATGTGGTTCTATCTGAGCTTTATCTGGTATCACTTCAAACGAATCACAACTAGTAGATTGACTACTTCGGCTACTTGAACGTCCATTTGGTTGATTAGGACTAACTGTTCCGACTGCACAAACTTCAAATGAAACATCTGCAGGTACATTACTTCGATTAGCTATACGGAAACGTGCAACAACACGTGAACCAACTAAAACATTTCTATAAACAAAGCGATTTTCTTCAATTCCAAATATACTGCCGGATGAAATCTATAAATAAGTTATACAATACGAAAAGAGAATGATATTTTTTCATTAAAACAGGAACTAATTATTTTACAATCAGTGTAACGTAGAATCTGGGACATATGAATACGTTTAACTGATTAAATCATATCAGCACAGCAAGATGAAATTACAAAGATAATATTTTAAGATAATAAAAGTTATATTCGTATCAGTGATAGAATAAAAAAACACTAAGGTATAAAGAATATGACTTGAGAAGAATAAATTCTCTGAAAAGAAGGACTAAAATAATTTTTAACTCAGGATCTATGCAAAGATGAAAAGTAGATGTACTTGAATCATTATGACCGATTCTAAGTCATACCATAAAACATTTCCAACCATCAGTCTAATCATGAGATCGCTAAAACTCTGCTTAAATTCAACCCTATTTACTTTTAACGGTATTTTATACAAACAAACTAACGGTGGAGCAACGGGATCCCCCGTGTCCCCGATTGTAGCCAACCTTTTTATGGCATACATAGAATCAAATATCTTCGCCCACAACATTATACCACGAATTTGGCTTAGATATGTAGACGATACATTTGTTGTTTTAAAAAAGACTCATCTAAGATCTTTTTCAAAACGAATAAATACACTTTAATCGCACATCAAATTCACGAATGAAAATGAAAATGAATGTAGTGAGCTACCATTCTTGGATCGCTTAGTTAAAAGAAATCCAAATGGAAGTCTAAACTTATCCATTTACCGAAAGCCGACGCATTCAAATCGTTATATTGACTTCCATTCAGCACATCCTTTCAGTGCTAAGATCTCGCTAGCATCAAATCTTTTTAGAAGAGCTAACAAGATCATCAGATCAGAGGAAGACAAACAAAAAGAACAAAAGAATGTAATTAGCATCTTACAATTTAATAATTTTCCTATGAAGATTATTAGCAGTATATTAAAACAAGACAGTTTATTACTTCATAATAATGATTCGAATGAAATGCCACGGATTGGTACTGCAGTTCTACCATTCCGTCACAGCACAACAGAAGAACTGCAAATAATCTTAAAACATCACAGAATTAAAGTATATTACAGAACAACGAACACACAACGAAATACATAAGTTCGCCTAAAAGAAAAAATCCCGTTTATGTCCACACAGAACTGCTTCTACAAATTACGTTGTATCGATTGTGATGCCTTCTATATTGGAGAGTCATCCTGCGAAATCTTGACTAGAGCCAAAGAACATATTAGGTACACAAAGAAACCTCCCAACAATCCTGTAGAATTGGATCAACTTCAAATTAAATCGGCAATAGCAGTTCATACCATTTTCAACAACCACCAAATTGATTTTAAAAACATCAAAATATTGCAAAAAGGCTTTTCCAACTACAAAGAAAGGAGGGTAGCTGAAGCGTTCCATATAATGCTTAATCCTACTTTTCTCAATAGAAAGGAAGGCCTCACCATACATCCTACTTGGACCATCTATCCTAACCATTCAGTCTGATCATATTTACAATTCACACTACCATATTACAAATTAAACTCTATCCTTTCTCACCATAAAGGTCACACGATTTTTCATTCTTAAACAATACACACAAATTTACATACATATCACCTTGACAGAAATGACATGACATCAACTTGTTCAGACCTGTTTTTGATTGATCAAATATTATTCTTATTGTTCCGTTGTACTATTTAAACTTCGATTAATTTTAATTTGGTTATTTATTCTCTGAAGAAGTGACTTACACTAAGTCACGAAACGTCAGAAAATCTAATTTTCTACTCATGGGGATATTACAAATATATTACTTATGTATTTCCAACCATTGATTGTGAAAATCTCACTGAGCTAGACGGTGGTTAGGGATACATAATATATATACGCCAACCTCCTTAGCTGATGAAGATTTAACGCCTTATCAAACAATTCACCATATTCATCTAATGTCATGTGTATAATCTCAGATTCGCTCAGTCGGTGGCACCAATATAAACAAGCATTTCTTTGAGGAAACCTATGGTTAAATACTTGTAAAATAAAATAATTCTTAACTCTTAAAGATCATGTTTCATAGTCATAAGACAAAAACAATACAAATTGGTACATAATATAGTCACCCCTTAATTTCCGGGGTGATATTTCACCTGTGCCACAAGTGAAGTAAATGCGGAATGACAACAGAAATAAACTGTAGTATCAAATAATGTTTCATAATTATTAGTTCAACAGTTATCCAACATTTAGCGTTAATCATGTTACCTTTGATGATAGATATCGTTACAGATTGAATTTAGCTAAAGAAACACTGGATTAAGACTGTTCTGCAGTTCACAAATACGACTCTATATGAGATTTCACGCAAGATTTTCCGATCAAATGGTTAACAGATAACAAAATATTATAATAAAATATGTGACTAAAAGAATCAATCATCATGTTTCAACCCGAATTCACTGAATAAAGTTATGGAAGTATCAAAAAGTAATTAACACTATAAGTTCGGTTTACAGCTAGCAGATACAAATACATAAATAAAATAAAGTAAAAGGCTTCTAGTTTGATGGTGTGGACATTTTTTGTATTTTATTGATTTCACAAGTTGAAATCATGAGTCAGTTGATTTCACAAAACGAATCAGGTTAGACAACTATTGAAAACCTGGAAAATGGGACCAATGAAGTTAAACAGTGTAGAGTATGAAAACGCTACCCATCAAAGACAATGGAAGGTGATAGCGAAAAATCATTAGATGATTGAAATTAGACCTGTAAACTACTGGATCCCAGTTCTGTAGTCAAGAGGTTAAGCATCCGTGCTCCAGACCAAAGACCTTGAGTACAATTTTCGAGTGCGGAATTGTGGATATCCAACGCAGAGGAGTCTCATTATATTATAAAACGGCCGTCCAGTGCTTCAACGTTTTTAATCAATTTGATTTTAACAAAATGAATAAGACTGAATATTAAGAATGATAATTATAATTCACATAAATGTATACATACCGTATCTGATAGATCAGGCAAATCTAAAACACTCAGATTTTTGCAAACATGATGTTCTTCAAATATTATTGAAGGATCATTGGTTTCAATTAGTGGTAGATCCCCTTCAGCTTTAAGACGATATGGTATTCCATGTGGATATAATTTCATATCACGATCGGATATTTCAATCGTTAATTCCTAATAATATAAAATTCGTTAAAATTAGCAGAATTACTGTCAACGATAATAATAGTAGTAGCATACATAGAACACGTGGAATGTGGCTAGCAGTGTAATCAAGTATGCGCATATAATCCGATTCGGAACTCGTCAGCTGGATGTGCCTGCAACTCTGAGTTGGTTTTCACCCCCGAACTCGAACCCAGTAACATTTGCATCAAACGTCGTCGCACGACCCATTTGGCAACTGATTCCAAACAAATACTTTCCTGTACGAATAATAGAACTCAGCATGTAGCTATTCTAGAGTTACTGCTGGTCCCAAGGAGGGGAAAGGAGGAGGGTTGGTCATGGTGTCAGCAATTCCATCCCATAGAAAAACAATATCGCTAAGAAAAAGCTAATCAGAATGAACAAATTAAACCATTAAAACTTTATCCTGCGAGTTGAAGGAAGATTTATGACGCCATATGATGAAAGCTAATATTCTTCGGAGGTCACAAAGGCGATACTCCTTCTTACAATCAGATCAACAAATAATATGGGTATATGGAATGTCCGGATAATGTGGGAGATCGGTAGGACCAGTAAAATAGTTACAGAAGGGAGGAGATACAACTTGACGGTTCTCGGAATCAGTGAAACCCACTGGACCCAATCTGGACATAAGGAAATAAATTCAGGAGAGGTGCTGCTGTGCTCTGATCACGAAGAAGAAAATGCTCCACATACTCAGAGAGTTGCTCAGATGCTGTCCAAAGAAGCACGAAATGCACTTATTGGGTGAAAATCTCATGGATCCATCCTTCAAAACAAACAAGAGAGGAATCACAATGAGCGTTATCCAGTGTTATTCACCCACAAATGATAGCAACGACGACGATAAAGACCAGCTCTACGAGAGGCTGGAACCAATCATAGACAAGTTCTCAGGAAACGACCTGACAATCCTGATGGGAGATCTAAACGTCAAGGTCGGAATGGACAACTTGGGGTATGAAGATATCACGGGACGACATGGAATGACTGGGAGAAAGGAACGAGAATGGTGACAGATTTGCAACTCTATGTGCAATCAACAAATTGATTATGGAGGACAACTGGAAATGGATCAAAGAAGCAATAACTCCAACGTGTCAGGAGGTTCTGGGCCTCAACAAGCATCATCATAAGGAACGGATCTCTATCAAAACCATGGACAAGATTCAAGAAGTGAAGAACAAGAAGATAGCAGTTAACAACAGCCGAACAAGAACAGAGAAAGTCAAGGCACAAACTGTGTACACGGAAGCGAACAAGTAAGTGAAGATAAGCATTAGAGCGGACAAGCAGAAATACGTGGAAGAGATAGCACCGACGGCAGAAAAAGCTGCAAGAGAAGGAAATATGAGACAGATATATGACACAAATTAGAAACTAGCAGGAAAATACAGTAAACCAGAGAGACCAGTCATGGACAAAGATGGAGAGACGATCACTCAGATTCAAAAACAGAGGAACAGATGGGTAGAACACTGAGGAACTCTTGAATAAACCAGCTCTATCGAATCCACCACACATTGAAGCAGCACACACAGACCTTCCAATAGCTACCACCCCACTAGCGATCGAAAAGTTCAGCACGATCATCACACAAATGAAGAAGGTAGAGGGACCTGACAATATACCAACTGAAGCAATAAAGTCAGACATAGAAGTAACTGCAAAAATGCTCCACGTCCTAGTCAGGAAGATTTGAAAGGAAGAACAAGTGCCGATGGACTGAAAGAAGGATATTTCACCAATATACCAAAGAAAAGAGATCTGAGCAAGTGTATGAACCATAGAGGCATCATACTGCTATTGATGCTAGGAAAAGGTCTCAACAGAGTGTTTTTGGACCGCATGAAGGATTCAGTAGATGTTCAACTTCGAGATCAATAGGTCAGATTCCTAAGGATCGATCGTGCACAGATTAAGTCACGACATCACGGATCATTGTTGAACTCGTCACTATACATCAACTTCCTTGACTACGAGAACGCATTTGACAATGTGGATAGGAGAAAATTAGGAGACTTCTTCGACACCATGGTGTACCTGAGATCATCAACATCATACGGAATTCACAGGACGGATTACAATTCAAAGTCGTTCCCAGAGGACAGCTGAAAGTTGGAGAATACAAACAAATATTGTTGTCTATTCCAGTTTTTGAAGCTAATATCTTGCTATTCAGTTACAATGTACAGTAAATATCAACCAGAATTGTGTCCAGATATCCTCGTTTTGATTTTAAATATTGTGCTACATTTACAACTTGTTGTGTTTGAGAACATGTGAAGGTGTCACAATGCTAGTTAACTATAATTATGAATCATAATCCTTATCCTTCAAACTGCTCCATAGTCCTCATTTAGCCCTAGTAAGTAGGTAGGTCACTTTGGCGTCACTCAAAGGTAGTCCATAAATTATAGTCTCATCCAAAGATGTTATCCTTCGATTTTAACGAGATTGAAATAAATGGTTTAATAATAAAATATTTAGTAATTTCAACATTGCTGAAAGTTCACTCTGATAATATTACGAACTTTAAAAGTGAGAGAAAAAATCGATGAATAATCTTTTCTGAAAATCTTTAAAACTAACAACTAACTTCTAAACATTGACCCAATGAAGCAGCCAAACAATCAACTGTTATAATTTGTGCATTTCCAGGTGGAACAATTCCACTAGCTGGACTCAATGTGAAAAAACCCTGCTGTAAACGAGATTGTGATGAACTCAACATGGTTGGATCTAACCTACATAAAAAACAAATTAACACTTTCAATGTAATACTTTCACAACAAATTAATTAGGAAGTGATCTAAAGCAAATAAGCATATTGTTATATTAAATGTAATACTTATTATCTTTGCATGCTATCTAATTGCATTAAAATGCAGTATGAGGATGTCTGTTTGATTAAACGTAAAGCATTGATATTCGTTGTTAAAGTAAGTTAATGAAACATTCGAATTAGCATTCTTGTACAATAACATATGAATAACAATACTGAATACTACATCAACATGCTACATATTCAAAAAAGAATACATACATGAAGTAAAACCCAATGATATCAGAATAGGGAAAGATCAGTAAACAATAAAGCGTCAAGGTTGTGCATAATAATAAGGTGAATAAGAAATACAATAATGCATAATCGAGAGAAGTATTTACAAATGTAATGTTTATGTTCATTGTTGTGTTCACCTTCAATAGTTCACCTGTTCGAGGATTCACAAATTTCAAATATGACGGGTTTAAGAATTTAGAAGATTAATAAATATCTACTACTTATTTCCATTTGTTAACAAATTTTCAAATTTGTAACACTTTCTGTTATCATATGATTAATAAACAGCACAACATTTAATCCAATAAGAAGTCTCAAATAAGTCGACATGAGGATACTCGGATCTATAGTTAGCTAAAATTGAAAAATAAGTCGAGTATTTCATGACGTTATGAAAATATCAATTTCGATAACGTATACCTATAATGGTTAATCCTATTGCTCTTAATAGAAAAGAACGCTTTACCATACATCCTACTTGGACCATCTAGCCTAGCCAACTAGTTTGATATTATTCACATTTCACAATATTACCCTACATACAAATTAAACTCTATCCTTTCTCACCATAAAGGTCACACATATTTTCATCCTTTACGCTACACACATACACACAAATTTACATACATGTCGCTTATGAATCACCTTGACCGAAATGACATGACATTAATTTGTTCAGACCTGTTTTTGATTGATCAAATATTATTCTTATTGTTCCGTTGTACTATTTAAACTTGGATTAAATTTAATTTGGTTATCTATTCTCTGAAGAATTGGCTTACACTGAGTGACGAAACGTCAGAAAATTTAATTTTTCTACTCATTGGGATATTATAAATATCAACAGTTGAGATCATGTGTCAACTGAAGTTAGACCACCATGGAAAACCTGGAAGCATTGGACGGCCGTTTCGTCCTATTGTGGGGCTCCTCGGTAGTGCGCATCCACGACCCCGCCGCGTGGGATACGTACCCAGGACCTATCAGTTTCGCGCAAGGCACTTAAACAACTAGACCACTGAGGAGTCCCACAATAGGACGAAACGGCCGTCCAGTGCTTCAAGGTTTTCCATAGTGGTCTAACTTCAGTTAACACATGATCTCAACCGTTGAAATTACTACAATCTCTACAAAACCCGTTCTGATATTACAAATATATTAATTTATTTAAAACATTATCCCTATTTATTAATACCACGTAAACGCAAGTTATTATAGACTTATTGATATATAATTAACAACGTGTATGACGTTATATTGTTTGCATTGCAGTTTCTGGACTAGACAATTCAGTATTACAATGCAATTGCTTTGATAGTTTTTAATCTAACAACATATTTTCAGTCTCGAGGAAAACAATGTTATCTGTGAGTTTTGAACCAGTATGATTCACAAAGAAGGTGCTTCAGAGATAAAGAGTGCTCATAAATATGCAATCAGGTGTGGTTAAATTAAAAAATAATTAAAATATGAACACTTTTAGAAAAAAAAACAAATGAACTTATGTATTTACGAATCAATAAATTATACTAGGGGTTAAGCGTCCGCGCACGAGATCGGAGGTTCTGGGTTCAAATCCCACATGCGAAACTGTGAATGCGCACTGTTGAGTCCCATACTAAGACAAAACAGGTGTCCAATCTTTTCAGGTTTTCAATGGTGGTCTAACACTGATCCATTCATAATGTCAATCGAAACTCAACAATCTCTACAACCATTTACTAAAAATTATACTAAGACAATTGTAAAACATGATTTAAAATTGTCAAAGATATACCAAGCTGACAATGTCAATGAACAGGAAAGAAGCAAATTGAATTTTATAAAACACATAAGCACTTAGTAACATGCTTATTATATGATATATGCAAAACAACAACAATGAAAGCATGAATAGTATGAAGTTACACAAAACAAGCTCTTATATTTGCGGTTATATGAATAGATTATAATCATGTCAAGAATTCAATTAGTCTGATTACTAAAAATTACCTTCAATATTTCTAGAACGCTATTTTTGATTGATTGATTGATTGATTAAGACAGAAACTCATATACAAATTAGCACTATTCCATTTACTTATACCCGGTCATAGCTTTCTTTTCTTGACATCATTTAGTATTTTATAAAGGATAGTTTATATTCTGTATGATTTACTATTTAATTCTAAATTATTACTTTGTCAAGTTTATAGTTTGACCTTTTTCCAATCTTATTACTTTTCTAGGTAACAAAATAAAATGATCAAATCAATGGATACTTATTCACAGTGGAAATGATCTCGTTAATTTACTTTATTAATTTAAAGTATAAGTTAGGTAACTTTCATCAGTGTCCTGTAGCTTTAATGTGTATAAACTAGTTAATAGCTGATAATCATTTGATTCAAACATTCATCTTTTAGCCATGGAATAAACACCTGATAATGAACTTTGTGCATAGTTAGATATAATGAGTAGTAATTAATTCATATTTAGGCTAATTTACTCTAAGTGCATATAACAAGTATGAATACCGTAATTTATTTTGTAAAATAACTTTAATATAATTGGTTTTATACAGAAATGACAGTTAATGAAGCGTCAAATACAACAAGATATAGTTGCTATGTATATCAAGCATATATTTGCATGTGTAGTCAATTATCACATAAGCTAATGATGCATACCTTTTAGTTTTACGATGATATCTACTCATAATAACAAAACATTTATATATTTTAATAAAAATTAAATGTGTATACAAAACAGTTAACAGATTGTAAACAAATCAGATAGGTCGTGCTTGTTTAACCAGTCACTAGGGTGTATTTTTAAATATTCTGAATTACATAAGTCAATGTCTGATAAGTCTTCTAATTGAAACGGTAGATTCGGTTCCTAAACTCTTCTAGTAATCTCCCAGGCTAAATCTACACAGCGACTTGAACACGAAAGAAAAGGCGCGAAATATGGAAGGAACGCTTTACTCTAGGGTTTTTATAGTATTTTAGACGGCTTTAGGTTCCCGGAAAATTCCGGAACGCTACTAAACATAGTATCAATAAAGACAATCATCCAATCAGAAACTCGACAAGTGACTTTTCGTTTCCTAGATGTTTCTGGCAAAACTTTTAGTGAATGCTGATTGAATAAGATGCCTCTCAATGTTTTCAGAACCTTTTTTGGCTTTTTCATTGAGGAGTTTTTGGATCTCCTTAACAATGTCAAAACAGAATGAATATGTTTCGTCAATCTATCAGAAGTGAAAATAAACAAAATAATTCTTAAACACTATTTTTGATAAAACGAGTGGTGTCCATTTTAGTTATTATGTGCATCTGTGATGGGTCACTATTTTAGATAAATAATCTGTATAAAAGCTTTATAGTCAATACATTTCAAGGGATTACAACAGGAACGGTATGACGACGTTAGGCGTTAATAAGACATCAGCGACAGGAACTAATAGTAGTCATACAATATCATTACACAAATGTGAACTATTTGATCTCCAATCAGTAGTATAATGTTTTCCGCCATGTCTGAATGAGCCGGATTCAATGTCTAGCAGTTTGAAGAGTCCTGTAACAGGATGGAAACACTGCTCAATGCTCTTCAGATTAACGAAACGTTTATCTAGCTAAATTTAGTCCATAATTTAAACTTTAAAAAATCGATTTATACTATTTCATGGCCATGATCTATAAATCTATGTGTGACTTTATAATGGTTTCAAAGATTAGACCGTAATGAATGGTATCTCAAATCGGGAGATGAATTTTGAAAGTAAGTTGTATTTTCCTTAATAGTTGAATTCATGGGTCGATCTAAGGTTAACCACTATAGAAAACCTGGAAATTCAATATAGATGGATATTGAAGTCATCTTGACGTTTGTATTGTACTGCTACGCTATTATTTTGTTGAGGACTATAATTATTATTACCAGAAGGGATTTTGTGGATATTATGTAATTTTAATAGTTGAAATCATGAGTCAATTGAAGCTAGACCACCATGGAAAACCTTGAAGCACTGGACGGCTGCTTCATCCTATCGTGGATATGCACTGCTGAGGAGTCTCAAATAGTACTATTATTTATTATAAAAATGAATAATAAGGATTATCTGGTATAATCAGAATTAGAAATCTATGCTTAATGTCTATTCAATCAAAACACTAATAAATTCAAAGTTCATTAGTTATACTACGGTGTTTAGCTATAGGTTTTTATTATCGATAAAAAACTAAGATCTTCAAATGATGTGCTTAAAATGTAGCGTTTCTAGTACATAGAATCTACGGACAAAACACAGTATTCTGTATGATTTATTTCGGGTGCAAAAACATGAAATCATTTAAATATAGATTTTTATGAGAGTCATTATTGTTTGTCAGTCAGTCAGCTACAACGTAGGACCAGGCATATATATGCACCGGTCCATTATTGTTTGAAGGATCATTGAAATCCTGAACAACTTAGAACATTTGTTTTACGGCTATTGGAAGGACAGAAGTGATGAAACTGTTTAATAGTAAATGAACTTTATCAAAGATACTCTTTACTAATTGGACTAAACTCTAAAGGGACAATTATTTGAAAATTTGAACTTCCGTAACTGTTCTAAGTGAAGTTAATGTTTCTATATTTTTTCTCTAAATATTTCATTTCTATATTTTCCTACTTGTGATACATAAGCTCTTGTCATATGTTGTACTTTTCTTCAGTTACCGTTAATTTATTACGCACCTATGACCGAATTCTCTTTCACTAATGACATCAATGTAATATCTTCATTATGTTAATATGTGATTAAGAGTTAACTCTTTATTACTTGGTGAGTTTTAAGTCATAATCGCATTGAGAATAATGGAAGTTCACTACTGACTTCTCTTTGAACTCAAGGGAAAAGATAGAGAAAGGCTTCAGTATAATGCACCAACATTAGCTTAGTTTGCGTTGGCTTAAGATTAACATTGCAAGTTAGGTGTATACTTGATCAAGTCCAGAACACTATGTTATAAAAGATACGTAACAAAAAATATCATAATTAGAACTCTGACCGATGAACTTATCACATAATAGCAATCAGAGTTATCAAGTGATGAGGAACTGGAAATTGAAAAGCTGAATAAAAGCAGAAGGAACTTAAATAACTTACATTTTATGTTTCACCGTGCCTGTAGATTCTTTGTTCAATAAAGCTTCACGTGTTGCTAATAGCTCTAACATTTTACTAACAGGTATAATTGAGTAACGGAATTCATAATCTCCATTATTTTCAATGATCAATTGTCGTGTTTTATGATTATGTAATATAAGTGAACCAAAATTAATATCATGTGCGGGAGAAATTGTAAATCTACAACAGTTATATTGAAGAAATGGCAGTAATTACTGTAAATTGTTATTTATATTATCAATTACTTAAGAACATATTAATAGTTTCTAGCTTAAATCCTAACCATTGAAAGCGACAAAAAACATGATTCCCATTGTGTTTTAGCATGTGACTCTTCAGTAGTGTGCATCCATGATTTAGTCGGTGATAGGACCCAACACTTTCTTCAGGCCACGCTGCAAGAGCTTAAAATCTGAACCACCTAGAATAACTGCGATGCTTCCGATTTTTATAACTGCAATCCGTAGACACCACATGACTCATACACTCAGATCGGTAATACTTGTTCCATACTTCAGTGGAAGTGAGTGCACACTACTGAGAAGTCCCATACTACTAGGAATCAACTGTCTTACATCTTTTCATTTTCAAAGGTTATCGAGCCTAATTCAACTTGTAATGCAATAAGTAAATTCAACGTTCGTCAGAAAATAGCCTGGTACTTAAAATACATTCATCTACTTTGAACAAACAAAATTTAATATCTCACTTCTTCACACTGAAATGTTCTCATATATTTATGTACATCTGTTTGAAGAACTATTTGATATTAGTTCTAGCTTTGAAATGAAGCTTGTGTGCTTTTAAACTTCTATTATTTACGAAATGGGTTCATTTTAAAGGTTTCGAAAATAACTGAACGTAAGACAAAAATTACTTTTGTTATTTTTCATTCGTATTTAATGTAACAATCAGTCAGCTACAACGTAGGACCAGGCACGTATGTGCATCGAACCAAGTTCCCATTCCTCATTAGTACAACAAGATGAAATCAACCTTACAGAAGTGGTTACTTCAAAGAGTGTATACATCGACACCATTGTGATCTATTCTCAGCTATGTCACCTAGAGTCTCCAACCATTGGTTACGATAGTCACGCGAACCCCAACCAAGTAGTCCGCATCTACCAACATGGCTCAGACCAGAAGTTATTAACTTCAAGGACTGATGCCACGTTTTGGTTTGGCCGCCTCTAATTTTCTTCCAATCGTCTCCAACACTAGTCACTATTGCGCTTCGTGATAAACGGTGTTCAGACACACGTAACATGTGTCCCAGCCATTTCAGTCGATGAAAATTTATAACCCTATCAATTGATTTACCATAATTCCCTGAAACCCTACATCTAACAGATAATCGTGATATAATAAGACAATACTCGTTGGCAGAATGAGGCCTCAAAGTTAACATCGAGATAACTGTTGCTCATGGCAATACATTAGATTATAGCAGCTCACATGCAATTGATTTTGTTCACATTTAATTTGGTTAAGTCCTTTTTTTAACGGTTAGAGTCATTCGTACTATAATAACTTATCTATACGATTATACCTTTATTGTTGTTGCGCTTGTATGAATATGTATGCTTGAGCATTGCTTACTGAGTGCGCATATATTCATTCTGCTAGCTGTACTATTAGTCGCTTAATTAGCTTGATGACTCACTAATTTCTCTATATATGTATATGTACATTTCAGTCCTGTTCACTGACTTACTCATTTGACTCGCACGCTCACTCGCTTACCTGTTTGCTTTTCAGCACTACTCTTTCATGCTTGCTTAATGTACCTGTAATTTTGGTGATCTGTATATGGTGCAATAATAAACTCAATCAACACTTCGTAATCGCCTTCTGATTAATACACCGTTGGGGCGTTATCTAGTGATGGTTATCAGGACGAACTGTAATACGAAGTTTAAGGATTATATTGGATACCGACCACTAAAAATCTATTCCTATTTACTTCATGAAGTTATCGTGGTTTTTAAACGCACACTGTTCTATAAACAAACATAGAACATTTATATCATAACTCAGTATATTGTACATTAGAGAATAAACATACTTGCTGAATTCTGCTTTTACAGACAATTTTATTGGAATTGATGCAATCAGTTGTGGAGTTCCTTTAATATTTGGTTCAATAATTTGACATTTAAGTATTTCTGCTTCTTTTAAAATTAACTCTGATTGTGTGCAACATGTTAGCTAAATTAATTAAGCAAAACGAAATTGAATAAGTTATATTTATCTATTAATAAAGGCTTAGGTTTAGAGTGCTGGTGGACAGCCCATGCTCCTCCACGAGGAGTAACAGACGTGAGTAAGTAAGTAAGTAAGGTTTAATTTGATCGGTAAAATATAACCTGAACAAATAAAACTAGTAAAAGGGAAATCAATATAGTCTTTTCCATTTATGTGAACAACTGAAATTGATTAACCTAACTATTCATCATATCTAAAATAATTCTATAACTTATCTCAGACTTCAGGAAACTCCATATTTATTCAGTGTCAGAAGTGTATATACTGATAACAAAACAGTGATAATTAACCCTCCCATACTGCTAAATTAAGTTATATTGTTATCATCCTTTTCAAAATCGATTGAACCCTTCTCTCTCATATCAAAATCGCCTAGGTGACAATCTATATATCTAGAGTATTCTACTTAAAAGAGATATAGCAACTTTCCTACAAAAAATTTCGGTTACGGTTAATTTTGATTAAGCTCTTTTATTGACCTACTTAACAGACAATGTCATTTGAATAGTAAAAATTCGTCTATTTATTTGTACTGTACGGTCACTAGATTACATGACAGACTCTAGCTAAAATGTTGATTGCTTAAATGTCACTCGATTCATTCACCTACCATGTTTGTATGTAGTCAAATCCTATTATTAGTCCTTGCTGTTCCCTTATGCGATTTGACTATAAATTTGCTTATGTAATTGCTTACATATACTTATTCATCTCTCCGCTTCAAATACGTTCTATGTGCTTATAGCTTTGGGATCTACGCTATCCGCTAATAAACTATGGTTGCCGTATCTCTTTACCTTCTGATTTTAAACACTATTGAGGTTTATATAATAACGGTTACAAAGGTGATTGATCAACGAAGCAAAGCCATCAAAGATATGTCAGTAAAATGAATCCAATCATTTAGTATCAAATAATATTATCAATGTAATTATGTGATTTTTAATTAGACAATGTTATCTCAGACTATCAGGACTCAGTAGCTGAGTGGATAACGCGATGGCGTTTGAAGCGAATGGTACTGAGTTCGAGTCTCAGAGTGAAGATCAACTCTGAGATGCAGGCGCATCCAACTGACGAGTCTCAAATAAGACGAAACGAGTCCCCTGGATTCCACTGCTAGCCACTATCCATCATTGCTTACAAAAAGTTATATTTTTAATCATAATAAACATAGATCAATGTAAACAGTTTTATTAAAATATCTTGATAAAATAAAATACGTACGTTTACTTGTGTGAGTTTATCTGTTGGAGATAGACTGATACGTTGAGGTGACATAGTGAAGATACTACTAAAATCTGTTTTAAATTTATCATTCTTTGTAAAGATAAAGCTTGTTTGAAAAAAATATAAAGAAGAAAAAATGACATGTAATTTGAAAGTTATAGTACAGAATTACTTTTCTAAATGATTCCTAAATGAAAATGAACATGTTGTTACATATAGTTCATATTGAATGTATAAAGTACATAAATTTAGTTAGCAGTATGAATTTTAAGCATCAGAACGATAACATAAGAATTAGATTTTATTTCATACGGAAATTACTAATATTGAAGATGATAACTGGACTGCAGATCAATCGTTATGGTTATAAAATAATGTAAATTGCTCATGAAATGTAAGTTTGTGTACTCAGACTTGGGTCAAACGTTTTGCATGGGAACTCGTGATACTGTGGTATGGGTTACTTATATTCACATAATTAGTATATAACGGTGGTCAGGCATAGAATGTATTTCAGTAGAAGATCGATAAGAAAGGAGAGGGAAAGGAAAGCAATTGGTATGAAGATGCATGAACAATGAAATCTGAGACAACAGACTGATATATGCAAAAGGAACAGTCAAGTTTGAGACAATTGATTGATATTTTGCAAATTAACTATTTATTATATGGCTCTCAGATTTTAGTGAGATGCTCTGTAATTTCATTTTTCAAATACATTTGATTGTCCCCACTCGTGTTCTTGCTTACTACAATACCACTCAGATTTCCAAGCAACAGTATGTGGAGCGGGTTTGGAACCTGAGATTTATTAATCATAAACCTAGTTTTTCAGCTATAATGCTACAGAAAGTGAAATAAGAAATATCTTCAACTCGTGGATATACTCAGATTACGTAGTTATACCTTGAAACTTCAACATTTTCGATTTCTGATAAATTTTATCACATTATCCAAGTTTGCATTGCTTAACATAATAATATCTTAGAATGAAGATATTCTGTTGGCTTATCGATTACTAACATATGACTTAGTAAGAAAGGTTATTACTTCGGAGAAGGTAGCTTGTCTTATTACAGAAATGATCTTATAAAGTAACATTTATCGGTCATCTATGCTAATCCCTAAAAATGTGAAGATTAATAGGTTTCATCGTGGAAGGTCTCCCGATAGTCTATTATGATAACTAGAATTGTTATATGTAGTTACCGACTAATATACCATGATTCCTTGTATTCATTATTCTTAAACTTTTATTTGTCATATGTTTGAAATGTTCGATGTACTACTATTTCTAAAAAATTTTATACGCCATTGATGCATTCTATATTGACACACCTTGTTCGTCATTCTAAAGTTCATCTCCAGAATGGACTGATATCAATTGAAAAGAAGCATTGAAATCCGAGGAACTTTAGACAACTTTTTCATTCTAGTTTATAACTCAACAATCGAGAAAACTAACAATTTCATATAGTTTCGAATCCGAAATCATCAAGACATGTTGTGAGAATGGGACTTTCAAAAGATTAACTTGGTTTATATTTTCAATTTCTGTTTATTTTGTAATATTTTCTGATAATCATCTAATCTCATCAGTGAATCGCCTGAATTACAATACAGTTGAAATGTACTGATCACTAATAACTAATGAGTTATTTGAAGTTATGGATTAAATGATACTTTGGAGTAATCCAACTGTTTAGTGCAACATTGATTGCTGAAAGTTACAATGTAAGACTGATTTCTTTATCGATATGGTTTAGTAAAAATTTCTTCCTTTTTAATATAATGTATATGTAATCAGTAATGGGGATGAAAGAAACAAAGCAACGAGAGATTGATCTTATTGAATTTAAATCGAACTGTTAAAGATATCTTTGAATTAACAAATCAAAAATTCTTACTTAGTTACTATTTCATAAGGACCTTTATTCTTCAATGTAATAGCATGTTTAACTTCTTCACCAACTTTGATTAAACCGAAATCAATACCTCCATCACTCCCTTGTATGTAGAACAAAAAATATAATAGTTCAAATCCTTATTATTACTACTATGATTATCATTAAACAATATTTAGATTGATTGTTAACATTAAATAAATAAAGATGGATCGTGGCTAGCAGTGGAATTCAGGACGCGCTTTTCGTCCTATTTGGAACTCGTCAGTCGGATGTACCTGCATCCCGGAGTCCATGTTCACTCTGGGACTCGAACCCAATACCATTCGCTTCAAATGCCATCGCGTTATCCCCTTAGCAACGGAGTCCTGGATTCCACTTCTAGCCATTATCCATCTTCGCTTAAAAAACTTGTAACTTATGGCTATATCGAGGTAATCTGTACAGGATGCTCATATGTCAACATGAGACTGATCAATTGCAGTCCTAAATAACAATGGAAAGAAAGAAGTAAGACAGCACCAAGTGAATTAAATAAATAAGTTTGAAATGTTCAAAGATAATTTTTGTCATAAGATGTTATCTTCATTTAAACCATGAGATTAAAATCGCTTCATATCTTTCATTCTACGAACTAATTCTTTCTTCCTGTACTGTGTCTTTATATGCGATCTTTCTTTTATATATTACCACCACTAAATTAACTACTATGAATCCGGTGTTCATCGTGTTGTGTTAATGAGGTATGGCAACTTTGACCGATGCATACATGTGCCTGGTCCTACGTTATAGCTGACTGACTAACTGAATGCAAATACAAAGAGTAGAAATTATGAACTAATTATATTCCACAATTTTCCGATAATCTTTCAACTACGTTACATTTTATTAATGTTTTCTTCTAGAATTGTTGTTTATTTAGACTTTTCTAGCATAGTATTGTTTAAGTCCTTTTTAGTCATGGTTGAATTTAGCACAGTAGTGAACTAATTTGCTTTCCAAATTCATCTTCTTATTGACCACGGAGTAAGGAGGAGCTTGAGGATAATGTAAGCATTAAGGTCTTATTTGTCGTTCACTAGTCGGTGTTTTGATTGGTTAATACAAATTTACGTGTCCTACTGACAATATAAGCTAACTAATCGTTAATTGGATTTGAGAGAGGGAAAGAGAGATCTTACAACTGCTTTAATGTCATTACGGCCCGATTTCAACTGACCCAAAACCCACCCAGTTTATCAATTTTTCAAAAATGAAAATGAACTGAAATTCATCCTAGGTTCAGGTTTCCTTCTGATCACCTTCAAACACTGAGCAAATATTAGTATACATATCTTAGTAATTTAATTAAAACTAACCCTTAGGAAATGTAATATCTAAAGCAACATCATATGCTTCAGCCATCACTTGTATAGTTTCTACTTGTATTAAACCAGCAATATTTTCTAAATCATAAACTTCAAGACGTAAGCTTCTCTTCTGGTTTGGTTTGACAGATTTCATTGCACGAAAATAAGCATAGACAATAGATTCTGACTGTGGTTCAACAATGCCGGCATCCTGTGATACAGAGAATTCGTCACCTAACGCTTCGATTCCAGATAATTTCCATTGAGCTGGTAATAAAGTGCGATTTCTCAAAATAATAGAACGTACTTCTTTCCTATCAGTAGAAACAATAGTAGTACATAAAAGTATATTTACTAGGATAAAACATATATACAATGTAATTGTTAGCTATTTCTCCAACTCCAAAGATTTTATAATCTTCGATTAAACATCTAATCTGAGTATTATTTACACTATTGTTCCGATAATTTCGTATTCACTGGGTTAAATGGTTTAACTGTAAAGATCTCACTTTCGTCCTCGACAAAAATGTCAGGGCCAACTAGAGTTGAGTCATCTACCTCAGACAACATAACACCACCAGAGATATCTACCTGAGTCTCTGATTTGCCTCATTATTTCAGTATTATTATATTTTCTGTTCTACGTTTCCTACTTTCCAATTTCATGAATCACCTACAAAGTACCTCAAGTAAGTATAATGTGAGTATCATTTCTAAATTTACGAACTGTAACAAACTTATTTTATGAAGAATACTAAACTCAATTTATTTATATATATATTTACTTCCAACCTCTCCGTACTTTCTGATGATTAATAGTATATTCTAACTTTAGAATCCGGTGAGAATGGGATAAATAGAATTTTATTTATTTGTTTATTTGTCTTTGAATAAGAAATAAGGATGATTCGCTAAAGAAAATCCCCTTTATGGTAATATCATCTACTTCAGCTGTACAATTTTAGTGAACGAGAACTAAGTGGGTACAGTTGAACGTATTTGGATACAAAATTACAGAACATCTTAGAAAAATCTGAGAACTATTCAGTATATACTTAGTTTGCAAAATGTCAACCAATCGTCTCAAACTTGACTGTTTCTTTTGCAAATATCAATCAATCGTCTCAGACGATATTGTTCCTGCATTTCCATACAAGTTGCTTTCCGTTCCGGTTCTTTCCTTCTCGATCTACTAAAATATATTCTGTTTCTGACTGGCGTTATATGGTACTTATGTCGGCATAAGTAGCATATACATATATAGACATTTCGTAACGTATTGGTTTTACATTAATCTGAGCAGTAACAGGTCTTATGCATGTTTAGTCCTTCTTAATGCCAAGAGATTTCTGTCAATCAAGCTTCAAATCGATCACTAGTTCAGGTGACTTGACACTGCTTGAATAATTTTGAGATGGTTTGAAGTGGTCATCAGAAAACCTTGAACGTATGTTTCGTCCTACTAGGCGCTCGTCAGCAAGGTGCACCTGTAATCCTGAGGAAATCGATGCTCCCTGGTGGATTCCATCCGGTGTCATCCAGCTTCATAGTCAAAAAAGTTACCAACAAGCTATATAGGCAACAAATGACTTTATGTAGTTTCGAGTTTTGTTGAAAATAGATTGGTCACTGAGTAGCGACTAGTGTCATTATGTCAAGATTTTCTTAGATAGGAATTTCTTGAGATTCTTTTCTACGGGGCAATTCCAAAAACACCAGAGAACTTTTAGAAGCTTGGCACTCAGGTCAACAAGCACATTGAATTCGATTAAATTTAACAACCAAATTGTGCACAAACATAGGAATAAAAATCAAACTAATGTGAGATACCACCGAAACAAAAAAGTTAACAATGATAGGTTTAAGGTTAACAAGTATCAATCAACATCGAGGTGTACAGGACAAGCTATGAATCATATGTGGAGAAAAATTCAAACACTTCACTTCTACCTGAAGTTTGTGCTGACGATGTCGTTTAGAAGAACAATGAAAGCTACACGATCAAATCATCCAGCTCAGAGAATAAAACTCCAGCAAAACCATCCACTTGGGCTACAAATCTTCTTCACCGCTACTGTTGGTGTTCTATCATCAGCCTTTGTAATACATTCAATCAAAACGACCAGATTACCAATTACGAAATGTCATTGGTTGGTCGGTAAAATAGAAAAACCATATAGCAAATCGTTAATTTGCAAAATATTAATTCATCATATCAACCTGGACTGTTTCTGTTACAAACATCAATCCATTGTCTCACATTTCATTGTTCATGCGTTTCCTTACAAGTTGCATTGTGTTCCCGCTCTTTCTTTCTTGATCTTCTCCCATCTTCTGCTGCCAGACATTACGTTTTTAACTTACGTCATATACTACTTATATCAATATAAGTAGCACTCACCACAATAGTACACGAAGAAAGAATTAGTTCGTAGAAAGAAAGCGGTGTATAATTAATAAAAACAAATTGACATTCATAAACATTTAAAATTACCTTTGTAATAATACTTTTTCAAAATTAAATACTTTTTTATCCAATTCCAATTCTGGTAAAACACCATCACAAGCTAATTTAAATAGAATTGGTTCTGGATTATCTTTAATTAAACAAACAAGTGCATCATTATAATGTTTATTCAATTTTGGAAATGCACAAATACGTACACTATTAGATTGATTTGGTTTAAGATTTAATTCTTTTGGTTCTACACTATAACATTCTTCATCTGGATCATTTAAAAAGTATAATTTAATATCTGAATCCATTTGTGATGTATTCACTAAATTAAAGTAGGTAATATTTTCAGGATAATAATTTTCTTGAATTCTAGTCAAAATAAAAAGAATAAAGGAAAATCAATTCATGTATTATACTTTTCTACGGTTACATATAAAACTTCTTGATAAAGTTTAAAAAGTTCATTAGAAATTACTTATCGAAATCATTAAATAGTATAATCTAGCAGTGAATATACGGGTGAATACTAAAATCTGAAAAGAACGATATTCTTTCAAAAAATACTGTATTGTTAAGAAAAACTAAAGAAATATTGAAAGTTTACTCTCTTCAAGTTGTTCGGTACACAAAAGTCAACTGCTCCGTTATAAGTACAATCAAAGTAAATTGTATCCTTTAATTATGTAAGTAGCAATAAAATTACTTCAATATATTCGAAAACTACACAAGGCTGTGTTAAGCGTGGATATTGGAGATTACAATAGATAGAAAATTTGGTGTTGAGCATTAACCCCCGTCCCCTATTCCGGAAAAGTCAAAGATATATATACTGAAGACAAATTACACGATGAATAAAATGATTAATATCGTTACAATTAGAAAAAATTGAACTAAAATATTGAATTAACAGTATACGTGAATCATCTAACTAATTCGTTGTTTCTTATATAAACCACGTCTGAGAACATGAAGTCATGAAAGTGGTTATAAGTAAAGTAATATAAGCCACCATGGATTATTTATCATAGGTTCAGTCAGTCAGTTAGTAACAACGTAGAACTTCGTACGTACGTACATCAGTTGCATTTGCCATACCACATTAGCACACAGATACACTTGTTAATTCAAATCCCATAGTGGTACAGGTAGTAAGAGTATAAGCAGTAATCGGAAAGATTAGAGTTTGAAGATGTTATTTAAGGAGTATAATCCAGTGAAATAAATTTGGAAAGAGAAAAAAGGTAGGGACATGAAGGATTCAGAAGATTAGAATTTAGGAGAACACAAAGACTGGATGCACCTGCGCCATTCCAAATGATTTTGAGCCATGTTATTAAAGGTCTCTAATCATCGATTGCTATCATCTCACGGATGCGCGGAACCAGGTAGTCCTCACCTACTAACATGGTTCAGTCCAATTGTCAGTGACTTTATGGATTTGTGCCATGTTTTGATCTGATTGCCCCTAGCTTTCTCCCAACCAACTCCTACATCATAAAACATCACACCTTGGGGTAGTCGGTGGTTGGGTATACGTAACACGTGTCTCAGCCATCTCAACTGATGAAGTTTCACTACTTCATCAATTGATTTGTCATCCTTACCTAGTACCCGTTTCCTAACAACTGCGTTACTTACTCGATGGTCCCAGGGTATACGAGCAAATTTTTGAAGACACATATGATAAAATACTATTAACCTACGAATATCATAGATTATTTACAATCATATACTCGCTAGATACATAAATGTTGAATTGCTTTTAGGAAAAAGATTAAGACTTCTGACTATATGCCATATTACGTAATTGTCATTATTATTATTATTGTTAATATTGTTTGGATTATTAGCCACTGAATAATATATATCGTCATTTGTTTCACAAAGTTCCCATTTTATTTGTATAAGGCATTTCTGAGCAAATCATAACACTAACCATATTCGTTTTATGTGGATAATATATATTTACTTTTTACGGTTTATGTATATACAATGTGCAATAACAACAGTTGTACATTGTAATAACTTATTCAGTAAAGGATTCTATTTAGACGAGTTTATTTCCAGAGCTATATATATATAATTAATGTCAGGTCACAGAATCATATGTTCCCCCCCCCATAGCACAAACTGTTGGTTTCGAAATCCACATCCATGGAAAACGGATATTGTGTACGGATTACTGAAAAAAAGATAAACGCGAAACTAATTTCAAGGCTAAGTACACTGGTCCAAAAAAAATTCTTCTTGGGAATCTTCAGTTCAAGGGAGATATTTTTGATGTCATAATGAACAGGTTGATTGTAAAGATTTGTTAATCAACAAACCTTTGTATTACCTAATATACTCACCCACCTATATGTTTCCGTATGAAAGAGAAGTTACAAGGAGTGACCGACTCAATATATATATACCAGTCTACCTAATCCCGTGAAGTATGGCACGTATATATATATATATATATATATATATATATATATATATATATATATATATATATATGATGATAACGGATTGGTGAAATAAAATCTTGCATTGAGTAAATACTTGTTATTACTTCATAGATATTTCTAAATTAACTATAGTAGTACATTAGAAACTTTTGAAAATACAAGAACAATTTGTTTTTTTACAATTACCGTTCTTTAGATTTTTCAATTAACAATGGTCCAAATTCAAAACATGATGTAGACATTAAATAGGTACCATGAATAATTTCACCTTGGTTACAAGTACGTTTACGTTTCGCATAGATTAATCTTTATGAGAGAAATTTAAAAGAAAAAAGTTTATTATATGTAGATAGAAAATTGATAAATGAACTCATTCAAAATTATGTAATCAAATAAACACTGTTATTGTGAATGTAATCTGTATGATTCTGATAAGTCTTGCGGATTGAACACTATATTCGTCTCCTAATCTACTCTGTAACCCCTCAAGCTAAAACTAAACAGCGACCTGAACACGAGAGAGAAGACTCAAAGTATGCGAGAAGTAGTTTACTTCAAGGTTCATTTTAACACAGAAAATATAGGGTTTTTATAATATTTTTAGATGTTCTTGGGTTACTCGAAGATTCTGGAATGCTACTAAACATAGTAGCAGTGTAGCAGCCAGCCAATCAGAACCTCTATATGTGACGTTTCGCTTCCTTGATATTTTTGGCCAAAACTTCAAGTGAAAGCTGATTGGACGAAACGCCTCTTAGTGATTCCTGATGCTTGCTTGTCTTTTGCAAGCAATTTTCTGGATCACCCCAACAGATTCAAAGCGAATTCTTCGCTTTAGTTATAATGATCTCAGATGAAGTATCGGATTGATTATAATAAGATTTAATATCAATAAATGAATAGCATAATATGATATGATAGTACATGTGAAATATCTTCTTGTATTGTATTATTTAGGTATGACTTAGTATTAAACATGCTCACATTAGATTTATGATATGAATAGGCTATTTGTAATGTTACAGGATTAAATGTTTAAAGTTAGACCATTTATTGATCAAAGGTGAATTATTTCAAAATGTTTCACAATTAATGGAAATTGGTCACTTAGTTAGATCGTAACCATTTATGATGGAGCGTTATCTTAGTCAGTCAGTCAGTCAGCTACAACGTGAGACCTGGTACATATATGCATCGATCCAAGTTGGCTTGGTGGTAATATACGAAAGAAAGGTTGCATATGAGGACATAGTACACGAAGAAAGAATTAGTTCATAGAAGGAAATATATATATAAAGCAATTGTAATCTCATAGTTTAAAGGAAGACAAAAGAGTGTATATACCTACACTATTGTGATCGATTCTGAGCCATGTCACCCAGAGTCTCCAACCATTGGTTACGATAATCACGCGAACCCCCAACCAAGTAGTCTGCATTATCTATGACTGTGCTGTCCCTTTTTAGTTTTATGAATATCTTACTTAGACATAGAATTTTTCGATTTACTGGCTGAAATGCTCAAAGTCATTGCCTAGATATTGAAAGTATAGTATGGTATTAAATTGTATTTATGTTTCTTCATCCATTAGGATATACGTTTTCTATCGTAAAAGATTTTGGGATTAATTTTTTAGTTCTTACTCATGTGGTGTCTTAACTGACATCGTATTCTACTACGTCTTACAAATACCCAATCAATTAATTATGTAAGTGGCCTGAGTTGACTAGAAATTATTTCTAGTGAGACATTGTGAACTGTCAAGTAAGTCGTATGTTACTGAATGAAACTTGTTCTCTCCTAAATAAATAAATAACATTGAAAAACGTGATCACTGAATTCTAACATCACTGTGATGAAACTAAAAAGTTTGATTCTGTTTAGCATTTTATTCTTTATTGTTCACCTTCAAGGAACCTTGAGAAAAGTTTATTTTTAAAGGATTTTGTCACATTTTGTCTCAACATGTGTTTTTTTCAGCAAGGATAAAAATATATTGTCCAAATGCTTTCTCATTTTCAGTGGATAGGAGAAGTATATTTAGCTCTTTAGTGACTGAACTCATATTCAACTAGGTAGAAACAGTCTACATATAGTCTAAAAATACGATAAGCAATTATTTTCCAGTACAAAGTTATCATACTCAAATCATTAAAACAGAACCATAACACTGGTAGTTTTCTATATGAGACATCTTCCATAACAATATAATAATAAATTCCAATAATTTCGGGTGTAATCTTGCATTATTAAAGAGAAACTCAGTTCAAACCAAAAAAAATTTGTTATTATTAGTATGAAGTTTGCGGAGATTGTAGTGATTTCAATAGTTGAATTCATGAGTCAGTCCAATCTAGATCACCATAGAAAACCTGAAAACATTGAACGGCATATACTCGAACGAAACGGTCGTCCAGTACTTCCTGGTTTTCAATGGTGGTCTAATTTATAAAATGAGCGATGAAGTAAGATTATGCAATCAATTTATTGTTAACACATTAAATGTACGTGAGATATGAAATATTATTGATTTGTTTAAATTCTTGGCTTGGAGCACAAAAGTTAATACACAAACATACCTTGGTTCACGGCTAATTGTTGGTAAAGCACATATTCCACGACAGTATAATTGATAAATTCTCCTACTATTCAATAATTCAAAATTGAATATCTGATCAAACTGACCAACTTGATCACAACGAAAACGAATTCTCAAACGAACCTGTCCTTTAGCAGGTACAATCCAACGAAAATGATTAAGACTATATAAACAGAAAGGAAAAAAGAACATATATCTCATAAACGAATATACAGTGAAGTACATATGTATATGTAAACAAAATACGATAGATTACGTTTTAATAGGCCTGAAATGAATGATTAACAAAAAAAAACTAAACCACCTTGTGAACTGAGTTAAAATGTATAAGAATATGGAAGAAATTCAATTTAATTAATCTTAGAAATAACAATATTTTATCAGAGTAACTAGAAACAGATGTTATCAGGTTACAGGGTAATTTTTCAAGAATGTTAGGGTTGAATAATATTGAAAAGTATGAAATGTTCGTCACAAATTGTTTAAAATGTAGCAGATATGGAAATTTTATTCTTGATATCGACGAAGATCATAAATGAGTTCAACGCCAAGCTCTTTGAATTTAAAACTTAGAACAGGGTATTATATATGTCGTCCGATCGTCGTTGACAACATTTTGGTGTTTTTCATATTCATTCAGTCGTCTTCTCTCATTTTTTTAGTAATGAAATTCAGACCTTAATCATAATGTCATACAGTTTTATTTTGTTCTTGAGTTTTCTTACATGTTTCTCAATTAAGTTACTTGATAAGAATTTGAAGAATACGAGTCCCATTTATACTTCACTAAACCAGAAAAATTTTTTAATCTAAATGATATATCCATTACCAGTATCTTATCCTTAGTTTAATGTATAACTAATGGTTTTGTTGAGAATGTAATGTAAAATATAACAGCATGAAACGTCCTATCAACAGAATTTCCAAGTTGATATATCACCCATTATCTGATTTAAAAATCACATTTTTGATAAACATTTTCTTTACTTGAAGTGTCAATATTTTTACATCATATTGTTCTGGATAAGTAATGAAATAGATAGTCACAGTTAATAACCACACTTATCATTAAAGTTATACGACTATGATAAATAAAATTATATGAAAAGGGGTTTTTTGTGGATATTACAGTAACTTCAATAGTTCAGATCATGAGTCAATTGAAGCTAGACCACCATAGAAAACCTGGAAGCATTGGACGGCCGTTCTGTCCTATTGTGATACTCCTCAGCAGTGCCCATCCATGATTGAGCCTCACGGAACTCGAACCCAGAACCTATCAGCCTCGCGCGCGAGTGCTTAACCTCTAGACCACTGAACCATTCAGTGCTCCCAGGTTTTCCATGGTGGTCTATCTTCAATTGACTCATAATCTCAACCATTCGAAATAAATAAAATTAGTTACAAAATACTTACGGTTGTCCAATCAATAATTGATTAGATTCAATGCTAAATAAAAGATGAAAATATTATAGATATTAATAAGGTATCCATTTGAGTAAAACATGACCAATTTCATGGTCATTAATCATTCAGTGTTTAAAATTATATCATTATCATTATGAGATTAAATCATTCCACATTCAATAATTAATACTGAATAATGATCAGTCTTAATTAATATGTATTTTAGAATATTCAAGATTCCCATTGTGAAAATTAGAACAACACATATAAGCAAACAATTGTTTTCAATTAGATCGTCACACTAAGCAGACGAAGTGATGGCGCATTAAGTAGAAGCGTGTATAGAAGAAACCCCTCTGCCTGCCAATATACTCACTTCTGCAGTTTCACACCTATCTGGTACAGAAGAAATTTTGTTAGATGTCCACTAGCAGAGCTAAAAAGATCTGCACAGTAGACACTCTAAGTCAGGAGTTTGAATTCATCAACAACTCACTGACCGAGATCGGCTACCCCAGTGCTTTCATTAAGAAGTACATGTATGACATAATAAAGAAGTCGGAGATTTCGACTGTTCGTAAGAAACCTTTATACATGAAAGTACAATTCATTGGGGATGTCTACGCAAATGAAGGATAAGTTACCTGAGTTGGCCTCCTCAATGTGCATTTACAAATTCAGCTGCTCCTGTGGAGGTAGCTATATCGGACGTACTACCAGGCAACTTAACCAACGAATGAGTGAACATCTACCAGTGTGGTTTGTAAAGGGCCAGATAAAAACAATTCGCAGTTCTATCTTGGCACATCTTCTTGATAACGGTCATGCTGTAGATAAATCGAAATCATTTCGAGTGATCTATCATGTATCTCCATCATTTCCCAATGGAGTTCGTTCCCGCCTCCTACATATAGCTGAAGCCATAAGAATTTGTACATATAATTCCAATTTATGTGTACAGAAGGAAATCGTAACCCCCCTATCCCTCCCATGGCCAGTTATAACTTAACTAACTACTTTTTTAACTATTATTATTATTATTTATTTATTTATTTATTTTATTCTATTTTTGTTATTATTAGCCTTATTTTCACATCCCGTAGTTGTTTGTAATTTTCCGCCTCTTACCGTTTGTATTCTTCACTATCTAATTATTTACACACTTCTCATTATGTAGTGATTTTAATGTTTTGTGTTGACTATTCCAAGTCTATTTACCGACGTTTGACCTTCTATTTCCAACGTTTAAATACTGATAAGACTTTTGTTATCGTATTTTAGTATTCTTACTACTTTCAGTACACCTGTCTTCCTACTATCAACATGTATTTTTACTTATTATGTGTGGTGACTTATTCCATTTCATTGTGATTACTGATCCATATTGCCTTGATTGGTTTAACATTTTCGTATAAATAATATACATTTGAGGAACCTGTGCGGATGACCTCGATGTATCCATTATATCATGAGTTGTTTGTGGAATCTAGGAAGAATGTTTCAATCAGGATTCTTAAAGTCAACTTTAATCTATTCTAAATAATTTATACATTATTTACATCAGTTACAGTGTGAATAAACTAATACATAGTTATATTGATAAACATTCATTAAATTGTAGAGAAACTCATTCAAATCTTTATCCTAGACATCTATCATTGATTGAAGAGTAATTAAATTCATTCTATCTCGTGCATACAGTCAATTAGAAGATTCTAAAAATTCCCATATTGTAATTTAGAACAACATATATAAGTGAACAAGATTGTCTCCAATTAGATCCTGATCAGGTTTTACTTTAATATACAGCAATATTTATATGCCTATATGAAATTATTAAACCAATCAAGGCACTTTATGAGTAGAATAGATTACATAACTAAACATAATAAGTAAGTACAAATTGATAGTGTGATGACAGGTGCACTAGTTTTGATAAGAATATTAAATCATTGTTACATAATGGGAAATAGGTCAATGATTAGAAAAAGATAGACACTGAAATAACACTCATAGGAAGATTATATGACTACGTTATAAGTGGTGTTCAGATAACTGCACCTTGAAGCGTATGTTTGAGAAAAGAAAAGAGTGGGAGGTTGTGAAGAAAAATAAACGAAGAGAGAGTATGGAAAATAATAGTCAATAAAATTATTTATTAGTGCCAAGGGAGAGATAAGGGTGTTACAAATTTCTTATGAACACAAAGACTTGGATTGTTGACTCGAATTCCAATAGCTTTTGCTATGTGTAAGAGACGAGATCGAACACCATAAGGAAAACTAGTAGGAATACGATAAATAACTTGTGTCTACTACATGACCGCTATCGATCAAGTGTGATAGAACCGAGCTGTGTATCGTCTTGTTAGTACCTTTTCCTAACCACAAACGGAGGTGTTCACTAACTCTTTGGTTCAGTTGTCTGGTAGTGCGTCCAATGAAGCTTCCTCCACAGAAGCAGCTAAATTCGTAGATACACATAGAAGTGGCATAACCAGGTAACTTATCCTTTAGTTGGGGAATCACCAAAGATCGGGTCGAATATGATAAACAAAGGTTGGCTGTATTGAACGTTCTGTTCACTGCTCTAGTCAGTCTATTACAAAGTACATCACCAGCTACATCTCCATTAAATTGCAACTTCAAGAAGCGAGTTTTCTTACTAGCCGCTGATGTCGCTATTTTCTTATTTGTTATATGCCATTGTTTCTTTAGGAAACCCTGTGGATAACCCATTCCAATCAACATATTATGTATGAGCTCTAATTTCTTATTCATTGTATCGACTGAGTATATCTTAATAGCTCTGTTTGCCAGACATTTGACTAAATTTCTCTTATAACGAAGAGGTACAAAGCTTAAGAAGAATTCTAGTTTAAATAATAATGACAGATTTTAATTAAAAACAAATATTACTATGCATTTTCAATGCGTCTCAAACGAGATAGTTTTACTGTAAAGTTACACAATGTCCGTGTAGCGTTATATAACCCAGAGGGGTTGTCTAATGCATCTATGATTACAAATTTTTATTAACTATGAGAAAGATAAAAAGAGTATCATCATGTGGTAACGATGTCACAATTTATATGATATCCAGATAAAACTATGAAGAGAATGGCATCCTAAAAATTCTTATTAATGGCTTAAGAATTGAAATAAAGGGAGTGAATAGAAGAGTGAAATCAGTAAACATACATACCATACTCTAAACTAATCAAAACCACATAAGTTATGAAATGTCAGAAATACAATTTTCTACTCGCCGGGATATAACAAAAAGAAACTATATTTATTATTAACTTTCTACCAAATCTTCAATCTATTTGAATCTGTCAAATCCAACCTTAGCATTGATACCTACATCAAATTCAATTTCGAAAAGGAAGATGAATATAGTGAACTACCATTCATAAACTGTTTAGTATGAAGGAATTCTAATGGAAGCCTAAATCTAGCCAAGTACCCAGAACTGACACATTCGAATAAGTATATCGATTTTAACTTTGTACATTTATTCAGTGCGAAAATTTCCCTAGCTCTGAATCATTTCAGAAGAGCAACAAGGATCATTACCTCAGAAGACAAGCTAAAAGAAAAGGAAAACATAATAAAAATTCTACGATTTAATAATTTTCCTAAGAATATTACCTTAAAACATTTAAAACAAAACTGTTGTTCTTTAAAAAACAATCCTAATGAAAGATCATGGATTGGTACTGTGGTTTTATCTTACTGCCAAGGAATGACAGAATTACAACGGATCTTGAAAACTCACAAACTTAAAGTCTTCTATAGGACAAGCGACATCCTAAGAAGCGCTCTAGTTAGAATAAAAGATAAGATCCTTTTCACTTCTACAGAAAATTGTGTCTACATTTTAGTTTGTGTAGATCGTCGTGCGTCCTAAATTGGAGTCTTTCTGTGAGATCTGAACTCGTGCTAAAGAAAAAGTAAGTTGCAAAATAAAACCGCCTAATAATCCTGTGAAATTGGGAATTTTACAAGTTAAATCAGTGATAGCAGTACATTCTGTTTTCAATAATCAATAAACTGATACTAAAAATATCAAAATAATTCAGAAATGCTTTTGCGACGGAAGTGTTTCACATAATGCTAAATCCCTCTACCCTCAATGGGAAAGATGGCCCGAATATTCATCCAACCTGGACTGTTTATCTATATCACCACATTTGACCTAATTTATTTTCCACACAATTTCAACCCCACTACTTCATATTACAAATGGCGAGACTAGAATTTATGGACGAACCAATCAGATATAAGTTAACAGGTCTCGGATATTGGCACGAAATTCATTCATCCATTTGGGTAAATGTAGTTTTGGTATTGCAGCTTATGTCAGTTCGTTATGAAAACGCGAAATTAACTGTAAATTATAATTCCAATTCCTCACACAGGTTTATAACTCTCATTTGACACTAGTTGTTAAGTAGACACCCTCAAGGTCACTCTAGCGTCGCTCAAAGGTCGTCGATAAATTATAGTCTCACCCAAACATTTTTCGTACCCACATTCTGATGCCCAAATTAATACGGTGACATAACATACAAATTCACCTTGAATAAAAAAAAATTGATATTGACATATTCAAACCTTATATGATTTTGATTGTATTAAAACTTTTCATCATTGTTCTCTTTGTACTATTTAAACTTATGTTAATTTAACTCGATTAATTATTTACTCTGAAGAAGTAGTTTACATTAAGTGACGAAACCTCAGCAATACGATTTTCTGCTCGTTGGGATACAACAAGAAAAAAAACATTATTCATATAATTCATATTTTACGAATTAATTCATATATATATATATATATATATATATATATATATATATATATATATATATTGCAATTGTACAGATTAGCTAAGCAGGTAAAAAGAATATCACATAGTACTGTCTAAAAATTTCACTTAATAATTACCTTGACATTTCATCATTCAAAGACGTTTGCTCTGAATGTATGCTTATGACAGAAGTACGTCGAGCAGTACCATTACCGAAGTTTGCACCACCAATAGAAACTTTTGGTTTACGACTTGTAGTTTCACCTTGATCTAACGTTTGATGCTTTTGTCTTGGTGATTTGCGTTCTTTTTTAATAGATCGACCACCTGTTTTACGCGATGAATCGCCAACCTAAATTGTTGTTTTTTGATACAATACAAAAATCTTACAACTTCTAAAGATAAGTAAAATGAACACATAAATAACTTTTTTTTTTCAACTGATCTAGTTTCTTTAGTATGATTGTTGGTTTTTTTTTCTGTTCTATAGAAAAATCCTAATAATAACAACGTAGATATAAAATGCCGAATAACGTAAAATTTGAGGAACGTATATTTCAGGCGTTTCATAATGCAAGCAAACGATGAGAGACGAAGAAAACGGTTTATGAATTGCAGAGGCTGAAATATATTCAACTCAGTTTTATCAAACGTGACTCAACATGTATCATCGTGGATACGCAGTCTTGAGGAGTCCCATACTAGGAGGAAACGACCACCCAGTGCTTCCAGGTCTTCTATGGTCGACTCATAAATTTAACTATTAAAATTACTACAATCTCCATAAATGGTTATTAAATATATTCACATATACGTGCACATAAAACATCAGTGTTATATAGCGAATAATTCACGAATTCAATTATATGTGTACCTAATGACTCAAAATATTTGGATTAATTTGTCTTTTCGAAAGTATAATCACAGAGAAGCTGTTACAAGCTAATTCTGAAATCTAAAACTCTATTAATCCTCTAACATTTTAATATTTTATGTTCGTATAGAGTAATTGATAGTAGTAGAGACTGCAAAATTGTTATTCAATGTGCTTCTCTTATTCTATGTTTAATAGCTTTGATAAACTGATGATTGAAAGTACAAGTAAAGAGAACAAGAACACAGACGAAGGCAACTAAATATATTTTAACGCAAAATTACAGAATCTCTTGTTAAAATATGAATACCCTACGTTCATTACTTCGTTTTCAAAGTGTTCATCAGTTGTTTCCGACTTTGTTGTTCCCTCATTTCCATATCAATCACTCTCTGTTCCCCTTTCCTTCTATTCGATTTTCCCAACCTTCTACCTTTAGGCATTTCATTTTCGATTGGTGATACATACTACTTATATCTGTCGACATAAGTAGCACGCACTACATAATGAGTCTCAATTATGATATGTTTAATTAACTATAAATAATCTACATAACTATAATTTTAACCAACACTCACTTTTTTTTAAAAAAGTTCTACCGATTTTTTGTAAATGTAAAACTTTATATTCAATGAACATGTTTTGATAGATTAACATTTTCACTGGGATGCAGCTACATCCAGCTGACGAGTCCCAAATAGGACGAAACACGCGTCCTGAATTCCACTGCTAGCCACTACCCATCTTAACTTATGATGCTTGTGAATTAAGGCAATATCGAAGCAATGCGCACAGTATGCACATATACCAACAAGAGACTGATCAATTGCAGTCTTAAATAACAATGGGAAGATACAAGCAAACAACATCAAGTGAATTTAACTGTACTTAGTTCAAAATGTTTGAAAAAATCAATTGAAGCTAGACCACTATAGAAAACCTGGAAACACTGGACGGTCGTTTCGTTTTATTGTGGAACTTCTCAGTAGTATGCATCCACGAAACCGCCTCGTGAGAATCGAATAGAAAGTAATATAAAAAAGACAAGTTAATTCATTAAGTCCAAAATAAAAAAGAATGACAACTTTTTGTTTATTTGAAGATTCATTGGTTTCTATTCGTCCTTCTAATTCTTCATCTCCAATTGAATCAGTTAGTTGTAATAAACTTCCTATTGGTACAGTATTCATAATTGGATCACCTTGACCAGAATGTAAAAATTCATAATATTTCAAATTTATATGAATTGATTTTTGTTCATTTAATTTTATTATTCTTGATTGTCTAATTTGTTTTCTATTTCTTAATGTATTAGTAGTATCATTATTAATTGGATAATATATAACTGAGAAATTATTCGGTTCTGGTATAGGTGGCCCATCGGATCCAATACCTAGATAATTGATTATTTCATTGAGTTCAGGTAAATGATATGACAATAATTGACAAAGTTCAGTTGATATTGTGTTTTGTTGTTGCTGTTGTTGTCCTGAACTGTTTGTTATTAACAAATTATCTTTAATCTTTGTACCAACTATACTTTCAACATGAATCACATCTGGATCGGTTAACATTAAGTTGATTTCCTGTTTAATAGCTGGAAATAACATAGAATAAATCGAATGTGAATAATAGCAATAATAGTTAATAGTTAATAAGAATTTAGTCAAGGTGAGTTTGTGAAGATAAATCTATGTATGCTAATAGCGATAATTTATTCACTAGTGACTAAATTCGAAATACATTTCCTGGAGTTCTAGCGAGAAGACGTGACAAGTAGAGTTCAATCATGTCGAAAAGGAGACATTTATCCAACCCAAGTAATGGGAAATGGCCGGGGAATATTGTGAATCGATTGAAGTTAAATATTAACACCGTTGGATGCTGGCTCAGTGGTCTAGGTGTTGGGCGTTTGGTGCAGGACCGAAGATCCTGGGATCGTTGATATACACTGCTAAGGAGTTTCGTGCTGAAATGAAACATATGTCCTAGGATTCCTGACCTTCAATGGTTGTCTAAATTTGATCAGTTTGGGGTTTAAATCATAGTAGAAAGAAATTCTTTAAACATAGATCTTAACTTAAAAGCGATGTGTAGAAGATCTTGGTATTCGTTCCAGTCTAATTTAATTTTAGTTGAAGTTCATCAATATCTGATATAAGTCTAGTGATTAAGCCGGATTTCACAAGCAAGCCTTATACAAAAGACGTTCAGTTTTTCGACTATCTGTGTACATATATAAAAGTGTCTGATATTGAGCTTGGTACTTGCTTGTTATGAGAATGCATTTCAATCATCATAATTCTTGGTTTCATTGTGAATGTATCGCTGAAGTTGTGCATTGATTGATTGCTGCTATGTGTCGCTGTCAGTAGTATAGTTATCGTTTCATTGTGAAATGTTCAGTCACATAAATCTTTAATTTTCATTAACGTGAAATGAAAACTGACAGCAGAAACTTATCATACAACTAATGAACTTTCTTTTCACTAAAACTGTTCTCAATAATTAGAAAACTAAAATTAAACTTAAATTTAATCAAAAATGAGAAACGACAATCTTAATATCTAAGAAATTTAACAAATAATAGTCTCGCATGATATCTGTCAGTAGACTGGAACCATTTCAAAAGGATGTTTACTTACAAAATTGAATCATATTTTAGTCAATTGAATTCATATCCTAAAAGACTTATATAACTAGTAAAATGTCACTGAAACCTAGTCAAGTCATTCATCAAGGTGAATCGTTTCTACGTTAAACATTTTACTGAATATTATCAAGATCAATGATAACCACCCTAGATTAGTTATGAATTGGCGTCATGTGATCGTGGCTCTTCATTTTAATAAGACTATCTGGGTAAAATGAGATTAAAAATCGAAGTTATTCAGCCAGTTGGTTTTACTCATGATCTCAATTAATAATGAAACTTCAATAGTTGAGATCATGAGTCAATTGAAACTAGATCACCATGGAAAACCTGGAAGCACTGGATGGTTGCTTCGTCCGATTGTGGGACTCCTCAACAGTACGCACCCACGACCCCACCTCACGGGATTCGAACCCAGGGCCTATCAGTCTATCTGATACTAATAATGGGACCAATTTTCTTTCTTACTTTAATCTCGAAATTCATTACAATATAAATGAGAAAACTGTATTTGTTTTTATATGAAAAACACATTACCTTCAATAATATTTGTATCTTTTTTGAATGGAAATTCAACAACTAGATGTGGTATCCCAATAATTTGTACACCATTATCAGTTGAGTCTTTTTCATTTTTCATTTCAACTAGATTATTATTATTATTATTCGGTTGGTTTTCATTCATTATATACACATCACAATAGATTGGTGGTAATAAAGCAGTTACATTTTCATTTATAACTTGTATATTAGAAGGATCAACTTTACCAATTGAATGTTTCGTTTTGTTTAAATTAGTACTGACAGTGTTAGATGGAAAATTTAAACCACTTTGTCTAGCACGTTTACCAATAGGTAAATTGACAATAGTTGAGGTTGGACTTTCTTCATGTGATTCTAATAATGATACTTGTTGTTGTAACGTAACGCGATTCCATGTACTAAGTAATTCACACAGAGAACGAAAGTCACCTTCAAATGACTTCAAGCTGAATAGTATAAGAAAAAGAGCCATTAATATAAATCAATAAGAAAAGTATTTAGCTACGAATGTATATTACCAAATTTTCGATTAGCGTGGTGGAAAGATCTGTACAAGTGAATAAAACACTGAGTTAGTAAACCTTAATCAGATAAACTCTACATTTCGTCCTATTCCGGTATGGTCAGGTGGCTGTATTTGCATCCCAGATTTGATATTGACTCCAAGACTCAAAACAAGTAATGCTAGCTTCAAACGCAATCGCCTTATACAATTTGAATCTTCCCATTAACATTTAGGGTTGCAATTGATCTTTTTTGGCATATATGCATCCTCTACAGACTGCCTTGATAATACCTTGAGTTACAATCAATGAATGGTGGCCGGTGGTGGAATCAATTGCAGTCCTAAACGTTAATGGGAAGATTCAGACAACCAACACAAAGTCAATAAAATACTTTTTTTTCACTAAAATTTTAAATTTTCTTAAAGACTTACGTTTGATATAATAGGTGTTCTTCTTCGGTCATACACGCTCCAACTTCTTCCTCAGCTAATGCTTCATCTTTGAAACTAGTTGCAGATCTACGATGTTTTTCATGAGATCGTGATGTACGGCGTCTAAAATTCGGTATTTTTTTTGAGAGAGAAATACATTATGTTAAAGCATTCTAAAATTTCAAATAGATATAATTTTACTTTAACAACCATCATAACTAAAAATATAAAGACTTATATTATTCCCAGATTTAGTAAATAACTTATTGGGAGAGTTTTCTTTTATTGGATCTATATGACCATCATTTAATAAAGTACCCTCTTTTACCTAGTGATAAGTTTAAAGCGTGATCAGTGAAATAACTGCCTGTATTTGACCGTCAACAGATATTTCTACTACTTTCCAAGAAATACACAGCAAACTGAAACTTTGCATAAAGGTGAACAACCTAGAATTGACAAACATTTCAACATATTTCTTACAGTATTCTTTCCTCCTTTCCTATTAGTTGTTTTATTGTATAGTATTGTTCATGGTCGATTCTCGGCTTAATAAATAAATATGGCACGCAAGAAGGTTGCCTCTATTACAAATTAACAATCTTTCTAGCATAATCCATACAGTGTTATCTAATAGTTAAGGTTTTGTCGACATAAGGATTCTACAAGACAACAGTTATAGTATGTGTTTTATTCATCACAGTATAATCACCCAAAATCTGCATTCTCATCACTTTCTTTTTCTCCTTGTGATCGACTGGATCATGAATACGTCAACATCTGCAGGGAAGCACGGAATACAGTGGACAGCTAGGATGCAGTTGGACGATCTAGACTTCACAGATGATCTAGCTCTTCTATCACACACGCAAAAACAAATGCAGGAGAAGACGAACAGTGTGGCAGCAGCCTCAGCAGCAGTAGGTCTCAATATACACAAAGGGAATAGTTAGATTCTCCGATACAACAGTCAGTCAGTCAGTAACAACGTAGAACTTCGTACGTACGTACATCAGTTCGAGTTGCCACACCACATTAGCACAGAGATGCAGTTGTCGATTCAAATCCCATAGTGGTAGAGGTAGTAAGAGTATAAGCAGTAATCGGGAAGATTAAGGTTTGGAGATGTTATTTATAGAGTATAATCCAATCACAATTGACGGAGAAGATTTAGATGTAAAAACCTTTACATATTTGGGCAGCATTATTGATGAACACAGTGGATCTGATACAGAGGTGAAGGTGCAGATCGGAAAAGAAAGATCAGCATATTTACAACTGAAGAACTTCTGGAACTCAAAGTAACTGTCAACCAACATCAAAGTCAGAATATCCAATACAAATGTCAAGACAGTCCTACTGTATAGGGCGAAAACTTGGAGAACTACGAAAGCCATCATCCAGAAAATCTAGGTTTATTAACAGTTGTCTACGCAAAATACTTCGGATCCGTTGGCGAGACAATATCAGCAACAACCTATTGAGGGGGAGAGCAAACCAGATTCCAGAGGAGCAAGAAATCCGAAAGTGGATAGGACACACATTGAGGAAATCACACAACTGCGCCACAAGACAAGCCCTCACTTGGAGTCCTTACGGCCAAAGGAGAAGAGGAAGGCCAAAGAACACATTACACCGATAAGTAGAGACAGGTATGAGAAGAATGAACACAAATTGGATAGAACTAGAAAGGAAGTCCTAGGACAGAGTGGTTTGGAGAATACTGGTTGGCGGCCTATGCTCCATTAGGAGTAACAGACGTAAGTAAGTAAGAATAATAAATTCGATTACAAAATTAAATAAACAGATAAGTCAATACATATTTAGGTATATATAAACGAATAAAACATAATCAAACTAAAAATTATAACTAACGTTTCTTCTAAAACTGTTAAAGGGGATTTATCTACTGCATCTAATTTTCCCAAATTATTATTAACGTCTTTCACAGGTTTTGAACTCATTCGACCAGATAATGCACGATTATCTTTAACTGATACTTGATTCGATGTAATTGGTTTAGTTATTTTTTCATCTTGTCGTTTACCTCTTTTCTTCATGTTTCTGATAAGAAAATATGGGATGAATACAATTTACCTTTTAAACTAAAATCACAAAACATTAAATAACATTATGCAAATGTGCAACGGTACTTTGAATGTCACCTATTACAAACAGTACAAGGTGGAAATTATCCAAATAAGATAGACATTCAGGTAATACCTAGACACAAAAATGGTGCATAAATTTCAACGAAGAAGAAATTATAAACCAGTTTTTCATGTAGAGTATCTCATGTAACTAAGATCATGATTCATTAAGTCTACATATTAATAGAATGTCTTTTTTCAACAAACTTTTAACTCATTGGTACAAGATTAACGTCAGAGTCAACAATATTTATGAAAGAATTTCAAAATAATCACCTGATTTCCAATTTGGTATTAATGTCTTTTTTATATACACCATCTATGATTGCTTCCACTCAAACTACTGACACATGTTTCGAAGAAATATAGCATCCTAGTTACAACACAAGTTCACTTCACCACAATAAATACTTGTTAACAGCATGAAACGTTTACTTAACTACACTGTCTAGTATCTCACATGATTTACTAATCATTTCCACCGTAATTAACATTGCTACACACCACCTATAATCGATTACCAATAACTTTCTTAACTCCCCATCCGTAGATAGCTATGACCCAACGTACAAGTGTAGCTTAGATTAAAGCTCTACACATAATATACACCTTTTCGAAATATATTTGACATCCGTTTAGGTCTTATAAATGTTGTAGACTAGTAGTTTCCAAAACAATTCAGTATTTTTGTTTTATATCTTATTGACGACAAACATGTCATGGGTCATATAATAACTGAAAATAGTTAAAACTTCTTTCTACTAACGTGGTTCATCGTTCATCTAAGTAAACTAGTTCCGTAGCCTCATCTCACATGATTTATCATTCAAGTATATATTTGTTAGGATGTATTTAAAATGTCCTTTTTTTGTTCATGCTTTGGGTATTATTTAGTTCTGAAACAACAGTATAGAACGTTGATTCTTAAGAAGCTTGTGGAAAAAAACATGTGACCTATATAAACATATCTAAACGTTGAAACGGAATGATAACTGATTACATTCATCCTAGATAATTCTTCTTTTTATGAAGTCTTAAACTCTCTACAAACCATTATATATTCTCAAAATACATGTGTTTTTTGGGACTTCATATAAAAACAAACAATATCACAAGACTTAAAAATACACATTACTTCCCAAATATATTGTGGTGAACAAGAATACGAGTGGGGACAATCGAATGTATTTGAACAAGAACTTACAAAACATCCCATTGAAATAAGAGAACCATACAATAAATAGTTAATTTGCAAAATATCAACCAATTGTCTCAAACTTGACTATTTCTTTTGCAAATATCAGTCCATCCTCTCAGATTTCATTGTCCATTCATTTTCATATAAATTGCTTTCCGTTCCCATTCTTTCCTTCTAGATCTATCTACTGAAATACATCCTATTTCTGAACATCGTTATGTACTAATTATGTGGATATAAGTAGCTCATACTACACTACCCCCCTTTAAAGCATCCGTTCTTGCGGTGGTTCTACCACGCCCCCGTCAAAATGTCGAGACGGTGGCTCGCTGACCTCCACAGCCCCAACGACATGCTGGGGCACCAACATCTGATATCCACCCGGCACCTGGGACGCCCGACTCCTGCGCTCCAGCAACCTGTTGAGTCATATATATTCAATGTCCGCCCAGCAGCCGCATTTCCCACGGCTCCTCTCCTTCGACATCACTCGCTACAGCCAACTCCACCCCGCCAGAACACTACACTCGACGTCACCTCTCTGTACCAAACTGCCTCAACTAGCAACTCGGCCCCAGGCCCACAACGGCTGGCACCGACACCCAATGTAGTGCACAGAACACAGGCTAAAACAACCGACTTATGTTCAGTATAAAATTATAGAGTTACTTGGTAAAATAGAAAAAACATACTCCAATGTTCATTAATTGTCTCAAACTTCATTATTCCTGTATTTCCATACCAAGTGCTTTCTGATCTCAATCTTTTTGCTTCCAGACATTATATTTTTGACTCGATCAATATACTACTTATATCAATATATAAGTAGTACAAACGCAAACACACATCATAACATTACATTTTTAAAAAGAAAAAAAAATGATGAAACTATTTACCGTTCCATTTCTAATCGTTTCATTTCAGCTTCTTGTTCTTCACGTAATTGTTCTTCTTGTATACGTTTTTTTTCTAATTCAATTTGATGTTTTTCATGACGTAATTCATATTGTAAATGATCAATGATTTGACGTTCATTCTCATTTAATTCATCATATTCATAATCAGTTAAATCAATTAATTTTTCATGATATTGTTTATTCAATAGATTTTTGATTTCATTTAATTTTATTTGTTTTTCATTGATATATTGTTTATATTGTTCATAATTGAATTTAATACTTATTGTATAAATATATTTATAATTATTTTTAAAATATTTTAATAATAATTCTATTGTTGCTATGCTATTTTTTGTAAAATCTGATTCAATTCCATCTATAATGATACCTTTATTGGTATTATTATTATTATTGTTACTATGGTGATTGAAATATTCATGTATTAAATGTAATATTATATCATCAGGTAAAATTGTTGTATATAATTGTTCATTATTTAATAAATTTAATGTTGATTTATCAATAGATGATTTGATTATATCATCAAACATTGAATATGTAATACGTCGTGATTTGCATGTTGTATTATATTCAGGTATAGTTGATGACTAATACAAAAGAGTAACAATTAATGAGGAATATAAATAATGAGACTAGTAAATTAATTTAATCATTTTACATGATCATGAAATATACCTCAATATTAACAACATGTTAGTAACTGATATATATTAACTTGAGTATTGAATAGCAGTTAGTCAATCAATTTTTCAATAGGCGTAAGATAAGATGGATGGGACACGTGTTACGTATACCCAATTACCGACTGTCCCAAAGTGCGATGTTTTATGGTGTAGAAGTTGGTTGGAAGATAAATAAGGGCAGCCAGATCAAAACATGGCGTAAGTCCATAAAGTCACTGACAAGTGAACTGAACCATGTTAGTAGGTGAGGACTACCTGGTTCCGGGCATCCGCGAGATGATAGCAACCGATGATTACAGACCTTGAATCACATGGCTCAAAGTCGTTTTCAATGGCGCAGGTGCATCCACTCTTGGTGTTCTCCCAAATTCTAATCTTCTGAATTCTTCATGTCCCTTATTTTCTTTCCAAATTTATTTCGTTGTGTTATATTCCTTGAATAACATCTTCAAACCCTAATCTTTCCGATTACTGCTTATACTCTTATTACGTCTACCACTGTGGGATTTGAATTGACAATTGTATCTGTGTGATAATGTGGTATGGCAAATGCAACTGATGTACGTACGTACGGAGTTCTACGTTGTTACTGATTGATGTATAAGTAACTTTACAATGATTATCGGTATAGGGTTGTGGAGGTTCTTAAGTTTTTGATTGATATCATGAACTGATTGATGTTAGACCACCATTGAAAACTTGGAAGAACTCGATGTCCGTTTCGTCCTATTGTGGGACTCCTCAGAAGTGCGCATCCACGATCTCGCCCCCTGGGATTCGAACCCAGAGATTCGGTGTTGCGCGTGGACGCCCAACCTCCAGACCACTGAGCTGGCATCCAACAGTGTTAATGCTTATCTCCAACCCATCCACGATCCTGTATAAGACTTCAATAAAAAACGAAGTTTTAAGTGTTTTTATATATTTAAAGATACCGATAGAATATTGGGAAATCAGTAGAATAGTTGAGTCAAGAAGTATATTCAATAGCATATTTGATAGTTTCAATAGTTATAAATCCATAAATATTGTGGACTTGGGAAAGTTTCTTAGGTAATAACAAATATAGGATAATTGATCAAATCGAATGAAAACTAATTATTCTAGAATTCATAAATAAACTATTTTTATTTTCATGTTTGTTACGGATTGATCTTAGTTGGATACCATTAAAAAGGAACAATGAAACAACTAGTATGGAACAATTTATCTTAAATATATTGTCATTTTTCTTACGAATTACCCTGCTCCTTGAATGCTGCTATAACTGTTATAATTCAATTGATCTATTATAAAAATTTACAAACTCACAGTATCGTTTAATTTTCGAGGTACATTTAATGCACCACGATATCCCATCGCTTTGTGTGGAACTTGACCTTGTCGATTAACTGATGTTTTATGTTGTTGACCAGTGGTTACTTTGGATTGTTCTCCACTAATAGATGCAGTAGATAGATCAACTGTTAAAATTATTTTTTTGAAAAAATAGCAAATTTAGAAACAAATCAAAAGTGGATGAATTAATCACATATAGTAGTGACATGATGATACTATCGATGAGTTTGTTGACTGAGTTAGCTACCTTCGTATATATTTATGGACTTAACTCACGTTGGTGAACAACGGAATTAAATAAGTCAAATACAACAAAAAGAGTTTGAGTACGTATATTTCTTACAATCGTTGATCGGAAAGCGAATCAAAACAAAATAACACGAAAGGAGAAGGTGAATTAGCCAACTCGATTTAACTATGTGTGAACCGATATTTATAGCCAGACATATGATGATTAGGACAAGAAATGCACACATATACACTTACATAAAAACAATCAAGATTGATAAGGAAATAAGGGTGAGACTATAATTTATGGACGACATTTGAACGACGATTAACTGACCTTGAGAGTGTTCACCTAATAACTAGGACCAAATGAGGGTTATAAACCAGTGTCAGGAATTAGAATTATGATTTACATTTGATGGTTAAAGTTAGGAATTACATTTAGTGTTTTCATCATGAACTGATATCAGCTAGAATGCCAAAATTCTATTTATCGAAATGGATGGGTGACATTCGCGCCAAAATCCGAGATCTGTTATCTTATACGTGATTGATTCATCCATAAATTATAATCTCACGGCGAATAAGTGTCAAGTGTAAAATATATTTTTGAGAAGAATGAATAAATTGTTCTATCCGGAAACTAGAACAACCTATGTGGGCTCGACATAGGGCCAGATACTCCACCCATCAAACAGTGAGTTTCAATAATATTATTAATAAGTTTTGGATCATTCTTTACCGAAGAAAGTAAACAGTAGTATTAAGGTCAGTCAAACTAAATAATATGAAGCAGTAATTAACATGTAACTTTTTAAATTATAGACGAGTCATAGTTTTACCGTAAGTGAATGAAATGAAACTTTACTATCAATGAATTACATGAAATCACGAAACCATTACTTTCTAAAGAACATTAAAAGTAATACAACGTGTTTCAGATAAACTTCAGGTTATCTTTGATCAATTTAGCTTGACCTTTTAATAATTATAAACTATCTTGGTTGTTTCCCTAGCACTTTAACAATAACTTTGGACGAGTTTGCATAGAAATTATTAAATACAATGAGAAAGACTAAGATTCTATGTTTAAAAAACAAAATGACAATCCAGAGCTTGATTGATTATTTAATAAGCACGAATCGCAATTACTATCTTGTCATGATTACGACACGTGAATCGATTCTTTAACGCCAGACTGAATTATGTTGTAATGTTTCTGTTTTTTATAGAATGTAATTAAATTCTTTAATCAATCACTTGCACAGTTGCTTATGCATCACTTCCATAGATTCTTCTGATTATTTCTATAAACCAAAAGATTCACAAATTCCGTTTTATTAGCATTTAAATAGCACTGTACACGTAAGAACATTCCCACTTCTTTGTGCGCATCAAAGGGCTGTCTTTTTGATTAAATGAGTTTACCTTGGTTAAATGAAGTTTTTAAAACATATGTTAATTATGACCACCTCTATGAACAGTGTTTCCTGGTATAGAAGTAAGTCTGAACAAAGCTATGAACTGGGCAAATTAGGCATCATTCCATAAAGTCATTGATTGTTGGTCTGAGCCCTGTAGGTAGACGTAGATTATCTGGTTGGATCCCGTGAAATAATCATGATCAATGATTGTCAGTGTTAAACAAGATGGGTTAGTATCATTCACAATGAATTTCACTATCTAATTTTACTCAAGATTTTGCATTTCTGTAATTCTTTATACATACTTTTCCAGTGTATTTTTTCATGCCATTATTTTTATTCCTTAATCTTTCTCATAATTACTGCTAGAAAAATTATTTCAATTACTTTTGGGAGTTAAACTTGTCATACTAATGTAGTATGACAACTTGGATAAATGTATTATTTCACTGGTTGGAATCATGAGTCAATTGAAGCTAGACCACCATGGAAAACCTGGAAGCACTGGACGGCCGTTTTGCCCTACTATGGGACTCCTCAGCAGTGCTCATTCACGATCCCTCTCCCCGCGAGATTCGAACCCAGGACCTATCAGTCCCGCGCCAGGCGCTTAACCAACTAGACCACTAAGCTAGCATCCAACGGTGTTAATGTTTAACCTCAACCAATCCACGAAGTGGCGCCACCGTACATCTATGAACTATTATTATAGCATTTACCATTCTCGAGTTATGCCCAGTTTATCAATTATTATCTCCCACATTCACAGCCACTTTTGGTCAAATCTTGTACAGATGTTGTTTCCTATTTTATGGTATGATGTGATCTGTTTGATTGGTACATAAACCCAGTATGTCTGAAATAAATGATTCATATTACAGAGGCTGAGAATAGTGTTCTGGACTTAGCAGAAAGGGTTAGGCGGGAAGCAGGACCGATAAAAAGACTCTAGACTGCTAGTACTTGTTTTATGTGTCATTGGTCCGGTCGATAATTTACTGTTCTCTAATTGGCCACAAACACACAAGTTATAACATTAGTAATGAAGAAAAATTTCGCTCACGTCTTCTATGTGGAAACGCAATGTATCTTTGATGTAAACCAAAATATTAATTTGTATACAATTCATACTCTCTGTCGTTTCATTTTATCCTCATATGAGCTTTTTAAAAAAACGTTATGTTATGCTGCACCAGGAACTCGAAGGATATCAGTTATTATTAATGTGGAACCCTATTGACTTTCTTATAAGACTGATTAGAAATGAAAAAAATAGTTTCTTCACTAACTGTTTAGTGTTATTTACTGGTTTCACTTTAATGACCCTGTATCTGACTCCAATTAGATCGTATGATGACTGCTATCGAAATACACGTGCCGCCAATCCTCATATACAATTTTTGACTTAAATCGCGTTGGCGAATAACTGAATTCAATAAGTCAAATACAAGAATGGATTTCGAATAGGTATATTTCATACAATCTTTGATCCATACAGACGACCAAGGAAACGAAACGAAGAACGAGAATCGGAGGACAGCGAAGCAAAACGAATAAGAGATGGCATGTGAAATAACACGATTCAATAAAGTGTGAACCGATAATTATAGTCAAACCAAAATAAGTTAGACACACCATGAATCAGGTAAATAATTAACACACATACACTCACATAAAAAGTCAGAGTTAATAAGTAAATAAATGACAAGATCAAAATGTAGAATGAATAAATTGGTCTATCCAGAAGCTAAAATAGCTTATATGGGCTTAAAATATCACCAGCCGCTACACACTCTATTAATCTTACACAATAATTTTCACCTTGTTTAACGTTTGGCAGAACGTATTGCAATGTGCACAAAGTGAAATAATAACACTTTAAATTAAAGTACATGGAATACAAATTATATGATGTAAACTGTATAAGAGCAGAATAAACCAAAAACGTTTTACTTCAATATATATATATATATATATATATATATATATATATATATATATATATATATATATATATATATATATATATATATATATATATATATATATATATATATATATATATATTCAGGGCGGCCTGCTTGAGCATTTGGGCTACCTGTTCCTGCCATCTAGATATTTCAACAGGTTATCTATTTTTGTTTGTTTTAATATATCATTATGTTTATTAATCGCATGACCTATTCTGCTGCGTTTCTGAAAAGTGTACAACCTTTCGTTGTCAAAGTTACAAAAAACTCAATAAGAGACAATGTAGTTGCTGGCAATATACAGCGAAAAGAATGTACATTATTCAGATGTTCATTCACTGAACTGCTAACATCTAACTGGCGATCACTCATTATTTATCGCCAGGACCGACCAAGAGGAAAGAAACGGAAACTTGTTGAAATACTTTACGCTGAGAATTCTATATTGTACCAAAAATATAATATTGAATAAAGCTAATAATAATAATAATATATGTGCATTTTATGCAAGTGTAAGGTATATTTTTCAAGAAACCTATCGAATAGACTTTTTATTTTATTCTGAAGATTTCCTATGGCATCAAATATTTAATACTCAATAGACCCAACATTAGCATCATATGAAATTTCTTCATGTAGGTGTTAGCACAGCCTGTATGAGCATCGAATCATACAGCGATACGTCAGAAGGACTAATTAAATGATCATCTTTTACTTTGATTGTCAAAGTGTATACTATATTCATAGTTGTATAGTTCGATTTATATATTAATCCAAAAGCTGGTGGTAGGTGGTGAGGTAATAACCGGGAGATTATTTCACAATTCATTATCGCTATTTAGAACTAACGAGATAACTTTATCAAATACCTTGGTGACATATGTCAACTAGAAATAGGGCTGAAGTTCATGGCTTCATGCCGATTGTTCTTAACTGTCCCCTAGACTGTTGGATCAACACTAAATACTAGGTAAAATGTAACACTGGTTACTACTCACTGATTAAATCAATGTAAATATCTCTGTCTCAAAGGAAATTACTAGCAGCATGAAAAATTCAATGATGAAATCTTTAACTTTGACACCTGATCATACAGATATAAGTAGCATACGAATGGTTAGTTTCCTTAAGACTACATTTTTACCTCATTAGAAAATTTTGATTAACAAGAAACCAAAGTATATCATTTCTCATCAATTTTCTGTTGAGATCATGAGTCGATCAACGTTAGACCACTACTGCAAACATGGAAGCACTGAACAGCCGTTTCGTCCTGGTATAGGCTTCTCGGAAGTGCACATCCACCATTCCACAAACAGGACTGGAACTCAGAACCTTCGGTCTTGCGCGCGAATGCTCAACTTATGGACCATTGATGTAAATGTCTAACTTAAACCAATCACATCGATTGATTTCAACCACATCTATCAATTTTAATCTCATATTTCTTATTCATTAAAATTGTTTACCTTCATCTTTTTGTGCATCATCTGATAATTCTACAGGTGAATCTAATTTAACTTCTAAATCAGCTAATTGTTGTAATTGACATTGTTCTAGTTCATGTTCTTGAAGTTCTTTTTGTTTTGTATACAATTTTGCTTGAATTATTTCTAGACCAACATTTAAACAGATTTGTCTTGCTTGACAAGCTGCATCAGTTGTACTTGTAAGTAATGCTTCAATAATAATTTGATTAAGGTTAATTACAATTGCTTGATATTTACTAGCTAAATCTTTGACAATATCTGTAAAATACAGAAATCATATACAAAAATTAGAAAAACATGATTTATTGTAGAAAATTATGAATTACTAAGTGATTAACAAGTGTAAATATCTTAATTCAATAGGAGGACTGTTGAAATTTGAATAGAACAATAATAGAGGTGCGATGATAATTAAGCCATACAATCCACACTTAATTAGCTAGTATTTAGTGTCCGTAGGTAAGGCATATGCTTGCACTTATATCTAAGAGTGAGAAGATACAATTGATCGACAAGTCTGTGCATGTGTGAAGATGTGTGGCATAAGTGATGAGATCAATTCATGTATAATGAAGGCTGAAGAGATCTATGCCGATCTCAGCCATTTTTGGCGCTTTCTAGATGTCAGTCTGACTGTAAAAGGTCGGATCTACAACGCGTTAGTGAGTGCAATTTTGTTCTATGCTTTTGAAACCTCACCTCTCCGAGTGAAGATGTTAGATGACTCTCTGTGTCTGGTCATCGTTGTCTCCGAAGGATTGCTCACATCCAGTTGCAACACCTTGTTAGTAATTCAGAGGTTCGGCATCATGTGTTTGGGCACAGCGACGATAATTCAATTGGTGTCATTATCTTCAAACATTGACTTCGGTGACTTGAACATGTTCTACGAATGTCGTCCAAGAGAATTCCATGCCATGCATTATTTGTCGACACTGGAACCAGTTAGAAAAAGCAGAGAGGTGGTGCATGCATGACATGCTCTCATGGAATGCAAGAAAGTTGTGCAGAACCGGCTTCTGTTGGTCTTTCACAACTTCCTGGTTGAAGTCTTAGAGATGGTGCAACACAGTGGATTGTGACTTTATCAGATAGGGCTCAGGATAGAAACCAGTGGCAATCCTATTGTAACTTTCTTTTACTTTCTTCATAAAAGTAAACGTAACTTCTTTAACTGGAAGAATTCTTTCTGCTTGTGTTTTTTTGACTGAACTGCTCCCCATGTCATTAATATTCTTATTATTATTATGTCATTTTCATGCACTAATTTTTATTCATCATTGTTTTGTGTTTGATTATACTAACCGTCCTTTCTCTTTCTCTTCATGACCTCACTTTCGTTGTGTGGCGCATATGTTTAAGTGCCCCCTTGCACCAATGATTATGTGTTTAAATAAGTTAACGAATAATGTGCTTGGTTGACAATGAGTAGCATGATTTTCAATAACTGATGACCCATTTGTTCACACAAGATTACAGGTAAAACTTGCTGACAAGTTCTATCTAGCATAAGGTTCGAGCTTCTTGTTAACTGATTTCAACAAGCATACATACTTCAGTTTAAAAAATTGATTCATTCTTTATCCTATGTTAAAACCGAGTAACTTACAAACAATCTTTTTCAAAGTTCTCAGTCCATAGCAACTGTTTAGTGTTATTTGGTAAGTAATTGAAAAATGATTGTAAATCACTCATTCATTTATAATAACATCGTAAAACACCTAATATCTACAGAGTAATTCATTTCTGGAAAGTAAATTCGTCTTTTACTTTAAGCTATCGATTGTAAGATTGATAAACTTTGACAATCATTTCCAAATCATATGGTAACCTACTCTTTGTAAAACTTGAATCTATATCTATGTACACATAATGGTAATTGGCCTTTAATTGAACTATTTAGGATTTTTGATTTTGCTAATGAAAAATGTAATTCATGAAATCATCTGAAAAGTTTATTTGAAGCAAATATAAAGATCATCCTAGTTTCTTTAAACCATGTCTTAGTGTATACAAAAATTGACAATTTGGAGACTGATATTAGACCAAAAACACATTAGGTATTATATATTGATTACCATCCGTATAACTTAGCTTAACAAAGTCGATGAATTATTATTACTTCCATTCAATCACATCAGTTTCTATTGTAATTATTTACATTTTTAATCACATTGAATAAAGATGTGATCGGTGATTAAAAATCAGTCAGACAGTCACAATGTAGAACTTCGTACGTCCGTACATCAGTTCCACGTACCACACCACATTAACACAGAGATGCTGTTGTCGATTCGAAACATATAGTGGTTGAGGTAGTAAGAGTATAAGCAGTAATCGGAAAGATTAGGGTTTGAAGATGTTATTCAAGGAATATAACACAGTGAAATAAATTTGGAAAGAAAATAAGGGACATGAAGAATTCAGAAGATTAGAATTTAGGAGAACACAAAGAGTGGATGCACCTCCGCCATTGCAAACGACTTTGAGCCATGTCATTGCTAACAAGAGATGACTAGCAAAGAAAACTAAGTTTGGAGCTTCTTATACGATTGCCTTCTTTACTTATTTGAACATCGGTTGCTATTATCTCGCAGATCCCCGGAACCAGATAGTCCTCACCTAATAACATGGTTCAGTCCACTTGTCAGTGACTTCATGGACGTGTGCCATGTTTTGATCTGGCCGCCCATAACTTTCTTCCAACCAACTTCTACACCATAAAACATCGCACGTCGGGGCAGTCGGTAATTGGGCATACGTAACACATGTCCCAGCCATCTGAACTGATTAACTTTCGCTACTTCATCAATTGATTTGCCATCCTTACCTAGTACCCGTTTCCTAACACCTGCATTACCTACTCGGTGGTCCCAGGATAATATTAACTAAGCATGCCAAACATTTAAAATTTTTCTATCATAAGTCATAGGACACTGATATTCTGTAAACTTCTCATACCTATAGATAATTTTAAATGAAATCAGTGGCAGAACCTTTGGATATCAAACTAATATGTTCATCCTGAAACCTAAATGTCAATGGTTTAATGCCTTATGGAATTGTGTGTAAGAAACATATTCAGTACTTTATTGTCTCAAATGTTTTCTTATCTAGTTTATGTCAGTTAATTTATTCAAAGCATTGAAAAATGAGGATTACTAGCGACTAAATACTTAACTAGCTTATGGCAAATGCTTAATTTAAATATAAATAACTTACCACGTCTAATAGATTCTAATGCTCCATTGACAAGGATTACAATACCGAATTTACCTGATTTATATGACTCATGAGTTAAATCCATACCCAAATGTCGTGATATTGCTAGTGATACAGGTGTAACATCTAATGTTTGTTTTCCATTACTGAAATTATTGAAATTTGATATTTTACTACCTTCATGTTTAATCTCATCGAGAATTAATTCAGACAATACATTTCGATGATCAGATTTATTACGTTCTGATGTACTAGTTGAAGTAGTATTATTTGTTGGAGTTGTATTAGTGGTGGTTGTACTAGATTTTTTCACCTCTTTTAATGATGTACTTGATGAAGAAACTCCTATGAACTGAAAAAAAAGATATATATATGATATTGTATTGAGCTAAATAAGGAAATGTGAGGAGTGATTTTGCCTGACATATCAAGATGACGATATTTAATCGTCTCTCTATACAATGGCTACACTGTCCAGTTTCAGCTCAAAATTCAAACTTGCTAAGAATCAGGTACATCAAGCCCCAAATAAGAACTTTCTAATCAGAAATCTGTTTGTATCAAACATCACCTGCATTCAGACTATATATATTAACAAAACATGTTGCTAATTTATCCAATGTACACCCATCCACGTAAACTAATAGCATACTCTGAAAAAAATGATGATGTTCTTTCATCTCCCGAATTCTCTTACTTATAAAGGCATCTAAAATTAGCTGTTAATGCGTTATACGATTATCCAAAAGAGTTGAATGATCATAAATGCTTTTTTAATTGATTTCAACTATCATTCGTCAAACTGGCACGCACAAAAACTTCAAACTACTATAAGTGCTTATCGTCCTGACCGTTGCTGCTACCTTGACGTTGTGGTTGGACTTGCCTATCGTGATGGACCAATCGACCTATACTGATTGGGACACTCGTTCCTTAAGATCGTATCTTGTCAGACAGGTTGGTTGAAGAACAGTAAGATTAAAAGCAACAAACCCAAGGTCCGAAGTGAAGTTGTACTGCTGACTGTATGGGGGGGTGACGGCAGTAAGGTGTTTCCCTTAGAAAACCAGTATAACAGCGACGCTGCTTCCCACAATGAAGGGTTAGAAAAGGTCGACTCTAAAAATGCACATCTCACCCTACCCTACGGATTTCCGATCCGATAATGAAATCCCAACAAGTACGGAGCCAACACGAAAATTACTCACAAAATGGTTATGTGTGACCGGCTTCAAGTAATTGTCTCTTGGGCACTGCATTCACACTGTCAGGTCACCAAGACCAACTCTCACGCAATTTCCCTTTCAAGTACCTCTAGTAAAACCCTTCCACAGTGTGAGCAACTGAGAAGTGATAACCGCCCTCATACCTCTAACAGTACTCAAAACTAATATTTATCCTAGTAAACATAATAAATATAAAGAACATTATATACTTACTTTTAACTCTCTGATATTTTTCTCATCACTATTTTCTAGAGGAATAGTTTCTTCTAATTCATCAGATAATTTAGAATTGGCAATTTTATTTTGTTCTTCATAGTAAGCAATAACCTCTGAAGGTAAAAAATCACCTGGTTTACGTGATGGTAATAATAATCTTCCATATTCATCATATCCATCTATAGATCTTAATATTTCATCCTCCTAGTTGAAGAAAAAATAAGGAAAAGAATTTACAAATGAGATTATATAACTAATGTAAACTGAAGTTAGACATTAACACCGTTGGATGCCGACTCAGTGGTCTAGAGGTTAAGTGTTGGCGCGTGAAACTGAAGGCCCTGGGTTCGAATCTCACGAGCAAGGTCACGGATGCGCTTTGCTATGGAGTCCCACAATAGGACGAAATGGCCATCCAGGTTTTCAATGGTGGTCTAAAAGCAATCGGTTCATGATCTCAATCAATAACTGTATAAACTGTTTACGTAATTGTCACAAAATATATAATTTAACTTTTGAATAAATAAATTTCATTAAAAAACTATAAAGTAATTCTAATATTAAAAATAAAAAGATAATATGCATCGAATTTATTTATTTCACACTGTTCAACACAATCATTTTGATTTAAAGTTTACTTAAATTTACTGGTTGGCATCACGAGGCAAGCCCTAACTTGGAATCCTGAACGGAAGCGGAAAAGAGGAGGACTAAAGAATATATTACGTCGGGAAATAGAAGCAAATATGAAAAATATGAATAAAAACTGGAAAGGATTGTCCAGGAGAGTACTGTTGGGTGGCCTATGCTCCTCCACGAGGATTAACAGGCGTAACTAAGTAAGCAAATCTACTAGAAATTGTATTTTGAATTGAAGATGACTACATTTAGAGAAGACATTAGCGAGATTCTTCAAATAAAGTTAGCTGACTCAATAATAATCTCAGTTCTTCTTCAAGCACTTGATATAGAGAACCGATCAGAAGTAACCTAAAGGTCAAGTGCATTTCATTGGGGTCAATGGGTCAATTTCCTAAGGATAGAGCGGTATATTTATGAATGAGTATTTGTGTCCAATACACTTTCTCGTTCACTTTTGTGTACTTACTCAAGTAACCAATCGGGGGGAGGGTGGCGCACAGCACACTGTGCATCATTATCAGATTTCAGACGCCTCATGTCACAATAGTACTGTTTTTAAAATATACGGTTATAGAAGTATGTGAATATAAGTGGATTGTCATAACGTACGTTCCATCAAAATTATGTATTTTCTATATCAAGCATATTATGAACAAGGAACAAAAATAGAACGTTTATAATACCTAAACCGGTTAGAAAAGAGAAGGATCCTGGTTACCACACAAACCTCATATTTCATTCATTAGCTAGTTAGATTTTATATTAAGCCGATAGATTCTGGCTAACAATCGAATCCAGGAATCCCGATTGGTCCTACGTGGGACTCGTCAGTTAAGTGTATCTGCAATCTAGTGTTGATGTTCACACCCTTTCTAATAACAATATGATTTTTCATTCTCTTAAGGACATCAACTAGTTGCTTTTCTATAATTTCAGTCTTGTTTTTCTCATTAATGAGTTTTGAGAATTTGGTGTCATCTGATAATAGCGTTGTCATTTTTTCAATATAACTCTTGCGATCTAACAGCACTAAACCAGCACCTTTATTTGGATGTGTGCTGTTTCAGACCTCACTAAAAGTTTAAAAACCACAGAAACACAGCAAAACTTTCCTAACAATCCTGAGAGATATGTGTTTAATCATTCTTCAATATCCCTGACAAATGTACAATTAGAAGCATTATCTTTAGGGATAAAATTCTGCGACATAAATGAAAAAGTTTACAAAATCAACACACATGTTCAATTCGAAAACTTAATCAAACAAACAAATGGTTTTAATCCAATCTCTGATCAAGAATTCCAACGTTTCAAATCTACTCTTCTTGACAGCTGCAACCAATATATTAGCACAAAAGTAACAGACAAAAGTCTACTAACAAAAGAACATAGAAATCAGATAAAACTACGTAGAAATAATAAAGACTTGATTATAACACATCCAAATAAAGGTGTTGGTTTAGTGCTGCTAGATCGCAAGAGTTATGTTGAAAAATGACAACGTTATTACCAGATGACACCAAATTCTCAAAACTCATCAATGAGAAAAACAAGACTGAAATATGATTTTTGTTAATGTTAACTAGACAAAAGTAAATGTAGTTTTCTTCTACACAAGACAACATGAAGGTCATCATATTTGTTTAAATCTGTCATAAATTTATATATACTTACTTGAACAACTTGTTTATCCAATTCAAGCGAATAAAATTCTATTGGATAATCACATGGATTGGTTATAGTAACACTTTCTTCACTTCCAACTAATGAATATGGTAAAATTGGTTGAAATTGTAACATAACACGATCGAATATTAATTGTGGCTCTAAACCTTTACCTTGACAGTGTATTTTTAAAATTGTATCAGTATTTTCAATGCTCAATAGAATCTTGCTTTCATACTTCTTCTCTTCAAGTGGTATAAACCTTATCTAAACAAATAAATGAAATAGGTGTGATTAATGCAAAAGAAACCGAGACGTGAGTTTCTTCCCACTTTGAACTTATCAGGTGAATGTACCTTTATCCTAGAGTTAAATTTTATCATGGAATTTTAACCCAGTATAATTTACTTCGAACATCAGGATGTTATCTATTTAATTGCTAAGTCCAAATAGCTGCTCACTTGTTCAAAGGCCTTGAATTTTTTTATTTTAATTTACTATATTTAATTACTTGATTACTCCTGTTAACCACAATGGAACATATGTCGCCAACCAGCATTCTCCAGCTCACTCTGTCCTCCTCCTTCATTTCTAGTTCTATCCAATTGTTTTCCATTATTCTCATGTCTGTCTTCACTTCTCGGTAATAATGTGTTATTCGGTCTTTCTCGTTTCCTTTTGCCTTGAGGATTCCATGTGAGGGCTTGCCTTGTGATTTCCTCAACGTGTGTCCTATCCACTTTCAGTGCTTCTTCCTCTTCTGGAATATGGTTTGTTCTTGTTGGGATATTCAGGAAAATATCCCAAAAATTATGCTGTTAAGTTTAACGCTATCCTTGGACTTGAAATGGTGTTATTTTCTTATTGGTCAATATTTATTTCACGTGTCATTTTCCTACTGGTCAATATTGTACAATGTTATTTTCTATTTTATGGTACGATGTGATCTGCTTGATTGGTATATAGACAGAGTATGTTTGAAATATAATGATTCATATCTCCGAGGCAGAGACTTGCGTTCTGGACTCAACTGGCTGGGCTAGACAGGGAAGCGGAACCAATCAGAACCCTAGGCCGTTCTTACGTGTTTGCGCGTCTTTGGTCCGATCGATAATGCGCTGTCCTCTAATCTGCCGTCACAATTATAGCAGTTCTCTCCCACCGTAGGTTGATGCTGATAGTGTTTGGCCAACAGATCCGAAGTATTTTGCGTAGATTAATTTATTATGCTTTGGATTATCCCTTTTTTGATATTTTAACTGTCTTATTGCTAACGAACTGAAATCAGTAACTATTACAATTCCCACCACATGATGTAAGAAAATGGAAGACTAATGGATATGAAGATTTATCAATCATCCAAAAACAAATCACCTCTAGTCAAAATACATTCACTTATATTATTTTTACACCCACTTGATGACTTACTAACAAATGTCATATAAATGAAACTGTATAGACTTATTACAAAAACTCATACTGATCAAAGTTTACATTAATTTAAGACAAAGGACCTTTATACTAAATAAACATCATTCTGAAAATAAGATTAACGTTACATTGAACAAATTATTACATTGTAAATACAATGTATATTAAATTCACTTGGTATTGTTTGTTTGAATCTTCACATTGATGTTTAGGACTGTAGTTGATCAGTCTCTTGTTGGAATATATACATCCTGTGCATATTGCCTCGAAATAGTGTGAATTCACAAGCATTATATGCAAAGATGGATAGTGGCTAGCAGTGGAATTGAGGACGCGCGTTTCGTTCTACTTGGGACCCGTCAACTGGATGTACCTGCATCTCAGAGTTGAAGTTCACTTTGAGACTCGAACCCAGTACCATTTGCTTGAAACACCATGCATATATTACAATGTATATTATTCTGAACAGTTATTACATTGTAGGTATTATTACCAAGGTTTGACTTGATAAATTAGAATATACTGAATATTGGGTAGATTGTTATAAATAGATTAATACATTTGTAGATATCCCAGTGAATAAAAAAATTAGACTTTTTGACGTTTCGTGACTCAGTGTAATCCATTTCTTCAGAGAATTTATACTGTTTAGAGATTAACAATCATCAGAGAATCAGAAGTAACAAAGTCTGTTCCTAATACAAACATTAATAATCTACCTAACTCGTCGTATAAATGTACTTTTTAGACTCTAAAATTGAATAGAATCAAATAAATCGCCTGATTCATTTATTTATTCAGTTTATTAGTTTCCTGCAGATTGTGTTCAGTATAATAGAAGAATTAGATTGAAGGCCATAGAATAGTATGTAAACATTTATACTATCAACTCGAATCAGTCAGTCAGTCAGTCAGTCAGTCACAACGTAAAACCTGGTACGTATGTACATCGGTTCAAGTTACCATGTCCTATTATCACAGAGAGATGAAATTGTCAAATGAAATACCAGCAACAGTATCAGTGGTAATAGGATAGATTATGCATCGAAAGTAAAATTCGAGAAGATAATATTAATTAGTGAAATATAAACAAAAAAAAATGTTAAACGGAATTTAAAATCTAAGGATATGGGGGAAAAATAAAGAACGAATGCACATATCCCATTGTAAATGATTCAATCAATTCAATAAAAAAGGAATAAAGTGAATATCATAAAAATTAAGATACCTGTATATTAGTTTTTTCATTTGGTTCTAATATTCCTCTACTTGGTATAACTTCAAAAATTCTTATTTGTTTCTCTTTTAATAAACTTTGGTATGATTTATTATGAACTCGAACTGGATAAACTGAATCAGTAGTATTTTTAGTAGTTTGTAATTCTGGTATTAAACGATACCAATTTATTGAAACAGGAGATGGATTATGTAATTGTACTGTAATTATACGTGCTTCACCACGTTGAACTTCACCAAAATCAACTGTATTTATATGTGATGTTAATGTTGGTTTTACAATATTAGCTCTAAGTATTATTGATATTGAAGGTCCATTGAGTATCTAGAATAGTAAAAATTGTAATATGTGAAAAATACACAAATTTTAGTCATACATTGTTGAAAATGTTATAAAAGTATAGATGTTTTCATTATGGATTGACAGTAGTTGAAATATCAGTGAACAGTTATTTGGTGAGACCAGTAGTGATGACCTTCATGGTGAGTTCTTAAAGCTTTAGTAGAAATTCATGACTGAAGGGATTTATCTTTATTGCGTTTACAGCTGTTAGCATACGAATTCCAGTTCAGCAATGTGGAAATCAATTAGTCTACTCAAAGTTCTCGGTTTCAGTCATCTTCATTGTTGTACCTTCAAAGTAGAATTAAACAGTTGTTCAGTCTCACCCCATTTGGTTTTTAATGAAGGCTAAAATGATGTCAATTTTCACAAAACGTCTAGCCTGAATTATTAAGATACTGATTAGTGATAAGCTCTATCACATTGGTTTTTAGACATTTTCATTCATTGATATTAGTGAATTCAATAAGGTCAGATCCCAAAACCATCCAAATTATTCTTGATATCGAGTCCAGATTGAACAACAAGTATTTTTGTGATAAAATAAGTTCAATAATCACTGATTATCCTTCAATCCCTATCGATTACTAATCAGATCTACAAACATTTGAACTTTTAACTTCGATGGTAAATTCAGTTTTCTATAGCAACTGCAGTAATCTATATCTTACATGATCTAACTATTAATTATTCCTCAATAATAATAATAATGATAATAATAATAATAACAATCATAGGAAATTTCAATGTTTGCAAGTATTAATGCCAAAGTTTGACTTAGTAGTTTTGAATAGATTGAGCATTGGGTCGAGAGTTAGTAATAAATATATTTTTGTTGTACCTTAATGTCCGACTTTTTATCAAAATACGACTTATACGATCTTAGCACTGTGCCAAACCAATGACGTTCGATTGGTATGAACCGCCTAGCGTCCTTATTGGTCATATGTCCGCCTACCCCGTCCACTTGAGTCCAGAACACCAATACCAGCTTCCACTATGCGAATCGAATCGAATCATTTATTCCCGACATACTGGGTTTATATATCAAACAAACAGACCGGAACGCACCATAAAATAGGAAATAACATTTATAGACAATAAAGCCAAAAAGTGACTATGAACGTGGGAGGCAGTAGTCAATAAACTGAACATAGCTTAAGAACCGTAAATCGTACAATAATAAATTACAGATCAAAATGAAGCTTATAATAAGAGGAATATAAATATGCATAATCTAATTATTGAATAGTTATACTATAAGAATATATAGATAATATTAGTCAATTAATATGTCTCAGAAGTTACTCGTGATTTAATCTTCGCTCTGATAAAACAACCTTATTATATTATATTCCATTGAATAGAAAGATTGTATTTCTGATGTTTCGCGAGTTATTGTAAACCACTTCTTCAGAGTAAGTAAGTAATCAAATCAAATTTAAAAAATTTAAAAAGTACTATTTAAAATTGTGTTAATTCAGTTTGGTTATTTATTTGCTCTGAAGTAATAGATAACATGAGTTAACGAAATGTCAAAAATGCAATCTTTCTACTCATTGGGATATAACAAAATAAAATATATTTTAATAGTTGAGTTGATGAGTCAATTGAATCTAGGCCATCATGGAAAACCTGGAAGTACTGGACGACCATTTCATCTTATTATGGGACTCCTTATTAGTACGCAACCAGGACTCCGCCTCATGAGATTTGAATCCAAGACCTATCAGTTCATTAATAAAATACTATAAAATCCAGATTAAAACTGACAATAATACAATCCACCCCCAAAAAAAACAACCGAGAATAACTTACTTTAATAATTAATTCTGTTTGAATGAAATTTTCATTTATTAACTGATTAATTTGTTTTGTATCAAATGTAATTTCCATATCTAATTGTTCACAATCTGGATAACCAGGTAAATGATAAATTTTTGTTATATTTGTACTAAATCCAAATTGTTTAGCTTTTGATAAAGATGTTGTATCAAAACGAAAACTAATCGGTTCATAACTTGTATTAATAATAGATATATTTTGTTTCATAATTGAACCGATTATAACTATGCCAAAATCAAGTAAATATGATGGTAGGTATAAACTGAATATGATAGAAAGGGAAAAAAGAACATAATAGACGAGTAATGGAATGATCATATTTCATCACATATATTACAACAGTATTATATAAGGACTTTCATCAGGGGAATAGTGATTTTATTAGGTGTTAATATTTGATCGCTAATGTTTATCAGTCATACTGGTGAGACTATAATTTATGGACGACATTTGAACGACGATTAACTGACCTTGAGAGTGTTCACCTAATAACTAGGACCAAATGAGGGTTATAAACTAGTTTGAGGAATTAGAATTATGATTTATAGTTGATGGTTAGCGTTAGGAATTACATTTAGGGTTTTCATCATGAACTGACATCAGCTAGAATGCCAAGATTCTATTTATCCAAATGGACGGGTGACTTTCGCGCCAAAATCCGAGATCTATTATCTTGTACGTGATTGGTTCGTCCATAAATTATAGTCTCGCCGAGAAAGAAAAATGACTGGGATTAAATCACTTAACTAAGAAAGTATGAACTAAACTGATTATGTAACCAAGACGCTGATAAAATGCCGAGTCTTTCGATAGCACTAAGCAACAATGCCAGAATGTTTGGGATGCACTTCTCTCCCCTTAAATGCAAGTTGTTGCTTCAGGACTGACCTGCGTCAACATGTGAACTAAGGATAGGGAGTGAAGCAGTCGAACGCGTTGACAACCTCACTTATCTTGGAAGTCTGATAAGCCCTAGTAGGTTGGTGTCTGACAAAATCTCAGCACGGATTCGAAAAGCTCGTTTGGCTTTTGCCAAGTTACGTCACCTATGGCGAAGGCGAGACCACTGTATATAGTCTGATAAATCCCACTGAGTAATTTATTCGATCGTTAAACCATTCAAAATACGTGATTCAGTGGATTTTGCGTTATAATTTTAGGTTATCTACAATGTTGTTTTCTTGTTAACTTACAACTATTTATAGTCATAGATTAAGTAATATTCCCACTGAACAGTAAGACAAACCGTATCGAACAGAAGCAATCGTTTGTTGTCAATATCAAATCCCTCCTGTCGTCCTATCATTCAAAATAGTTGAACCTAACCAAAATGACCAGCACAATCAATAAATACTCCTGTGACAGAATGTTAGGTCAAGACCAAAAAAGGGTAAAGATTGTGAATATGGCTCATATTTGCATACATTTGGTCGGAAAACTCCAGACGATCTTCAGCAAACGGAAATGTTTAAACATTGGAAAATTGACCAGGACTCTGTATATAATGATGAATTGTGGGTTTTTCTCGATTTCATACTTTATTTTTCTACTACCTTCATTTACTGAAAGAATAATATTTTAAGGATTCCGTTTATTATCACAACATTTACAAATCAAGTCTCACAATTGATTGATCACTGGGTGATCAATGCATGCGTGTCAAGTCTTGACTTGACAGGGTTTGCTGTCGGCTACCTTCAACCATCATCTAATCACAAATCAAGTCTTTTGTATCATATTTATAATCATTTCATCTACACCTATTTTAGAGAACATCTTTAACTAAATGATTAATGAATTGTTTTTACATATCTTAGCCAACCAAGTATAGTTTGTATGGTTTATTAACTAGTCAGATTTAATTAAGATCAGGTTATATTAACATGACAACAATGTTTAAAAGCATATACATCAATAGGTTTTAAAGGTTGACTATCTTCAGTAACTAAACCGTAGCATTGGTAACAGTCATAATTTTTAAGTTATATGTATGTATGTATTAATTTATTACTAATGTATTAACGGATTTCAGAATACTCTCAACTTAAACTACACAGAAAGTCAGTCAGTCAGCTACAACGTAGGACCAGGCACATATATGCATCGGTCCAAGTTGCCATGCCTCATTAGCACAGCAAGATGGACACCAGATTCATAGGAGTGGTTAAGTCAATGGTGGTAATATATAAAAGAAAGATTGCATATAAGGACACAGTACAGGCAGAAAGAATTAGTTCGTAGAAAGAAAGATATGAAGCGATTTTATTCTCCCAGTTTAAAGGAAGACAGAGAGTGCACACACCGACGCCATTGTTATCGATTCTAAGCCATATCACCCGGAGTCTCCAATCATTGGTTACGATAGTCACGCGGACCCCAACCAAGTAGTCTGCATCTACCAACATGGCTCAGACTAGGAGTTAGTGACTTGAGGCATTGATGCCACGTTTTAGTTTGGCCGCCCCTAACTTTCTTCCAACACCGGTTAGCATTGCACAGAAACAAAATGTTAAAAGTATTGTGCTTTTTTTCTTATTGTGTTTTTTAACATTCCACTGGGTATCATTATATTAATCGGTGATGTTAAGTTAAAATTAAATTTGATTTTGTATTTATTTAGGCATTTTAGTAAAGTCCACTGACAACACTTCATAAATACATCCAATCTAACATCAAGTCATCTATATAATTTGCTGGATTATGAAGATAATCTACAGAGTAACAAATATGTATCATGATATCTGCTACACTCTAATGATTAGTCTATGACAATACATTTTAATTAAAAGTACAAATTACGTTACACTAACTAATCATTGACCTAGTAATCAATATTATGCTTGTACTGTCCTTCGTACAGATCTAATTTTATTGATCGAGTTACATAAAAGTACTAGACAGACAATACTGGCTATTACTTCACAATTAATCAATGTAAATACTTCAATCGTATGTAGTGTCGATTATTATGTTAAGCTCATATAACATATTCTGGCTTTCGGACAGGCCTATTAATTCACTCTAATTTGAGTCATATTTTGACCATGTTAATTATTCGATTAACAATCTTAACTATTTTTATATGAGCGCATATGTGTGTGTGCACTTCTTATCCTATTCATTAACTTATTTTTGTGTAACTATAAATATTGATCAACGCCTGGTTAAATGAGAGATGGCTGACCCGTCATCTCCACTGCGCATCATTCTGTTTCGTTCTACTCCATTCACTTCATATACAACATATATGTATTTAAAAGTCCATTCTCATAATTTGATTTATTTAATTCCGTTATTTACTAACAAAATTTAAGTCGATGATTACATACAAGGATAAGTGACATATATGTTTCGACAACGATCATTCATACTATCAGATCAGAATCGGGTCACTAAAGTAAAAGAGAGCCTATCAACAAACATCGTTCAATCTAAATGACAACAAAATAAAACAAGAACTCCCCATGTATCTGTGGTCATTTGGAATCAGATACCGAAACTGAATAATATGATTTAGAATCCTATAGAAAAAACTAACTATCTTGAGACTCAAACTTTATGTTTAGCTACTTCCTATCAATTTCTATAAATCATCTAATAAGAAACTTATAGTGAGGTTACGGCGCCAACATCAGTGCTTAAGGCTAACATACATTCGGTTCACAGGAAATTTTGTACAAAATGTAATAATTGAACGGATATAACAAACAAAAACGGCGAGACTATAATTTGTGGACGAATAAATCAGATATAAGATAATAGATCTCGGATTTTAACGCGAAAGCCTTTCATGCATTTGACCAAACAAATCTCTGGCATTATAGCTGATGTCAGTTCGTGATAAAAACCCCATATATAATTCCTAACTAACGCAAATTACGAGAATGATCGCGAAGTGGATAATAAAAGCACCAGTAACACCATCTGCAGACAGGTACTACAATATATACGGATGATTGGAGAGCCCACAGACTCCTACATAGGCTTGATTATTTGCAACGTGTCGTTATCCACAAGTGGCATTTTGTGCACTCAACAACCGAAGTGCACATAAACAATAGTGAAGCTATGTGTTACAGGTTGAAAGAGTATTTGAGACTTTATCACGGCTCCAGAGGCCGACTATTCTGTAGACATATAGATGATTTCCTCTACTGCATACATTAGGATTTCAAAACTTCTGAACCTCTTTCTAACCTTGACACGTTTTTTGAACCATGTATAAGAAGTGTATCCACTTTATTTCCTTGGTTTTGTATAACACATTTTTACTCTATACTGACTGTTTCCTGATTGGCTAATATTTCTCAAGGTCACTTAAGATTCGTTCAAAGGTCGTTCATGAATTAAAGTCTCACCAAACTTACTTTTTTATAAAACATAATTTCATTTGTTCTTCTGTCTCGGTAACTACTTTTAATTGATTATCATTATGATATTGATTATTATTGTTATCATTTAATAAATTACAAATATATTCATATTCTGCATTTAATTGTAAATATATATCTGGTATCAATTTAATTATCTTCTCAGGTATTTTATTCATTCTATAATATTGATTTGTTAATATATGTTTAATTGCTTTTGTAATAGGACAATTAATATTATGCATAAATAATTGATCATATTGATTATAATTTTGAATAGAATTTAAAATGAAATCTGATCGATTTGAAAAGATTGTATCACATAAACAAACAATTGATCTATTTTGTTGTTGTTGTTGTTTTTCCAATAAATCAATAAAATTGATTAGATCATCATATAATTGATTAATTAATTTGAACATAGTGAATTGATAAATCGATGAAGAGATTTCTTTATTGATTATTAATTGATCATTATTGATTTGTTGTTGTTGTTGTTGATTATTTTTTGTTTGAATCATACATAAACGTGGTAAATTTATATTTAAATAATTAAAATCAATTAGACCATGTATTTTAATAGATTTTGGTAAAAAATATCCTATTTGAATATTTAATTCTTGTTCAAAATAACCCGGTTTTAATGGTTGATAAATAATTTGAATAGATTGTGATTGATTATTAATAATTTGACCATAAGATGGTATAATTTTATATTGACCATATTCAGTTATTTTATATAATGTTGTTTGTTCAATAGAATCATGAAATGTTTCATGTGTAGGAAAAGAAATTTTATAATTAAAATTCACTTTACCCATATTCATTATATTAAATTTATAGATTATTGATTGATTTAAACGATGATAACCTAAATCAATATGATCAGTTTGATCAATTTGATAAATAATATCTGATGCAGAACCTTTTAATTCAATATAATATTTAGGACCATGATCAATTTCACATAAAGCTAATACAGATGCTTCAATATTAGAATGTCCATAAAATGTACAATTTAAATAGATTGTTTCACCTGGATTAATTTCACCATATAATGGTACAATATCAAATAATTCTTCAATACCTAATGGTATAATATCTTCATCTTCATCAATTAAATTACGTAATATACTATTTTCAGTAGTAGATAAATTATGATTTACATTATTATCTAATATATGTTCATTAATTGAATGATTTGGAATAGTTTGATTGAATTCATTATATGATTCATTGATTTTTATTTCATCTTCTATGTCATTAGTATCTTGACAACTATTTTGTATGATATTTTCAATGTTTTTATTATTAATGATATGAGAATTAGGTAATAATTTTTGAACATTCATAGAAATTTGATCTTCTATTAATCGTGCTTGACGTTTAAATATAATATTTGGTCGATCACCAATAAGTAAAGTCCAACGAAATTTTACTGGTAAAGGACTAATATTTTTCATACTTAAATGTTCTGTCATTTCTGTATGATTTAATATACAACCAAAATCAATTAGATTAGAACTAAATTGAACATTTGGAAAATGTACTTCACCAATTAATCGTACAGCATCCTATAGTTTATAATAGAAAAATAATAATAAAAAGAAATAAATATAGTTACAATGTTTAATATTTTTATTTAGTTTGCTATTGACTGGTATCTGAATGCATTAAAACTGTTGAACACTTCATAGAGGGAACTGAACAAAATATTTTTCTGATTTTTAATAATTAAAACTTGAAAGTGATGACCATAGTGGATCATCCTTTTCAAATAATTATGACAAGTAAAGAGCTTGAAAGTGTATAAATAGTTAATTCAGTCAGTTAGTAACAACATAGAACTTCGTACGTACGTACATCAGATGCATTTACCATACCACATCAGCACACAGATACAATTGTCGGTTCAAATTCCATTGTGGTAGAGGTAGTAGGAGTATAAGCATTAATCGGAAAGATTAGAGTTTGAAGATATTATTCAAGGAATATAATCCAGTGAAATAAATTTGAAAAAAGAAAAAAGGTAGGGATATAAAGAATTCAGAAGATTAGAATTTAGGAGAACACAAAGAGTGGATTCACCTGCGCCATTACAAAAGATTTCTAGCCATGTGATTCAAGGTCTCTAATCATCGATTTTTATCATCTTGCGGATGCCCGGAACCAGGTAGTCTACACCTACTAACATGGTTCAGTGCACTTGTCATTGACTTCATGTATTTGTGCCATGTTTTGATCTGGACGTCCCTAACTTTCTTCCAACCTACTTCTACACCATAAAACATCGCACGTTGGGACAGTCGGTGGTTGGGCATACGAAGGAATCAAAAGATGTCAACTTTTATAAAAAAATACTATACTTCGTAAACACTATATATTTTGAAAAAAAAATTACGAACACGATGAGCGAAGTGGTATCATGTGGAATATTCATGGATAACTTAATACTTAAGGATAAATACTTGTTAGAATACAGTAGTGTTACTTATAAAAAACATTTGTTTGAAGTTATACCCATTGCGACATTGATTTATCCCACTATTTTATATGGCATAGTTTGATTTTACAAATTACTTCGTTTGAATAAATGAAAAAGAATTAACTTGCCATAACCTATTTAAATATGAAGGCAACAAATTATTGTGTCAAACAAGACAACTAGCGAGTGCCGGAAACGAATTAAGCTGTATGTTTTTAGGTTAATAAAATGATAGAAAATAAGCAAAACTACAGGAAGAAGATAACTCGATGAAAAATTAAAAAATAATTTAAGACAAGATATCAAGCTACTCACTATTTATGAGTAGTGTGACATAACGAATAAAAAAGGCTTCGAGACAGATTCAGGACTTATTTCGCCCACATGTATGTTTTCATGGACACTACAAAATTATCGAATTGGAGTCTAGACGTAACTGTGATCAAACACAAATAAAATCTGGTTTTGAAAGAACAGTTTGTTTTTAAAAGTCTCATTATCGTGGATCGGATTTGTTGGAGAATCCTAAACGGCCGTATAGTGCTTCCAAGTTATTAATTGAGGTTTAACATAGATCGGTTCATGATTTCAATGAAACTGAACAATTCCCGGAACCTTATTCTGAAGGTAGTATAATTAACACAAGACGGTGAAATATTTTCAAACAGAAAAAAAGAAGTATAAAATACACATATACCAAACAGTAATACGAAATGCAAAGAGTAATAATGTAAACTCATTATACTTATAAGACGATAATATCTTCAATGGTTTGTCGATAAAGTCATATCATACCAAGACAAATGTGAGACAAAAAACAATTAGATTCAAACATTTATAAATAAATAATATAAATTTGTACTCTTTGCACAAATTAGCGGCTGTCTAACTTCAGTAGCTCAATGGATAACGTTTTGTGTGTTTCAAGCAAAAAGTACTGATTTTTCAATCTTAGCATCCGAACTGGTTTGCAGGTTTATTCAACTGACAAGTCCTATATCTAAAGTGACGCTAATCCTTCATTCCATTAGTTACCATTAACCATATTTTTTTAATAATTGATCATTTTCGGTTAATAAAGCAACTAATAACAGTTTTAATAAATACTTTAACTAGAATTGTATTATAATTCAAAAATGGCGAGACTCTAATTTATGGACGACCGTTGCACAAATACTAGGCGACCTTGAGAAATATTTACCAACCAGCACACAGTCTGAATAGAGTAAAAATATATTATACAAAACCAAGGAAATATAGTGGATACACTTCTTATCAGTGGTTCAAAAAACGCGTAAATGTTAGAAAGAGGTTCGGAGGTTTAGAAATCCTAATGTATGCAGTAGAGGAAATCATTCATACGGCTACAGAATAGTCGGCCTCCGGAGCCGTGATGAAGTCTCAAATACTCTTTCAACCTGTAACACATAGCTTCACTATTGTTTATATGCACTTCGGTTGTTGAGTGCACAAAATGCCACTTGTGGATAACGACACGATGCAAATAATCAAGATTATGTAGGAGTCTGTAGGCTCTCCAATCATCTGTATATATTGTAGTACCTGTATGCAGATGGTGTTACTGGTGCTTTTATTATCCAGTTCGCAATAATTTCCGTAATTTACCTTAGTTAGGAATTATATATGTGGTTTTGATCACGAACTGACATCAGCTATAATTCTAGAAATTTGTTTGGTCAAATGCATGAAAGGCTTTCGCTTTAAAATCCGAGATCTATTATCTTATACCTGATTGATTCGTCCACAAATTATAGTCTCGCCGTTTTTGTTTTTTATATCCGTTCAATTATCACGTTTTGTACAAAATTTCCTGTGAACCGATCGTACGTTAGCCTTGAGCACTGAAGTTGACGCCGTAACCCTGAAATCTCTAAAACGCGTCTGATTAGCTCGTCCATAAATTAGAATCTCGCCTTCAAAAATTTACCAAAAAATGTAGCATAAGTAATAACTTACAGTTTGTGGATGCTCAGCATATTTGATAAATAATAATTCATCAGCTCTTCTACTAATTAAATCATCTTTATATTTTGGATTAAATGAAACTGTTATTTCTTTTGATTCAAATGGTTTTAATTGAAATGTCTGTAAAATATGTTTAAAAATGGTTTAATATCTAGTTATAAGGTTGAAATAAAACTATTTTCTTGTGATATATTGTAATAAAACAGGTAAGTACTAAAATGGATACTTGATCAAAACTCTATACATAGATTAGATCATATTATACCATAGGTAGAATTCAACGAACAAATATAAAGAAACAAGAGATAATCTAATCAATACTTGGTTAAACACGACTTATACTCTCACTGAGTCCAGAGTAAAAATCAACCATAGGAAAGAAATCATATATTAAATGGTTAGGGTCTTGCAGTGAGGACTCAATGGCTAATCACATTTTACATGTAAGTTACCGATTTCGCAATTCATACTAATGACTTCATGAATGGGTAATATTTACAGAATATTTTTGTAGAAATATTCATTAGCAAATACTATCGTGTCAGATTTTTAACTCTTCTGAAGCTAGATATTAAGTGTACATTACTCTTCATTCCAAGGCATACCCTAACTTGTAATCTTCGATGAAAAAAGAAAACAGGCAGATCAAATAACACATTGCGATAGATATCTAAAGAATGAATAACACTTTGAAATGACAGGAGTTGGTTGAAGATCTCCGATTAGTGGCCTATGCTCCACGATGAGTAACGAACGTAAATATGTAAGTGATTCAGTCCAATAAATACAAAATGGAAACTGGGAAAACATTGTTTTACAAAATTAAAGGCTTAATAATTCAATCTCCTTCACAAGCGACGGTATAAGATTGTTGTTTTTATCTATATAAAAAGTCCATAACCTAACTGATCTCGGATTATACAATCCTAACGGTCATCAATGAAACCCTTGATACATTTCAATACTCTTTGACTGTTAGTAACAAGACTATTGAATTTCCTGAGAATGTTTCTCTATTTTTGTTGAATGTTTTATACCATTTAACTCATTCATTTATTGGATAAAATATATAGAAATTGTTTTTCCAATCAAATTAGTGTTTCCACTATCGAACAACCACTTTGATGGTTTAAATTTCATGGATCTGGGTATACGAAATCGGACTCCATATGTGACCAAGTTTTAATAGCTGATCGTTCTAGGGAAAACATTCTATTACCTTACTCATTACAGTCATTATCGTATCATTTGTGTCAGGTAATCTTTGATAAAACCTTTACCGAATATTAGGATATATATATATTCTTCACCATCATTTTCGATTATAAACTTGGTATTAGCTCCAACGAAATAGGATCCATGAATCTTGGTAATATTTTCCCTAAACACGTCTACATAATGTATGAGAATCGGTCGTCAAATTGTAACCAATATTATTTCTCCGTTTAACAGATTATAAAATCAAGCGTAACATGAAAATTTGAATGAATGATATTATTCTCCCTGGTAATTGGTGTCGCTTCAATTAGGTAATTAGTTGTTAACCTGTGTTTCTGGGATCAATTTAACTTTCAGTATTTAAAATGAGGATTTTAAATGAAGAAATAATTAGTAAAGTTAATTAAATATGATAAAAATTTATTCGTTTCTTACCATTGTAGATGAGTAACTTTCATCAATAAACAAGTTGAATGGACTGCAAACTTCCAATAAACATGTTAATAATAAATCTACTTTATTAGTCATTGTGAAATGATTGAATTGTATAGATAATTCATCTGATGGTGCCTAAAGTATGATAAAATGAATAAAATAGGCAGTTTTTGGGGGAGATACGGTATTTTGTGAAATGACTAAAGCACTAACATTAAACATTTATTGAATGAACCTTATAGACCAATGTAAAAGTAAACTAATGCCCAAATCCCTTTATCCTGTCCTCAAACAAAGTGCTCAAACACGTTAACATATAGAGTGAGGTTGATGACGCTATCAACCTACTTGACACTGAGGAAACAAAAGCTACGATTTATATAGGCTTCAAAGTCCTACAGTTAATTGCATCATATCTTATTGAATTTAATAGTTCAGATACTTTTGTGGACATAAATTTCAACAGAGTGAGTGAACTATTCGGTTAAGAGTGGATAAATATATGATTAAATGAAGTGGAACCTCGTAGGCCTCACAATATTACATAATCCCAGACGTAAACAATCATAAATAAAAACTACCGGATACTCATTTTTTAGTTTCCGAAAACATTGTTCATTAAAAGAATTTAAACCACTATAATATATGTAGAAACAATTTGTTCTTACTTTAAACCTGTCCTGGTAATACCTAAGTAATTTTCATTACTAAAAGTATCTTTCAATAGTTGAGATCATGAGTCAATTGAAGCTAGACCACTATGGAAAACCTGGAAGCATTGAACGGCCGTTTCATCCTATTATAAGACTCCTCAGCAGTGCGCACCCACGATCCCACCTCGCGGTCGTTCAGTGCTTCCACGTTTTCCATGGTGGTCTAGCTTCAATTGACTCATGATCTCAACTATTGAAATTACTATTATATCCATTAAAAGTATCGTTAAGAAATTGCTAGTCTCTTTTTATCATAACACATTCTCCCTCTTTCGAAAACTCTTGATTGTCAACCCTCAATCAATTGATTATTTATAGTTTTCATGTAAAACCACTTGAAAAGAAAGTGTTGGACCACTTCAAATCAAATTATACGCTGCTTAAATACATTGGAACTTTTGTTCAGACTAATTTCAAAATTTATACAGAAATACTGTATATGCTAAACTAGTTTATAAATAAATGCATTCAACAGATATATAATACAATAGTTTAGTGAGTAATATTTTGGAACTCAGAAAGAAGCGCTGGATGTGGGCAGGACATACATTGGGGAAATCACACAACTGCGTCACAATACAAGCACTCAACTGGAATCCTCAAGGCCAAAAGAAAAGAGGAAGATCAAAGAACACATTATACCGAGAAATGGAGATGCACATGAGAAGAATGAACAACAATTGAATAGAACTAGAAATGAAGGCTCAGGACAGAGTGGGTTGGTCGGTGACCTATGCTCCATTGGGATTATTAACCGTAGATAAGTAAGAGAGAAGTTTTGCTTATGAAAGTTGTGAAATGGTTGGTGGCCTATGCACTGTTGTGGTTAACAGGCGTGAGTAAGTCATAAAACTTAAATATACTGTATAATTTTAACTGACTGTCTGGCTAAAGCTGATTCATAATGTTAACTCCAAAGAAACCCAGAATAACCTTTACAAATTACCCAGTTAATTTACATAATATATATACCTTTTCTATTCGATAAAACAGTTCACTTGTAGATAATTCAATAACTGGTTTAATAAAGTCAATAGAAACATCAATTGTTTTAATTAAGTATTTAGCACTTCGTCCAATAATTGAATGACATAAAATTTTCTCATGAATCGTCTTAACACTAAAATATAATGAAAATATAATTGTAATGAATACTAGAAAAATACAAGCAATATAAAAATGTTTGATTAATAGTTTCATTCAATCTTCTGTTTAAAGTGCTTTTCAATGGTTGAGATCATGAGTCAATTGAAGCTAGACCACTATGAGAAATCTGGAAGCACTGAACGACCATTTTGTCCTATTATAGGACTTCTCAGCAGTGCGCATCCACAATCTTATGGTGGTCTAGGTTCAATTGACTAGTGATCTCAACTATTGAAATTACTACAATCTCAATAAAACCACTTCTGATACTAATCAATATATGCTAACTAGTGATTGATTTCAAGATGTATATCCTGGAGTTCTAGTGAGAAACAGTGACCAGTGGAATTATACCGGGTCTGTTGTGAGGTAGTAACTCACTGATGACAGTAGTGAACGTGTCGCTCAATTTCGTGGATTGGTTGAAGTAAGAAATTAACTCCGTTGGATGCCGGCTCAGTGGTCTAGAGTTTAAGCGCTCTCGCGTGAGACGATAGATTCTAGGTTGGTATCTCTCGAGGTGGAATCATGGATGCGCACTGCTGAGGAGTCCCACAATAAGACGAAACGGCCGTTCTGTGTTCCCAGGTTCCCCATAGTGGTTTAACTTTAATTGACTCATGCTCTCAACCATTAAAATTACTATAATATCCACAAAAACCCTTCTGATATTAAACTGCTTTAGCCTCATAAAATTTAAAACGTTTTTGGCCCTATGTATATCACCATTTGTATCCCGTTTTTTAGATAATGTAAGATATAATTCATCCGTTTTTGAATTTCATACCTCTTTTACAAGATTTGATGTAAATGAAGTGTGAAATCTAGGAATTGTGTTTCGTCATAGCTGGACTTGTCAGGTGGATGTAAACGGATCCCAGTAATGATATTCACATTGAAACTCAAACCCAGTAACCTTTGAACTGTGATCTAATGGAGTTAGTGCCTAACTTCGAATAATCCACGATAACATCTTACATCAACTTCAGTGGGTAACTCCCTCATACCGGTAACGTTTGGACTTCATTGGTAACAGCTTCTCACCAGGACTCTTAGAATTCCTTTTCGATGTTAGTCATTAGTGAGCACACTAAATTAGACATTAATGCTGTTGGATGCCGAACCAATGGTCTAGAGGTTAAGCGTTTGCATATGAAGCCGAAGGTCCTGGGTTCGATTCCTGCCTTCAAGATCGTAGATGCACACTGCTGAAAAGTCCCGTACTAGAACGAAATGACCGTTCAGTGCTTCCAGGTTTTCCGTCACGATCTAACATTGATTGGTTCACGATTCCAATAAAACTCAACAATCTCCACAACCCTATACTATTAACAGTAAAAATAGTTCTTTGAAGCCAGTTTGACTCAAAGGTAGTTTCTGCGGCAGATCAATATAGACCGGATAATTATTGAACATTGAAGAGCACTAGACATCTGTCTCGTTTGGATTTAAAACTTATCAAAAGTGAGAATCCATTGTTCATATGAAATCGAACCCTTGATATCCACGTCAGTCAATGAACACAATATTATTCATTCACGACACAAGGATCCAGGAGTTACCAATTCCCTCTCAGCTTGACATCGTCAATTATTAGTAGCTTCGTCATTACCAAATTCCTTGACTACAGAAGAGATCACACACTTAATCTCAAAAAATTGCAACCGATAAATAAACGATTAATACTCAATGGAACATGGATTTATTGATATTTAAGATAGCTGACATCTTAAAGTGGCATTACTCTGTGCTTGGCGCTATCCCTAACGAAAAAGAGAGTGCACTTCACAGCATTTGTTTCTATCCTGCTCTATAGCCGCGTTATGTGACATTTGAAAAGAGGGAATATTTTTAAGTTATTGATCTGGTAGTTTATAATAGATTCCACCGAAGCATCGCTCATATACGCTAAGGTTATGTTCAGAGTATTAGATAAAGGTGGTAAATCGGATCATTAGACAGTAACTTCTCATAAAATGAAGTGATTGGAATATGAATTATCCCCAGCATGTACAACCGCTGACTATCTCAACACGCGTTGTTTGCTGGTGTGCGAGTTAATCGAATCAACGTTAGAGGATGGGAAACCGAAAGGTGGCATCAGTCCACGAAATCATTTGTTGTTGGACTTGGCTATGTTGGGAGGATAAACTACGTCATTGGGACCCACTCAACAATCGCAACCACTTCTTAGAGTAGTTCAATAATGTTTCAGAATCGTTGATAATGGATTCAGTCTTCCCTTAAACCATGAAATTCAAAATTATCTTATGCTTCTTATCGCACAAATTATTTTTTACCTCCCGGGTTTTACTATCTATTATTAATGCTTTATAATATCACTGATAATGTTACTGCCTCTGTTGTGACCAAGAACAAAGGTGCAGAAAACCAATATATATTAATACAAAATTACAAAATCTCTTGGTAAAATGTAAGAACCATACACTGAATACTGTTTTTGCAAATTCCTACCATTTATCCTTTACACTGTATTATTTTTCCTGATTCACAATTCCTTTCAATTTCCCCTTCTATTCTGTTCAACTCGATCTTAGCTTTCTGATGTCAGCTATTCAACTCTTGATTGGTGTTACATACTACTTATGTCTGCCAACATAGTTAGCATACGCTACACTTCTGGTAATCTAGGATTTATATTGATAATTTTATCACATTTGACTAATTTGTTACGAACTGATGCTTTAATATTTCAGATTCCACGTTCCTTATATCTGACTCAATATTAGATTTGGTTTGAAATTTAATCTTCAAATATAAACACTGAATTTGAATAATAATAGTAATAATATATCCTTTTATAAGCAAAGATGGTTAGTGGCTATCAGTGGAATCCAGGACTCGCGTTTCGTCCTATTTGGAACTTGTCGACTCGATGTACCTGCATCCGAGTTGATGTTCACTCGAGGGCTCGAACCCATTACCGTTCACTTCAAACACCACCTGCTTGTGCAATGGGGTGAAGTCTAGATTCACTTAGTATTGTTTTACTTGTATCTTCCCACCCAGGTGACGTGTCCCAAATGGGACGAAACGTGCGTCCTGGATTCCACTGCTAGTCACTATCCATCTCTGCTTAAAAAGCTTGTGACTTAAGGTTATATCGAGGCAATCTGCACAGGATGTATATATGCCGACAAGAGACTGATCAATTGCAGTCCTAAATAACAATGGGAAGATACAAGTAAACCAACACCAAGTGAATTTAATATATTCTTTTGCTATATCCCACTGAGTAGAAAAATTGTATTTTTGACATTATTTACTCTGAAGTAGTGACTTACAATAAGTCACGAAACGTCAGAAATAAAATCCTTTTACTCATTGGGATATAACAAAATGGAATATATTAGCGAGACTATAATTTTTGGCCGAACCAGTCACTTATAAGACAACATGTCTCGGATTTTGGCGCGTAATTCACCCATCCATTTCGATAAATAGAGTTTTGGCATTCTAGCTTATGTCAGTTGGTGATGAAAACCCTAAATCTAATTCCTAACCTTAATCATCAACTGTAAATTACAATTTCTCACATGGGTTCATAACCCTGATTTAGTCCTGGTTATTAAGCGAACACTCTCAAGGTTAGTCTAGCATCACTCAAATGTCGTCCATAAATTATAGTCTTACCAATATATTTATTATTAACTCTCAACCCAATGCTCAATTTATTTGAAACTATCAAGTTCAACCTTGGCTATTTTATGTTTTTCTTATTATTAATAATTTTATTTCGCAAGTTGTGTTTTCACTAAAAACTTACCTATCACATTGAACTTCTAGACAAATTTCTGTAGAAGCTCCTGGATTAAGATCAAAACGATGTGGTGTAATTGACCATCTTGATTCCGATTTATCTGATAACTATAATGAAATTATAACAAAAGAAATGATGAAAGTGTTAATGTTGAACGAGCTCTTTAAATATACATTATTGTTTGCTTCTACTTTTGAGTATTATATGATAATGTTCATAAAAAATATTTTCGTAATAGTTAATAACCTGAGTTTCCAAAACGAACATTCATTTATTGACTAGACTATTATCTAATAAGTTGTAAAGAATGACATATTGTATGTTTCTTAGTCTCAGACAATAAGAGTGTAATCAGTCAGTTATCCTCGAACCTATTGAGTCAACCATTTTATTGTATAATGCAACATCATTCATTGATAATGTTGGGTAACCGATTATTTTACTCCCAGTATGTTATTGAATTGTACCAGTTACGACTTCTTGATAAAACTTCACAATCTCAACTCAGTATAAATACATAATCAATCTCTGATCAAATGATTTTGTTTTCAAAGTGTGACTATGGTTAAGTGGAGTTACTTGGAAAAATAGAAAAACCATACCCTAAGACTTCATTTGCGAAATCTTCATTAGTTGTCTCACACTTTATTATTCCTACATCTCCATACTAATTGCTTTCTGTTCACATTCTCTCCTTCTCGATCTTCCCAGTCTTGGGCTGCCAGACATTATAATCTTAACTCGCGTCGATATAAGTAGCACACACCACAGTAAAAATCTTATTAAAAGTTAATCTCAAATCGATTATTTAATAACATGAAATAATTGCTTAAGAATATCATAGTATGTCAAGTCCTTTTCTGATTAATGTAGAAACTTATTTATTAGCTTTGATGTCTTATCTAAATTGTAGACAGTAACAAACAAAAAATCAACTGTATATTCATTTTATTGCTTCTAATGTCGTGGTTTGTGATAATCCCAAATGTAAAAGGAATATTTCAACACAGAAGATTATATCATGCTGAAGAGACTGTTTTATCGTTATATTAAATGCTAATAGCAATTAAACTAACAGATGATTAGTCGATGGTATGATTTTAAAAGAACATAAGGTAACTAAAAAAGTATAAAACATTAACTCGATTACTCTCAGTTATTTTCAAACTTTTAGATCAGTCAGTCAGTAACAACATAGAACTTCGTACGTACGTACATCAGTTGCATTTACCATACCACATTAGCACACAGATACAATTGTCAATTCAAATTCCATAGTGGTAGAGGTGGTAAGAGTATAAGCAGTAATCGGAATGATTAGGTTTTGAAGATGTTATTCAAGGAGTATAATCCAGTGAAATAAATTTGGAAAGAGAAAAGAAATGGGGAGATGAAGAATTCAGAAGATAAGAATTTGGGAGAATACAAAGAGTGGGTGCACCTGCGTCATTGCAAATGATTTTGAGCCATGTTATTCAAGGTCTCTAATCATCGGTTGCTATCATCTCGCAGATCCCCGGAACCAGGTAGTCTACACCCATTAACATGGTTCAGTCCACTTGTCAGTGAACTCATGGATTTGTGCCATGTTTTGATCTGGCCGCCCCTAATTTCCTTCCAACCAACTTCTACACCATAAAACATCGCAGTTTGGGGCAGTCGGTAATTGGGCATACGTAACACATGTCCCAGCCTTCTGAACTGATGAAGTTTCACTACTTCATCAATTGATTTGCCATCCTTACCTTGTACCCGTTTAGATGCAATAAGAAATTAAGATTTGTAAACTTGGGCAGAATGTATGAGACTCAAGATATTATAGAAGCAATCAAATCATAATAAAATCTGAGATCAACTTTTTAGAAATGTTAATCGAAACTTAAATAAATTATAGAGCAATTAGTTTAACAAAGCCGAACTTTTAGTTATATCCGTAATAGGCTTGAATATACATCACAATTATCCTCAACTTTTGAGGTTTTTTTGTTATTAAATATGCTTGTAATCTGTAAAATGTAGATGGCAGGAAACCCTAAACCCAGGTTTTTGGCTATTTGTCACTTGTCAGCATCATGTATCTGTAATCGTAGGGGGAATAATGCTCTCTGTCAACCAACTCCAACCACTATTTTATATCTCAACGCAGTGCACACGATGTTGGATCATTTATACTAGTGGCCATATGACAAAATAATCGACAGAATTCAACCAAAGCTACAAAGTACATGGCATACATGACAGTGGTCACTACTCAGATCTACATCAACTGGTATCAGCTTTGTTTTATTCATACAGTATCAGAAAAATTCGACTGGACAAAAACTAAAGAAGAGAAACTGATTTCGACTTCAATGGAAATCTAAACAATGAAGAATATATGCAATTGGTTCCCGTCACAGATTGAAACAAAGCAAGAATGACAATATTTTCAGAGTACGACGATTTGATTGTCTTTCACTTTTTCCTCTTAAGCTACATACAAGCTAGTATGAGTATATTCCAAAACCCTGAGAACAAAGTTGTTTACGAAGTTCACTGGTATACTACCTATCAGACATGAGTCACAATATCTATTTCAGTAATTCATTCAAACTAATTATGAAACAGACTAATTCCATGTGATCAGAATTCTCAGAAGCTATAGCAATTAAAAACTAAAACTTGACTTTTGCATTTAAAAATAGTTCGTAGTTAACCTAAAACTACTTTGATAACATTTTAGTTTCTACTTCAACCAATTTCAATCGTAATTTAGTGATTTGACCTCACATATCCAAGTTTTCTCCCTATGCTTCCAAAATTTTGTTATGATAACCAATCTTAATATTCTAGAAGCATCGTCTTGAACAATTGTTAAAAGACCCCCTCCCCTCTAAAAACCTTGATTCTTAATTTCTTCCACATTATATTATTGGTTGACGATTCGTTTTTAACATTATGTTACTCAATGGAAACTATTAAACATAACAGGTTGTATCCATCTGAAAAAGAAAACAATCAAATACTATGAATTCATCGTATTCTGAAATTACTATAATTTTTTCTTGTTTAAATGAATAATATAATTCGAAAAGAATAAACAAGATCAAAGAATAGAAGATATGAAATAACATCAAGGTCCAAAATTTAGAAGAAGGCACTGATTACGAGTTGGTGGAGAAGATTTGTAGTTCAGGTGGATGATTTTGATGAAGTTTTGTTCATCAGCATGTCGTTCAGAAGAACGATGAAAGCTACACGACCAAACCATCCACATCAGAGAACAAAACTCCATCAAAAACTGATTACGAGTATTAAGTAGGTCCCTTCAACAATATACTTCGAATCATTCAATCTTAGATATTTATTATACATTTGATTAATCTAATTTGAACACTAAACCAAATGTTTATTACTATCAAACTGATAAACAAATACACTCGTAAACTGATTCACACGAAAACTAACTTGACCATCCATATGGATTGATTTACGTGGTGATTGTCCATCTATAGACCAAATGATTTGTTGTGACCTCCTTCCTTTGTTTATAACTTTAAAATATTTTCTCATTGGATTAACACTAAATTTACTGCCTAAATTTAATACAGAACCCACTGATGGTTGTGTTACAATTGTACCACCTTGACCAGTTGCACTTAGTTCAATTTTCAATGGTTTTGAAGTATTTTCAACTTGTACAATTAACTGATCTTTAAATAATATAATATCATCTAGATTTGCGATTATATTCAAATCTATATGACTATAACCTGGAATAGTTCCAGAATATGGTTCAGCTTTATAAACAGTATCATTTCGTACCTAATGAGAATAATAATGAAGATTGAGATTAATCATCCACATCAAACGAAATATGTTAAACGTTATGAAAGAATGACCAGCACTAAAATGTTCAGAAGCCATTGCCAAAACATTAACTATTCTAATAAAGTATGGGAATTCTATGGGTAAAGAATAAAAACAAAGTAGTGATCAGATTTTCCAGTTCTTTATTCTTAATATTTCAGGTTACTCAATATGCTTTTGCCTATTTTGTACTTGGTTAAATCTGAACTTCTCATAGCTAACACATGAAAGACCTTTTTTTACCTCAAGGTATTTCACTGCAAATACATTTATTGAATGTATGAATAAAACGATAAAGGATGATCCATCGAAGATACGATTCAAGAAAATGTAGATTAGTGAAATAATAAACATTTTACGAGGACTCTAGAAACTTAGGATCTAAGCGAAGATAAAAAAAGTGGATCATTGCAAATGATTTTCAGCCATGTCAAACAAACTCTAACGATAGGTTACTGGTGTATGATAGTGAGAATAGAACATGATCGTTCACTGAAAGTGGGCAAACAGACACAGTCTACTGACTACTAAACATGTAATTTCCTTCTTCTCATTGATTTCTACTCCGGACTCACTGAGTGTGACTGCTTGTAATTATGTTGAATTAAGTGTTATCTAGTATTAATCAGGTTCTCTATTGTGAGTTGTGAATCCTGGATCTGATATAACGCAACTAGTCACATTATCGTATAATATATTATCGTAGTATACCTGCGAGAGGGGGAAATATTTTGAACTATCGGTTATATTAGTTACGATAATCACGCGGACTCCAACCAGGTAGTCTCCGTATTGTTAACATAACTCATTCCACTTGTTAATCAGTTAATAGACTGGAGCTATATTTTGATTTATCCATCCCTGCCTTCCTCTCAACCTACTCCTATATCAGACAGCATCATTCGTCAATGTAGGTGGTAATTATGCATACGTAAAACGTTCCAACCACCTCAGTTGATGAAGATTTAGTACCTTAGCCTTACATAGCATCCTATTCCTAACCTAGGTATTGAATACTCATCGGTCCCAAAATACACGAGCAATATGTCGAAGATACCTATAGTCGAATACTGGCAACCTACGAATATCCTATATTCTTAATGGTTATATTTCATACCCATAATGTTGGACGGGGAAAACTGCTGCGTAATAAACTCACCCTTTGGTTGGAAGATGGATATTTCACCTACTCCACAAGTGACCCGATTTAGCAAAAAGTAATCCAGCCTTCTGAATCCGTGCCGATATTCTTTCAGACACAAGATAATCAGGACTGATGAGAATCCCGAGATAAGTGAAGCATTCGATACTCTCAACTGGTTCAGTTCCGACAATCAATTCAAATATTGACATATGCCAGTCGTTAAACAGTATTTTGCATTTGGACGGAAATAATTGCATCAAAAATATACTTGCATTGTTAGATAAAGTGGATATAAGACGTTATGTTTTGTCACCAAACAGATCGACACTGGAAATTTATGTTTGATAAAAACAGTATACCACTACTGACTACACAGAATATGCTAGCTGTGTGATCTCTTAATTTGTGATCGCCAAATGCTTTTTAGCCAACTGTCAGTAACTCTTTTAAATCAACTTCCTTTTTCACGTAAGAAGCCAATAACAAGATACAAATTCAAAAATGACATAGTTATACAACGGAAAATGTTTATATTCAATGTTACTAATGTAAAAGAAAGGACTCACCAGCTTAGCATTATAATTAGCATCAATACACGACTCATTAGAAATTCTTAATATTTTAACAACTGGTTGTAATACAGGGATTGTTCCCCATTCTAATTTTGTTTGATCAACATGTAACACTGGACCTTCTCCCATACATTTTACAGGTATTTTCTGTATTTTAATGAAGAAAATAAAACAGTGAAAATATTTTATAAACTATTTAGTTAGGTAGTTTATAGAGGTAAGTTGAAATTGGAAATGGTAATTGTCACAAACTGATTGATAGATTTCAATCATTTCACCAAGAAGGCAAATTGTCACTGATAGTACTAGGTAATAGTTGAATTATGTCGTAAACTAACAAAACCTGAAAATGTAAACTACAGGGTATTAATTAAATAGGTATCATATATCCTGGATTCGAGCCCTGATAAGGTTATGAGTATACAATAGTTAGGAGTGGTCAACGAATTTGAATAAAATAAAAAAAGACTTGAGGCAGAATAATATGAATTCATTATATTGTAGGCAACTGATAAGGAATCACTAAATCTAGTGAAATCACATTGTTCTTCATCAATTCTTATTGTGACTTTGTTAGAATTTAAACTTGGTTGAATTTTAGTAATTCACTAACTAATAATAGTCTGCGATATGTCATCGTTAAACATTGTAAGTTGGTTATCTGACGATAAACGATCATGCTGATAAGTTCGAATATTATGTAAGTACTAGTGTAGTGTGGATTACTTATATCCACATAATTAGTATATAACGATGGTCAGGCATAGAATGTGATTCAGTAGGAGATCGATAAGGAAAGAACGGGAACGGAACGCAATTGGTATGAAAATGCATGAACAATGAAATCTGAGACAATAGACTGATATTCGCAAAAGGAACAGTCAGATTTGAAACAATGGATTGATATTTTGCAAATCAACTATTTACTATATGGTTCTCAGAGTTTAGTGAAATGCTCTGTAATTTTGTGTCGTATACGTTCGAGTTCTTGTTCGCCACACCAGTACATTAAATAGTTTTTATTATCAGAATAACAATTGTAAATGAAAAAGATGCGAAATCCCCCTAATTCTTTTTTGGCGATTGAACTTAATTTACTCAATCTATTAGCCAAATAATAATCTTATTTACAACACAGATAGTTGTGCTTATTTGGCATTTCGTAATTTGTAGTTGGGTCAACTGATCCTACATCCATATCTCTCTGCCATTCATGTTGAAAAATTTAATGCCATAATGAATTGGAAGAATTCCTATAGTCTACAACAGGGATTGATATTTATACATTGCTTGCCTAACTTCTTGACTCCTTTAGGGATGTTTGTCGAAAGTGTAGAATGTTCATAGTTTACACTACCAACTAATCGAAATTGAATTTTATTTTAACAAGAAAATGCTTATTTTAAAGTAAAAAAACAAGATCATTACACTTTAAATTACAAACGCTTATCGCTAACACACTTTTATATCATTAACTGTATTGTACCTTTCCTATGAAACAGTCTCACTTACGCTTTAAAACTACTTTTGTAATAACTGAGACATTGCATCTCTCCTATTTTTTTATTATATTCACGCAGTTATATTATATTAATTAGAAGTAGCAGTATGATGAATGATAATATATATATATAACGTCAAAACATAGTGTATGCGATGTCAAGTCACTTGGACCGGTGGGTGTTACAACACATGGTTTCTGAGTTCGATACTGATATATAAACTACCTATACCGAAGCCCTAAACCGTCTACCGTGTGAAGTCTAAGAGTGAAGAAGGAAGTTTATTGGATTAAACCAAATCTCATGGATAAGCACTAATTTACATATATATTTATATCTACTTGTTTGAAGACAAAACTGTTCCTTGACCAATAGCATAAAATTATCAATTAAGAGGTTTTCGAATGGAACATTGTGGTCTTTTCATAATAGTAGTATATTGATTAATTTTAAAGACACTTACCAATGGGTTCTCATTGATGCCACAAATTTTGAAACATAATTCACTTGTAATTGATCCTAATACTTTTGCTTTAAATGTTATTGACAGTTTAACAGAATTTAATCCATTAATAAATCCCTGTAAGGAAATGTTATATAATATAGAAATTACATTCATATACATGTAAGCTAAAACCCTAATGCATATTCTACATCAAACTTGTACAAATTATGAGTATTTCAGGTGATAATTAGTTTTTCAGCATTAAGAGGGTGAAGTAATAATTTGCTAGTTAAAGTATTGAATTGATTACCAAGCGTCGTTCAACCTACTTCAGTTTGGCCAGACAATTAGGCTCATTATCCTCTAAATAAATTGTGAAACTCAAAGATGAGCATATAAATCTGTACTTGATGAATAACCTATGTAACATTCGTATTAATATTGTGAGCGTTTTCTTTTTGATGGATTTTGAAATCTCAGTTTGAATCATTTAGGTTTAGATTAACCTACTACCTGAAGAACTACAGGTTATAAGTATTCACAAAAAATGGTTACCTAGCATTATCATAAGTTTTAAATAAAGATGGAAATAGCTGATCTATCCAGGTAAATCAAGCACATTTCATGACCCTAGTGAAGGCTATAATAATTACAGTAGTAAAGAAAATAGTTTTTAATATATCCAGTTTTGAATTTACGGTATTTCTAGTCACATTTACCTTACCTGGTTTTAGAAGTAGGTCTGTTTAATGTATATATACATAAACCAGTTAAATATTTATAATCGATTATAGTTTTTTAAATGAATGGAAATAGTTTAAATCTATAAACGTGGCAAGTCTTGAAGTCACTAACTTCTTTTCTGAGCCATGTTGTTAGATGCAGACTACTTGGTCAGGGTCCACGCGACTATTGTAACTAATGGTTGAAGACTCTGGGTGACATGGCTCAGAATCGATGACATTGGCGTCGGTGTATACACTCTCTGTCTTCCTTTAAACCGTGAGATTAAAACTGTTTTATATTTTTTTGTCTATGAACTAATTCTTTCTCCCTTTATTATATCCTTTTATATATTACTACCATTGAACTGACTACTACAAATTTGATGTTCATCTTGTTATGTTGATGAGGAAAAGCAACTTGGACCGATGCATATATATGCCTAGTCCTACGTTGTAACTGATTGATTGGATCTAAAAAATGAGCACAAGGTAGCTTCGTACAAATTTCTAATGCTCACAAAAGCATACAGTGATAAATTCAGTAATAATTGAAAAAATAGTACAAATAACAAGATAAAAAGTAATAACAGAAGGGGTTTTCTGGAGATCTTAGAGACCTCAATAGTTGAAATCATGATTCGATTAAAGCTAGACCACCATGGAAAACCCAGAAGCACTGGGTTCGAATCCCGCGAGGCGGGGTCGTAGATACGCGCCGCTGAGAAGTCCCATGCTGGGACGAAACGGCCCTCCAGTGCTTCCAGGTTTTCCATGGTGATCTAGCTTCAATCGACTCATGATTTCTACTATTGAAAAAAGTTTTAAGGAGATTCTATTAACCAATTAATTCTCAAACGTTAATCTTATATCAAGAGATCTGATCAATTAAGAGTTGTTGATTATATCCAACTCTGACAACAGACACGTTTAATATCTTGATGGATTAATCAGTCATCAGAAATTTAATTAAATTTTTTTGTGAAATAAATTCTATCAATCACATTTTAGAATAAATGAAATAAAATGAATTATGAACAGCTATGTAAAATGGCTAACTCCGCCTGGAGTCCCTCTGAGGATGCTGCCTGTTTCAAGCCCGGATAAAGGAGGAGGGTTGAGCATGGAGTTAACGATCCCATCCCTTAGAAAACTAACTCGCTAAAAAGACTCTAACCAGAAAAAATAATTCAAACCATTTAAACTCTGCTCTAGTAGATACAAGGTCTTCGCTTAGAAGAGTTATAACGTCTCATGATGAAAGCCGAGTTCCTTCGGAAGTCATGAGGCCGATGCCCCTTCTGACAACCAGAACAACAATTAATTTAGGTAAATAGAATGCTCGTACAATGTGGGAGAGAGAGAGGGTCATCCAATTTGCTGCATATAAAATTTCTAGTAACTGCATAATATAACATTAAAATATGAAATTACTGATTCCTTAGATGAGCCCTTTACAGAAGTTTAGAATTTGAACTGTGTGTCAGGTCCTATGTTGTATATGACTAATTAACTATAGGAATTTTTCTTTAACTACTTAAACCGTAAGATATCCTCTGTTGAAGATTTTAGGAGACTTTATATAAAACTAATTACCGTGATATAATTATATTGATTTTAAACATTATATTACTTTGAATTTACATTCACTCTACTCTCCCTAACTCTGCCTGTAGCTCTTCTAGAGTCACTGCCGGTCCCAAGCCCGGGTAAAGGAGTAGGGTTGGGTATGGGGTTAGCGACCCCATCCCGTAGAAAACTAACTCGCTAAAAAAACGTCAACCAGAAAAAAATAATTCGAACCAAATGCTGGTGAGCTGCCTATGCTCCTTCACGAGGAGTAACAGGCGTAAGTAAGTAAGCTAATCTCCCTACTTTTATGATTATTTTTCATCTTCATTCTTTATTCCATGGTAATATCTTAATGATGACTTGTATTGGAATTCAGAACTCTTATATTTTGGTCCTATTTCAAAACAGTTTAATTAAATAATAAAAAATGTTGTAGTTCAGATTGAATACATGAAAAACATAATCAAACAATAATTCTATTAGTATATGATAAACAAATAAAGATATTCTACCTCTGGATTATTTATTGAATATTGTAAGTTGGATTCTTCACTAGAATCGTTTTCTTGATTTGTAATAGTTTGTAGTTTTATAGTTTTTACTTCTTTTACTGTTGATAATTGTTCAACAAATTGATAACTAGCTGGTTCGATTGATTGATTTGTTAATGTTATTTCAATAGTATAGGGATAATTAATAAAACATCTTTTCAAATTTATCAATTCCGGTGTTACAATTACATCTGGACGGATAGCCCTGTGTGGAAAGAACGTCAGATTACACTTGATATTTCTAATAATACAGGTAACGATAACTATATATATATCTACATTTTCGAAGATTTTCAGCACAGACTAACTTCTCCTAGACATCTTTCCAATCCCAAAGCACAAAAGACATAAGATAATAAAGCACGCCGACAGTCCCACAAAGGAACAAATGTGTTTCTTTCATGACTCATACAAACATGTTAACTGAAGTTCACAGCAGCGGTACTTAATGGTTCACATTACCAGTTTTAGTCAACTTTTGATATTAAACAACCATCAACCATTATCATCGATATTAAGTTTCTCACGGTCGATATAACCAGACTGAAAAATCTCCGAAAAACTTTCATCATATTACATATATACTATGAAATGCAAACGGAATATTTGATATCAATCCGTGAAATGTCTGAATAGTTTTTAGTCAAGTAAATACAACAGCCAATGCAAAGTCAGTCAGTCACAACGTAGAACTTTGTACGTATGTACATCAGTTCGAGTTGCCACACCACATTAGCACACAGATACAATTGTCGATTCAAATTCCATAGTGGTAGAGGTAGTAAGAGTATAAGCAGTAATCGGAAAGATTAGGTTTTGAAGATGTTATTCAAGGAGTATAATCCAGTGAAATAAATTTGGAAAGAGAAAAAAAATGGGGAGATGAAGAATTCAGAAGATTATAATTTAGGTGAACACAAAGAGTGGATGCACCTGCGCCATTGCAAACAATTCTTGTAGTAACATTATCTTCCCATTTGAAACTGCACAAGAGTTTTATGGATGCCGTAATTATTAAGTCCAGCGTTGTGGCGTTTCATGGATATTGATGACTATTTGATAATGAAACAACAGAATAACAATTTTCAGTTATTTAAATGGTGAATTTTGTTATTTATTGCCTGTTTTTTTTAATGAACAGAATTGAAATTCCCCCAAAATAAAACCGGATTTATTACAGATTAACCTTGAATAGTTTCTTTTTCGTGAACAACTACTCTAAGCGACTTAACATTGAGACACGCGTTTTCTAAAGTTATGTACCATAAATGTCGATAATCTCCTGCCATGTATATGTAAAATTTTAAGGAAATTATTTTCTTTCTCGTTTTATAGTCAGATACCTTACTACTATTTTAGGCTGTAATTGATCTCCTGTTGAATTGAAGTGTCGGAACTCACTGATAACAGGGTTTAAAAGGCAGGAAATCACAATTCACTACATTCATTTTTTCTCTCCAGATCTCATCTAACAGACTAACATCATCCGGATAAAACTGTTACATCCTGATAAAAATAATGAATGGTAACTTTTGGGATCCATTTATGAACCAATACCATATGTATACTTTTATCGTGTAATTGTTATGTAGCTAAACTGTTCATATTCATGTCCCTCTTGTTATGAGTTTTATTTTGACTTATGAACTAATATTATACCATTTACCATTCTTGAATTATTCCCTGTCTATTAATTACTATCTCCCACATTCACAGTCACTTTTGGTTAAATCTTGTACAAATGTTGTTTCCTATTTAATGGTACGTTGTGGTCTGTTTGATTGGTATCTAAACCCCGTAAGTTTAAAATAAATGATTCATATTGCAGATGCTGAGATTGATGTTCTGGACGTAACTGTCTAGGCTAAGCAGAAAGCATGACTGATAAGGACTCTAGGTTGCTCGCATGTGCTTTATGCGTCACTGATTCGACCGATAATTTGCTGCTCTCTGATTGGCGGCATCGTTGCGTTATCCAATATACAGGGCATACAGATTCACAAGTTATAACAAAAACATAATTAAAAAGCTAGACAAACTTCAATATTTTAAATATATTCTTTTTTCAAAGCATTTCCAATTAGTAGAATAACTTACTCAGTAGATATTGGTAACCAATGTGCTTTTTTCCCAACATTTATAACATCAACAATTAATTTATACTTTTTTAAACCTAAATATTTTGGACTAAATCTTATGGATATATTTATTGAACTCATTGGAAGTAGATTTCCATAGTTTGGAGTAATTTGAAATGTTGCATTATCAAATGATTTATGTAAATTTGAATGATGATTAGAAATAACATTCAATTGTTCATCTTCTTTATTGTTATTATCACCATCCATGTCATCATTGTCATCATGATCAGTGATACGAAGAATAAAATCCATTGGTATAAATGAAGTATTATGCAACGTTATAATTTTCTCTTTTGAAAATCCTTTTAGAATAGTTACATAAGAAACAATAAAATATGCAGTATAATATTTATAAACGTCGGTCGTAAAACAGTTCATATTATACATACAGTTAGTTTAAGTAATTACATGCTAAAACTTAAAATATTTTGACACTGGTATTCTTCCCTAACTGAAGTCAATCAGAGAATGAGGCAAAGTCAGAGAATACTAGAAAGTTGTCTTTTTTCCGTTTTTAAATCCTTCAATAATTGGTACCCAAGATTCTACATGGGATCAAACCCAGAATATACGGATAACTTATCACATTCTAACATATTATAAAGTACAAACTCTCTTGTTTTTAGATTAAACTATGATTACTTGATTAAGCTGTTTTAATATTTGTAGTAAAAAATTCTCTGTAATACATCTATTCCTTCCAGGACTATCTATTTTGAATCTTTTCTGTCCCGGCCGTAGCCGCTACTTCTATGTAGTGGTCTAGCTCTCCTACCATGATGACCAAACTGAGCCATATTGACTGGAACACTTTTTTCCTTTAGGTCCTACCATTCCAGGTGGGTGGATCTTAGAAAAACAGGACTTAAAGCAATGGACTTAAGGTAAAATGGTTAAGTCGTAGTCATGACTGCACTGAAGTGTTCCGGTAATAAAGTATTTCACCTGGACAACCAGCGTTAGAGCGACCCTTCTTTCTTGCAATAGAAGAAAACTTTTAGGAAGTTAATACTTTAAGCATTCCGCATTTTACTCCACTACACGGATTTCCATCACCATTGATAACTCCTTTGAACTATGGAACTAATACATTAAGAAATACTCGTAGAAAGACCGTTTATGACCAGCCCCAAGAGTTGTTCCATTGGCCCTGTGGTCATGCTTCCACGTTACCAAGACCATTATAAACTCAAATTATTTTCCAGATAACTTAATAAGAAATAGTCTTCCACGGTATGAACGATCGGAAAGTGATAACCACACATACACCTATAACAGCACTAACTGGCTGACTTGATCTTTCTGATACAACATTTGGCAATCAGAATCTAATTATTCCCAAACATAATCCTTCAATAACACGCAACTTTCAATGATTGATTTTTCAAGTTACAATCCATTTAGAATGTTGCTGCCACCACTACAAATGTCATAACACCTTTCAATTTATACATTTTTTTTCAATTATTTTAATTGTGTAATTGCCATCATTGTATTTAACTACTCACAAACTGTTCTGATTTATTAGTGTTTATCAGTGTACAACTTAAAGTGTATTTAAATTTTTAACAAAAATATTCAGTTAAGTAGTTCATTTTCTACATGTCAATTATTTGAGCTACTTCGGCAGACGTTTTTTTACTCGATCAATCATAATTAACTAATTTTGTTGTTTACATTGCCTGGAAATATTTCCCTATATACATTTACATCATATGCTCAGCTGTAGATAAACGTTTCGTACTTTCATATTACTGCATTACTAGAAAGCCAAGTTAGTATATTGATCATGATTCGTGGTCACTTTAAAATATTCTTCGAAATTGCATCATGAGGCTTTGCTTGAGGTAAACAAAAATTATTAAACCATATCACTCATAAAATCAATATGCTAAACTCTTATAGGTGGTATAGTCTACGTTAAATAGTCCCTAATGTAATAGCAATCAATATAGCATTGATTACTGAAAATAAACCACAAAGTAAATCGAAAGTATAATCACATACTACTCAAAGTAACATAAATAATTTTTATGTAAAAATCGTATTTAAATAATCTGTAAATTCACTTGGTGTTGTTTAACTTGTATCTTCCCATTGTTATTTAGGACTGTAATTGATCAGTCTTTTGTCGGCATATATACATCCTAGGCATATTGCCTCGATATGGCCTTAAGTCACAAGCTTTTTTAGCAGAGATGGATAGTGGCTAGCAGTGAAATCCAGGACGCACGTTTCGTCCCACTTGGGACACGTCAGCTGGGTAGGAAGATACAAGTAAAACAACACCGAGTGAATCTAAACTTCACTCCGTTGCACAAACAGGTGGCTATAAGGACTCAGTAGCTAAGTGGATAACGCAATGGTGTTTGAAGTGAACGGTACTGGGTTTGAGTCCCAGAGTGCAGATGCATCTGTTGACGAGTCACAAGTAGGAGGAAATGCGCGTCCTAGATTCCACTGCTAGCCACTGTTCATTTTTCATTAAGTAATCTGTTATTGAAATCTAAATAATTTTAAAGTTTCTTCTAGAAATTTGACTAGAATTTCGTAAGGGAGAATCGAGTACAACATATTGTTATTTCAATAAAGTTTTACATTGAATATATTTTGTATTCTCATAGCCTAATTTCTATCAGACTACTAGTTTATATCTTAACCAATATTCATATAAATTAATACTGATCTTTAATATTCAATTAACAAAAATAAAAATGTGAATCAATATATCATAATTATCGATTTACCATAAGAAACTTGATCAAATTCCACTGATGGAACATCAAAATGAAATGTTGGTCCAACCACAGTACCACTATAAATTAAATTAAAGAATAATAGAACTTCTGTATTATATAGAAATAGTTACACAATATGGATATTTGAAAACACAACATTGATATTCTGAAGAAAAATTAAGATCCAATGACAGTTATTAACAATGATTGACTTAGCAAAACTTTTAATTGTACTTCAATAATGAATGTTCTAAAGTAGACAACTCTATGAATTCAGTTAAATAACGTAAATCATTTGTTGATATTTTTATACTCTATTACTTTAAAAAAATATTTCCAGACATTAAGTATTCCGAGACATTCTTCAACCTTCCTTGTGATAGTAAATAATAGAGAGTAAAATATAAAACTATGTTTATGCCTTAAAACGGAATAATGTAACTGTTATTTTTGTTATAAATTGTGAACCTATGTGCCCTGTTAATGTATAACTTAACGATACCGTCAACTAGAGAACAGTGAATTATCGATCGGACTAATGACGCGTAAAACCCGTACGAGCAGTCTAGAGTCCTTATCGGTCATGCTTTCTGCCTAACCCTTCTTGCTAAGTCCAGAACACCATTCTCAACCTCTGCAATATGAATCATTTATTTTAAACATACTGGATCTATATACCAATCAAACAGACCACAACGTACCATTAAGTACGAAACAACATTTGTACAAGATTTAACCAAAAGTGACTGTGAATGTGGGAGATAGTAATTAATAGACAGGGAATAATTCAAGAATATCATGTAACATCCCATTTAATGTTAAATGATTGAATCTAACCAAGAGGAAACCCTGTTTAGAGGTTGAATGTGTAATCAAAGTCCGCGTAAATAGCTCAATGTTTACACTACGCACTCTGAAAAAGGATGAAAAGTGTTGGAATTTCAAAAGAAACATCAAATTATTCTCTGTTCCGTATCTCTTATGCTGACTAGTGCTAAGTAGCACGAAATCAGCACTCAGGACTGACTGACTGACTATTTAAAACTTAGCACATTGAATAAATCATTGTGACACATTTTTGTCTTCATATTTTCTTTATCCCTTTAACAAATTTCTTTTAAAATTATATTTGTATTCTTGTTTAGTTTTATTACTGGTCTAAAATACTCTTAATTTCCAATCAAATCCAGAATTCCTTTGAGTGTCACTTGGGAGTAAATAGTTGATCTCTGGTGAAACATCCCGTTAAACACATTATCTATAGGCCTAAATACTTCATGGTCATTAATTATACGGAAACATTAAAAATTAGTGAACGTTATCCTTATATATTTCACAAAGATTATCCCATATTTAGGCTATGCTTACTAAGCTGGATTATTTATGGATACTAATGAAACCACATATATTAAATTCTTTTATAAAAACCGTTTGATTAGCCAATCCATTTGAAATAGTAGTGATTTTTTTCGTAGTTCTCCTTGTGCTGGATAATGACACCTCTATGAAGGAAATTAGATAGTGACTAGCAGTGAAACCTAGGATGTATGTTTCGTTTTATTTGGAAATAGTCACCTGGATGTACCAGAATCTCAATGTTGATATTTTAATTCTGATGCGAACCCATTATCTTTAATTTCAAACCAATAACTCGTTACCCACTGAGCTACCGATTTCAAATAGCCACTAGCTTATAGAATGAGAAAGAATTCTTCACTTAGAGATGCTTAGCTCGACAAAAACATCAATACAACCATCTCAACATATACACATGCCTAAAGAAACTTATCAATCTCAACCCTTAATATCAACAACAGGATCAGTATCAATACCATTTTCTTACCTAAATGTAATCTCTTCAAAATTAGTTGATCCATCAAAGGCAAATTGAAATATTTCATTAAATTCTCCAAGTAAATCATTACAATTAAATTCAATTTGTATCACTTGATAACCACCAGGACAAATTAATCCTTCATCAGGTATAAGATGAAAATATTTGCCAAATTTAGTTAAATTTTGACTATTCTCATCTCCCTCAGTGTTATTTTTACAATGAATTGAAAACATTGTTTCAATTAATCCAGTATTGGATATAACCAATTCATATTTATGCTTTGAACCAATAAATATCTTTCCCATATTTAAATATTTATATGAGAATTTAATTTTTGGTCCTAAACCTTCACCATGAATTGATAGAACTAAACGTTTTTGTACACCTTCAACATCACAATAAAATAGATCTTCATATAAATTAGCTTTTTCTGGATTAAAATGTACAATAAATTCATATGTTGTATATGGTTGAATACGTCCTTCAATTGGTTCAATATTGAATGGAGAAGATTCAATTGTTTGAATATTTGTTGGATATGGCTTTATTAGATTAAATATTAATTTTTTTTAAATAAAAACAAAAATATATTGAAATCATTTCAGGGAAAAAGAAAGTTCAGAAAAAAAGATGCTTAATTTTTTATTTTATGTTTCTGTTTGTCAAGTAACATCAAAGTCAGAATTCTCAATACAAACGTCAAGACAGTTCTACTGTATAGAGCTGAAACTTCCAGAACTACCACAACCATCATCAAGAAGGTACAAGTATTTATAAATGGTTGTCTACGCTAGATACTCAACATCCATTGGCCGGATACCATCAGCAACAGTCTTCTGTGGGAGAGAACAAACCAGCTTTCGGCTGAAGAGTAAATTGGAAAAAAACAGTGGAAATGGATAGGACATACATTACGCAAATCATCAAACTGCATCACGAGGCAAGCCCCGACTTGGAATCCTGAAGGTAAGCGGAAAAGAAGAAGGCTAAAGAACACGTTACGTCAGGAAATAGAAGATATGAAAAGGATGAATAACCACTGGAAAGAACTGGAAAGTTTTGCCCAGGACAAAGTTAAATAGAGGGTGCTGGTGCCAACGCTCCTTCACGAGGAGCGACGGACGTAAGTACTTTTTTGAATACTTTTTTTGAACAATTCCCATGTCAAAACCAGGCATCTTAAAGCCATTTAAAAGTATCATGTCATGAACAATGATGAGTAAATCGAATGAATTATAGTAGTTTAAGGTATGAGGTTTATCTTTAATGGTACTCTCACACCAATACTACGCTTTAGTTTTACCGCCCGTATCTTTATTCCAGTCTATCTCTGTATCGGTCACTAATGCATGTTGAAGTAGTCAGTGAATAACAATATGTAATGCATGCCCCAACCATCTCTGTCGGTAAAGATTCACTACCTCGTCAATCAACTTGCCATCCTTAACTGATGTCATGAACCCTATCTAAGCAACACTCACTCAACGGTCTCGAAATGTAAGAACAGTGCCTCAAAGACATATTTGTTTGAATGCCAGTGACGCACGAATATCCTCTATTTATAAGGGCCACTTTTCATAGACACTAAGCAGAATGGAGCACAGTGTTACACAGTAAGATCATCCTTTGTTTGGCAGACAAATGTCTCACCTACGTTACGAGTGACGTCTCATGATCCCTTCCTGAAATTTTTCTCGAGTGACACGTATATTTAAAAGCTAATACCGAGCTCCTTTTATTACCATTATGTAACCAAATGGGTGATTCATATTATTTCCGGGTAACACGGTGTTTATGCCAGCCAATAATTGATTTATACATTATTACGTGCTTATTTAAATGATAAGTATCATATACTTCTAATTATGATTTTTATGTTATTTATGACTTGACTCCTGGCACACTGATGACTACCAGAGCACTTATTGGATATTTCTACTGGTTGGTATCACTTCTATCTATCACAATCAATCAATGTGTAGGCTGAGCAGGCATTCAGTGACACTAGTTGTATTAAATCTGATGTAAATATCACTGGGTTGAACAGTAATATTACGACTAGACGTTTAGCCGATAGGCATACTGATACTGCAAGCTCTGGTAGTAGCTACTAAGTAAATACTTTTTTAGATACTTTAATCCAAAATAGCTGGCATAAACACTTAAACGATCAGTTTGTGATCAAATCTGTGGATTAAATTTTATTATGTCAGGCTTATGACCAGATGTCCGTAATACTGCACAGTTTGTCTAATTATTCATTCCTTACAGTGAGCCAACGGAACGTAAACCACTTATGCGTGATATACTTACTTTTTGTTTGCATTTTCATGCACAGTGTATGGTAGGTAATGTTTAACAACTGTCAGGAATTGTTTTGTACATTTATTTTCTTGGTAACTAACCAATTAGTGTTAGTTACAGTTCCTAAATGAAGCATTTTGCTTATCCTTGAGGTTGATGCTTTTGTAAGAAACCTATTCAGTACTAGTTGAAAAAAGACAGATGCAAGAAGCTTTTACGATATTTTTAAAATTCTTAAAATTTTTATGATACGCTTCGTCTCGCGAATATTTCACTATAACACTGAGACAGGAAGTCGAATTATGAGAAATGGTAAGTACAGATTGGCTTTCTGACTGGATTACACAAATAAAACTATAAATTCTAGCAAATGCCCAGTAAAATATACAGTAGGATTTTAGTATACCGAAAACAAATAAGATTATGACTACGATATGTTTGACAAGAACTTACTATTTGTTGATCAGAAAATTTCCTGGCCCACGTAATCAACTTTTGCTTCAGAAAAGATTTAAAATCACAAGAGTTATTCAACGTTCCAACTAATAAGTCATTCACAAGTGACTCTTCCTCGCTATTTTCAAAAGGACTCCACTTAAAACTGATAACATCGGATGAGTCGTTTACGATGAAAGCTTTAGTTTGCGAATGTAATCCAATGAATGTTCCGTTCAATGACACTTTGTTATCCCTAAGATAAACCAACGATTCTCGTCCGTGACCGTGAAGATTAATCTGAAGTCTTTCTCCTTGTAAAATTGTTAAGTAAATGTAAATGAACTGATTTACCAGTATCATAAATGATGAACATATTCTTCGAGACTTCTCCTGTATTTTCAGGAATGAATGAAACCTTTATCTCTTCTAGTGCACCAGATTCAATTTTTAAAGATATGGGTTCAACAAAAAACGGCCTAAAGTCAAAAACAAATACAACTTACTTCATGGTATCAAACTTTACAGAGGCCTGGCAGTTCCCAATGTTCCTCACGCCTACTAACTTTTTACTCACTACTTTCACTGGAACCTCATCAAAACAGATATCATCAGGCAATTCTAGAACCGCTCTTGGGCCAATACAAAATACGGGAACGGAGAACAGTTCTCTATCAGTCACACACATAAGGTCGTGTCGATAATCCTGGTTAGCATCAGGAGTGAAGACAATTGTGAAAGAAAGTGACAAACCAGCTGCCACTTTAGACCCTTGTGTACTCAAACATTTTATTTTAAAGTATGGAGTATCATTTTGAATCAAATGAGCTGTTCTTGAAACCTGGAAAACAGTTTACTATTGTATTATAACAAACCTTATCCATATTACGAAGTACTAACGGCAACTCATAAGATTTTCCAGGCTCATAGCTTTGAAAAATTAGCTCAGAAGGAAATGGTTGAAACAATGGACGATTGACGGGAAATGACGTCGTCTAAAGTAATCTACATAAACACATAATGGCACCTTTTGATCCCCAATCAAAGACATGTCATGCAGAGCCAACGTCTCAGGGATATGACTGTAAAATAATTGCTTATACAATTCTTCTGAAGTCAAAGACATTTTGTAAGCAAACAGTGATGGTGTGAGCTTTAAGAACAAAGTTTACAAAAACAATTATAAACGTACAGGTATGTCTTCATTACGGTTTCTCAGTAAAACACCTCCCACAATACTTCCTTTTTTCTCACATTTTTTATCCAGTATCCTTTGTGACGATAAGTTATCGGGAAAGGTCCGGATAAGGGATTCAACTGAAGACATTGAGGGAAGAGTTTTGAAAAGTTGTCAACTGTTGTTATGGTGCTTAGGACAAAAGGTCATTCAATATCCAATCTATTTGTAGCAACCTTCTTAGTAATTTCAATGATCAAGATCATGAGTCAGCTGAAGCTAAACCATCATGGAAAACCTGGAAGCACTGGACAGCCGTTTCGTCCTATTATGGGACTCCTTAGCAATGCGTATCCACGACCCTGACCCCTGCGAGATTGAAATTACTGTAGCATCTAAAAAACCCATTTGATAATAATCAACATATGCTCACTAGTGACTGACATCATGAGGTATATCCTGGAGTTCTAGTGAGAAGTAGTGACCAGTGGAGTTCAACCAGGTCTGTTGTGAGATAGTAACTCATTAAAGACAATGGTGGATGTCGTTCAATTTCGTGGTTTAGTTGAAGTTAGGCATTAACACCGTTGGATGCCGTCTCATTGGTCTGGTGGTTAGGGGCTAACGCGCGAAACCAGTAGGTCCTGGGTTCGAATCTCATGGGGGCGGGGTCGTGGATGAGCACTGCTGAGGAGTCCCACAGTAGGACGAAACGGCCGTCCAGTTCTTCCAGGTTTTCCATAGTGGTCTAGCTTCAACTGACTCATGATCTTAATCATTGAAACCTTCTAAGTATTCACTGATCTTTTTTCAGTTACTATGTAGAAGCATTGGACCATAACCACACAATCTTCAAAGCTGAAAACAAGACTACTCGGAAAATAGATATTCAATATTTAACGCGTAGAGACACCCAACGATGGAAAAGGCGGGAACAATGAATTGAATGAATTAGAGTTGATCGAATGGCATAGCTCGGTCATGCAGGCGTGGTCCCTGCTGAATGCTACCTTATATCTTCTATTCACGTTAAATATAATGTTCTTCCTCTAGCCTAACCTTGTTCTACATCATGTAATGGTAATTGATACTATACAGTGAGTTGGTGTAGTCGATGGTGTGACTTCCAAGTAAGATCTTATAGATTAGGCAGTTATGTCATGACAAATCTACAATTTTAGGATTAGGTCTATTAATTACACAGTACTAATACCGTAGTTGATCATAATTCTACTACTTCTTAACATCACGTAACGGTCCCAAATCTTTGATATCGTGAAATGTAGTCAGTTCAGTTAGTCTTCATCGAAGGATTTCAAAAATTAATTTGGCGATAATGAAGGAAATAATGGGATAAGGTTGTTGAAAGTTTGCATAAACACTATAAGTACGCAAAGATTTAAGCATAATAGAGAAACAGGAGTGTCAAAAATGTGAGATTGAAAGGGGTTGGCCACTAATAATCATAACAGCAATGGTAATCTAGTCCGCTACATAATGTGCAAAAGAATTGATAGCTGAATGACTTTACTTGATTGATAAAAAATCCTCAAATTTTTATTGACACACTTAAATGTCAACTCCTAAACAATCAATAAAACGGAAACAAAAGGTAAATTACGTTACAAAATAAAGGGGAAATAATAAGGTGACGCACCGGAATGTCTGCTTTTCCATCTGTCACTATGGAATAAAGAGGAATTACCACATGTTGTCGCCCTATATTTGAAATGTCACTGAATTGGGGAACTTTGCGCCTAAATACTCGTCTGACTTTTGATTAAACGCTTCTTTGCCTACCTATTGCACAACACCGAATGCCTCCCATGTTCGTCACAATCCACATGTGGGTCATCAACGTTGATGATCTATATAGAATGATTGGGAGCCAACTAGATTTAAACGGGAATAGTGTGACCAACAGCTAACTTCAAAGTCACACCTCGCTGTCAACACCTAATGTGTATTATCCCTTGAACATATTAAGATTCTATGGCTGCTTTGAAGACCATAGAACACAAAGAACGTTATTACGGAAATATGTCAATGAGATTGAGCACAAAGTAGATAATGAGACCACCACTTCATGAGCCAGCCCATGGCTACGATTAATTGATATATGTTGGTTGTCCTTAACTTAGACGGGGATTGATGAACTGTTCAACATGCAGTGACCAGCCCGCTGGATGACTTGACTAGGACTTCGCCACGTTTCACCGGCTATAAAAACGAAATAATCGCGTGGGTTTATGGGTAGTCTATATATCATTAACCGATTTTCCTTTGTATCAGTGACTAGCCCAGGCCTCTCGTTCATTATTATGATTATATTATCCGGATTAAATGAAGTTATTTTAGTATTCATAAACATAATTAACAGTTTATCGGCTTCAGACTTAACAAATGAATGTCTTTCTCATTTAACGATAAATAAATTAGTTGATAAAGGATGTATGGGAATTATCAATCGCAACAAATAAATGTTATTCTATCCTTTTTGAATAGATCACGTACAGATTCCTTCGAAAGACAATATTTGGTTGCGCTATGATACAGAGTATTTCGAATCCTGGAACAGTGCTTCAATTCACAGTCAGAAATGCACAATTCCAGTCAATGCAAGGAATACGACCAAAGAGGGGACAAATTAGTGCAGGTGTAGCCACGACTTAGTATCAACTAAATGAACATAAATGCAGCTCAGACAAATACATGGGAACGTAGTGAAAGTGTAAGGAAAATAAAAACTACAATAAAATATAAATATTATCATCTCAAATTGAATAAAAAACATAACAGAATGTAAATCTGAATCAATCAATATGAATAAATTACAAGTGCATACATGAAGGAATTTTCACACACAAAACCTTCAAAATGGATCTTACAGCCGTATAGAGAAAGAAATACTTTGGTTTAGAAACCGATCAATCAATTAACATAATTAAAGACAACTCTTTTTCTCAATGCCTATTTTCATAGTACATGTTCCTCTGTAGTGTCCGTTAATATGTTAAGCCCACATACTTTATTCTAGCATTCTGATAAGCCAGTCTATTCATGGGGGTCGGAACAGCATTCTTGTAATATTCATGGGTGTGACTCTGCATCCTATAATCTCCAAAGTTAGAAGACCTTTAATCAAGAGTAATCAAAATGGCTACCTCTTATCTATAAATTTTCAGCACCATAGCTTCAGGAGGTATTACTTCTGCATCATGAATTGACCAACGGTGGTGGATAACTTAACCAACAACCGGTTTTGACCAGTCTAATCATGCTCGCCTTATAAAGTCATTAATAACCTTTCAACCACCATCATCGGCTGATTGGATTAATTAATATTCTTAGTGTTGGGTCACGTCGGATTAAGCGTTTCGATCTTCAGGGGATCTACTCGAGTTAGGTTAGAATGGCGTGAATAGCCAGCTAACGTCGAAGTCACACCTCACGATTGTGATAATGTGGGTTACCCTTTCGTCGCATCCACGTACTATGGCTAACTTGATGACCGCAAAATACAAATGACGTTGGTACTGAAATACTTAGTACAAGTAGTTGTGACCACTGCTGCAATTCCACGGCATGCCATTATTTTTGCACACTGGTTGTCCTTGACTTTGACGAGGATCGATGTGCTGTTTGATATTCAGTGACAAGAATGCCAGATGATTTGATTAAGGTTCATTGACATTTCACTTACCTTACAAGCCATTCATTTCCTCATGATATGTAATACCTTTATGTAGTTTCACAGGCTTTGTACAAGGAAAAAACTGCCTCGGCTAATTTACCCTCTGAAATATCATTCGCCTGTGTGGAGATTTGAACAGTTAACACCTGTAATAATGATAATCTGGAACATCACGAGGATGTGACTGATCTTTGAAGTTGGATGAACAATAGACTGACCTTCAACTGTGTAAAGCGCTTAGTCCACATATCGCCCGTTGCAAACTACACCTACCTTAAATAATCCGCTACTAGGAACGTTTACAGCCAAAACGGGACCTAGTTTCTGCATTCCGTAGAGCAAAAGCGTATGCCCTTAAATACCTCACACTAGAAACTTAGAAGTGCAATTTCTCTCCATTCTAAAAAGACTTCTCACCTCATTTCAAAGTTTTATTCGTACTCAACAATGGTTTGGAGACATAGTGCCTCCTTCTTCATTCCATAAAGATAAAAGTCTTGTTAAGCAGTGTTAGGATATAGGTTAGATTAAACCACCAAAACCAACTGCGAAGTCGACTCATGTTCTAAAAGAAGCACTAGATCCTTATCTCTTAAAATCAAGGCGACACAGTGATGTCTTTGCGGAGTCACACAACAGCTCAAATAACCCAAAGCACCCTGTTCAAGGGAGTTCAGCACAATTTGAAAAGATATGCTTCCTACTATTAGCACCTTTGTACAAGGGGACGCGGCACTAGATCTTCGGTTGCCATAGAGCACAATCACCTTGCCCTCAAATGACATGGTACTTCCGAGGGTAGTGAGGGTTATCTCTCCACTTCTAAATGCTCACATGGCCACGCGCATACAGTCACAACCCGGAAAGTCTTACTCAGTGCCTTTTTTCTCGACGAGGGTGTTGGTCAGGAATTTGAGAGAATGAAAAGCGAATGCCCAGCTCTTTGACCGGGTTGGTGAATCCACTTAAGGAAGTTGGAAAATCCTGATCCCAAACTAGTGGTGCAAATGTGCTCCAGGATCCTAAGGGAGCAATCATTGGTCGCCGGCTTTCATGGGGCTGCAACCCCTGACGTTACTGTCTTGTGGATCGGACCTTTAGGCCGAAGGCTCCGGATGTGACCCTCTAAGAAAATCACTGGCCTCGGTCCGAGTACCTGTGCAGTACCACACACAAACGAAGTAACTTATGTGGCGCATATGTATTCGGTGCCACTTTGTACCAATATTTGTGTTCAAATAAATAAATCTACATATCAAAGTAACTAAATCAACTGACTTGTGTTATATTTTTCACTCTCCCCATTTCAATTATGCCATAATTAATACAAGTACTGCTAGCACGCTTAAAGGAAAATATAGTTTGTTAACCAGCACTAAAGAAACTAATGATTTTGAGTGTACGCTACTGCGAGCACATCATTAAAAATATGCACAATTTACTTATTAGAAAACAAAACAGCTAGTCCTAGGATTAACATCACTCAACATTTTACCGCACAAATTCAATTCACAGTCACTTCAAACATATTTATTGATAGGAAGCAAGGTATCGTCGATTATTATTCAAAAGAAGCCAAGGTAGTTTTTTAACATTAGTTCTGCTGGAATTAAGATAAAGCTTTAAATAAAATCAACGATATAATGAGCTCATGTTAGCATACCAATTGTTATGAACAAAAAGAATCAGCAATTAGATAGTATCAATGAGACTGGCCATCATACAGTGAGAATATTAGCGTGTTTTTACAAAATGAGTTGTTTCAAAATGTAAGTTACATGATTTCTGAAGACTACAAATGTGTATGAAAGTGTTAAACAAATAGTTTATTCCTTACATCCTTGTATATATAAATGTATGTATAAGGCCAACTTTGAAAAGAGCTAGTATAAGTAACAAAATACAGCTGTAAATATTGAAAATGAATCCAAGTAATAACAACCAATGAAATTTCAAATGAACTACCATACATGGAAAGATATACAAATGAAGGAAAAAAGCACTTAAGGGAATAGGCTTTTATATATATATATATATATATATATATATATATATATATATATATATATATATATATATATATAATGTTTACATTAGTAAATAAACTCTAAGAAAAACACTGAATAACAAGGTTTTACACCAGGTTTTGATGAAATGAGAAAACATTTATCAAAAGTTAATTAATATTAACTATTCGTCAACATGTTCCTGAGTATTGGAAACATGTTATATAAATATACGATAGTAAACATTTACAATCCTAATTGTGTATTGTATGTATTGAATGTTATATAACTTACTTTTATTTTTCTTAGATGAAACAATAGAATTATATACTTTGATGATATGAATAGTCGAGTTATTTTTTGAAAGGGAATTTTCTGAAGCTGTGCAGATTTTTGTTGTTGTTGTTGTTGTGATTATTACTATTACAATTATTAGTGAAGATAATTTGTCACATTCGAATTAGAAGAGAATTGAGTAGAACAATTATTCTTTCCCCTCAATTCTGATGTTAATTCAATTTATACAAAACAAATGTATATTATTATATATGTATAAACTGGTCTATATACATATATATAGCGATATTGTTTACTGAATAAAATATACACACAATTACTGGATAAATTGAAGTGATATTTCAAGTGAACCATATGATAAAAAAGCATAGAATAGAATAGAATAGAAAGTGAATAAATTTCAACTATAAAATCTTTGGATTAAAGATAAACACATACATTCATATATTTGACAGCAGTTAAATCAACGAATAGATAAGAATTTAGGGAAAGCAATTTAGATGATAAATATCACATTACATATTTAACTTTCACTATATATATATATATAAACTATCTATTGACAGAAGAATCATGAGCCTGACGTATAGTACTGCTAGCACCAGGTGCCAAACTACCTGGAACAGTAGAACCTCGATTATATTTATCCACAACCCGTTGTAGTCTAGCATTCTCTGCCTTAAGATCTTCCAATTTTGATTGAACCTCTCTTAGCTAAAAATTTTAAAAAAAGTACAAAAATGTGCAAAAAAGCAATTGTACAGTCTATAAGGTCAGAAAAGTATTAGCACAATAACAGACACAGTATTTGTCTATTATTTATGTAAGACACTTACTTCATCAGTAGAGTTAATCTAAAGAATAATATTATTACAGAGTCTTAAGCGGTGTGATAATTTAATGTAAAACAATAATGCTATTCAATAATTTAAATACTGGTTAATAGTAAATACAATAGGTATATGATGATGATGAAGAATATGCAATTTTTGTGAATTCATGATTGATTCTATTGAGTGTTAGATAATACTGGAAAAAAAAGTAATTCGAAATGAAAACACTAAAAGATATTGCTATTTTCAAAGAAATCATGAAAAACAAACACATACAGTACTGTAATCAATTATTTATCTAGATAATTGTCTACTTTGAAAGAAAAATTTCTGGAATAGATAGATTGCGGTTAGTAGTGAAGACTAGGATGCAGGTTTCGCCTTATTTGGGACTCTTCACTTGGATGTACCTGTATCGCATCACTGTTGATGTTCATGCTGAGGTCCGAACCCAATACTTATCATTTTTAAGTATCAACGAGTAATCCACTAAGCTACCCATTTCAGGTAGCCACAAATTTTTAAAATGAGTATAGCGTTTGAACTATCCTGATTTTGATATTCAGGACTGAACTTTGGTCGGTCTTCATTTGAACTCATGCTATCTAGCATCAGTTCAAAAATATTTGTTCTGTTTGAGCCTTTAAAAAAAACGTACACATACTTTTCGGAAACTCTACAATAAAATATACAAACTATCAAACTGTTACCTGTTGAACATTTTGATAAACTTTTCAACTTAAATCATTGTTTATATAAAATAAATGGAATGTGGCTAGCAGTTGAATCTAGAACATGTGTTTCGTCCCGTTTTGAACATATCAAACTAATGTATCTGCAGTCGAAACAATTACAGATTAAACTAAATCGCTATTGTTTACTTTGTTTTTATCAGTTTGAAATAGACACAGATTTTATCAAATTTTTAAATTGCGCTAATTATCAGTAATCTTTGTATCCATGACAGATTCATCATTAAAAAAAATATCAACTAAATCAAATGTCAAGAAAATAAGTAAAAAAAACCTTCAACATGGGCTAATAATAATGAAAATTTAGCTGGACTGAAATAAACTAAGCTAAGAAAACCTCACACACAAAAAACTTACTTCACGTTGACATTTTCTTCGATCTTGTTTTAAAATTTCTTCTTGTTCTTCACAAGCATCAGCTATGGCTTTATATCGTTTAGTTTGACCTTCCAAACGCACAATCTATAAAATGAGATTATCCATTCCATTAGATGGTTGTTATATAAAATTCATTATGACAATTTAAGAAAAAATTCTATGAGTGTAACCACAAGAACAGTCTAGTTAATGAAAATTATCAAAGAGAATGATTACGAGGTGGATTAGTCAGTCAACCAAATGCAACGTAGAACCTGGCATATCCCCACATAGGTTCAAGTTTGTACAAGGATCCCTCACTGTCAACCGTACCAGGGCATTTCGGGGCTTCAAGTCCTTACATGCTATCACTAAAGTAAGAGAAGAATGTAAAGGTTAGTTTCAGAGATGTAGTTACAGGATTAACAGCTCCGGGAAAATATTAGGCATTCAAGATACAACCCGAGGGAATTAACGAAATAATTAAACAAAATTTACAATTAATTCAAAAACTTAGAATCTAAGGAAAAACAAAGAGTAGATGGATCCGAGTTATTATGAACCATTTTATTATTAATTATTATTATTATACAAATTCTCTAACAAGATATCCTAACTAATGGTTATAGACTTTGAGTAATATAACACAGAATCGGTCACAATGGAGTAATTCCCTTAAAGGTCTTAGAAAACGTCTTTGGATTCTGTAAATCTATATTTTTTAAAAATATCTTCTATCCCTGATTATTTTTACAACCGGTAGTACTGTTATTACTACTTATACTACTCTAGCAGCTCTCTGTTCTGATGTAGTAGCAGCTTGAACTGATACGCATATGTACCATGCCCTATGTTGCATGACTAACTGGACGAGAACAATAGAATATATGATGGTTTAGTAGAAGTATTCGCAATAACAGTACCATCCGAGACTTACTTCAGCTTATTCATTGAAAAAATTATGAGCTTTAATGCTATCATCCCTAATACAGTATTATACTTGATGTCTACCGATTTTTAATATTCTTCAATTTAGTAATTATATTCCATTTATATTCTGTTTTCGTTCTAGCCTATTATAAACATTTTAGACAACCGAAAACCATTTCGATCATTTTTGTTAATGATGCAAAAGTTCCGTATTTTACGGAAAATTTATTATTAAAGCTGTATACTTGTATTACTAGTTAATCAGTATACATGTGGCGTATGCTACCTATGTTGACAGATATGAGTTGTATTTAGCCGCAATCAGAAGTGGAAGGCTTGGTAGAAGATTCAATTAAAAGTAACAGAAGAAAAATGGAAGAGCAATCGAAATAACAACAGAATTAAAGGAATAACCAAGTAAGTAAAAGACAACGCAAAGAAGATATGCATATGATGTATTTATTGTATGATTTCCATATTTTGCTTAACAACAGTGTGATTATTCATCAAACAATAAAATTGGTTATCCCCACCTAAGTTCTCGTCCACTACATACATAGATAACATTGTTGAAAAGATTATTTCCTTTACTGATTTGTCTTTATTTGTTTTTCAATGACACAAATGGTATATTCCACTAACCCATAAACACTGAATACATATTAACTTGGTTCATTATCGTTTTGAGTTTTAAAACAGAAACAAATTATTTATTATGAACAGTGTAAATAAATAAACAATAGTGATAAAAGTTTATGCTTTCTAGAAATAAATAGCCCTACGGAAGAAAAAAACATTTCACATACTTCATGATGACGTTAAGTGTTAATATAGAAAGCATGAAAAGTTTACACTAATAATGCTTAGTCCAGTGGTTTTTATCTAATGTAATTCTCAAAGCCATAAACAGGTATTATTGATGTTGAATTACAAAACAATGCAAAATTATCAGTATAGGGTTGTGGAGATCGTTGAGTTTAAATTGAGGTTATGAATCGAGTCCCGTGTTAAGAACCGTGAGTGAGCACTGTTGAGGAGTCCCACACTATGACGAAACATCTGTCCATCGCTTCCAGGTTTTCAAGGGTGGTCTAACACTAGTCGATCCATGGTCTCGATATAAAATTACTTTAGATTTCAATCAATAAGAAAAAACATAACGTTAAGAATTACTCGTGGACTGATTTGTATAGTTAGATACAATTAACGAATCCAGTCATTCACCTTGTATAGTATTATATAACTTCAAGTGGTCGACAATAATAAAAATACAATACATATGATGGAAAATCATGTAAAACTATGTAAAAGAATACAATAGCCAAATATAAATATATTAACACTAAGTACTTTGAATCAATAATATCGCATTAATTTTCCTCAAACCTGCTGTTCGATAATACTTTGATTCCCATTTGTTAATTACACTTTTTTCAATATCAGTTATTAAGAAGACATTGTTTCGAGTAAAACAAATTACTACCAGTAATATTGATGTGAATGTTAACGAATATCCACAGATGATTTGTATCGTTGACGACCGAAAACAAAACAAGTTGTTTGTTAGTCACTATGACTAGGTAATATTTAATTCAAATGCAAACATAGACACACACATCTACGCTTGAAGGTATAGAAATATTATAAAAAGCGAAGGAAAGATTTCTAGCATAGAATATTTACATTATAAATGACTAGATCTGTAACTAATTTGCATATATATATATATATCAATGCACATCATCCTAGTCTTTTAAATCCATAATACTTTTTACTAAATTGATTGTAGGTACTGTTGTAATTAAAAACAGTTCAAAATGGAAACAAAACAATACATTATTAGTATTATTATTAGTATTATTGGAGTGCAACCGCATGGCAAATTAATGTATTGATAAACAGATTGAATGTACACGTTTCACAATAAAGTCAAAACAACATATTGAAAAGATGTTTTTACCATGTATACATATTTACTTAATCAATATCTATTCTAATGAACTGTAGGTAAAAACGTTATGTTCAAAAAAACAAGTTGGTTGTGCACAACTGAAGTGTATGTATATGGCTACGGACCAACACAACACATACAAACACACATATAAGGTAGGAAACACGTGACCGGTGAAACAATATTTCACTCGCGAAAGTCATGGTGCATTTTTGCTTTCAATAGTTGTTTAAGCAGATATTCCGATGGATGTAAAGCCCACATCATAGACACAAAGTAACAACTAGTAAATATTGGACAGATTAATTGGAAACACAGGAGTTGGAAGATATTTGTTGTATATTTTTACTGACTGAAATCCAAATACAAAAAAGAGGGCGCCAGGTTAAATATGGTGTCATAACTAAGCGGGAGATAATATGCGTAGGAAGGCGTAACTATCTTTGATGGAGTATGTGTGAAAATTATGATTCATAAGTGAAGACGTTAAACAATATGGCTAAAAATGTTTCAGTGACACAGATGTGCTCATTTTAGGTAATGAGATTCGATAATAATTCCATATTTCCAATGCCCATGTTTTATTCTTTTATTCTGAGGTCATACGTTTCATAATCGAGATAATTTTTAATAATACAAACATTAACACTACTTCAATTTCTTTAGCTATGAATCTTGTTAGTATCCTTAAGCGTTGACCTGATCGCATAAAGTGTGACGATGTGCATGCATTTGTAGCAAGTTGTACACTGTTTATGATTGATCAACGCGATGTTTCTGCTACAAACTTATCATGCATCAATTTCAACGTTAACATCATTCTCTACAAAAATGATTGTATGCACTGACAGAGACTAGACACTCTCTACATAAGAGGTTAAGTAATAATGAAGAGTAGTAATAAATGTTAAGTCATAGATACTAGGGGCTTAAGTATCAATCGGAAAAAGACATCAACACAAATGCATACTAACATATATTTATATAATGATTAACACATTAACACCGTTGGATGTCAGCTTAGTAGTCTAAAGTTACGCGTTCGTGAGCGAGACCTAAGGTCATCGGTTCTATTCTCGCATGTGAGGTCGTGGTTGCGCACAGCTGAGCAGTCCCATACTGGAACAAAACAGCCGTCCAGTTTTTTCAGGCTTTCAGTGGTGATCTAATATTGATTGGTTCATGGTTTCAATGAGAACGCGAAGCCCAACAGAAAATATCATATAAATTTTTGGAGTCAGAGTTACACACCACTATATATATTGAAAATAGTGGTCAGGACAGTGGAATAGCCATATATTCGCATTTGCTAGGAAGACCTAAAATTACAAATCGCAGTTCCGTCGTGTAAGGAAGTTTGTGAAAACTCCCATCCAAATCATATTTCCCCACTAACCTTTCGTGATATCTGGGAAATTGTTCATTTGTTATCTATCGAATCTCTTTATATGTCTACTACGCGAAAACTTAGTACTGACTTCGTAGCCGCTTTCTAGATTTCCCGTATAATTCCTTCACTTGGACCGCGAGTAGTAGAAAAAAAGGCACGAAGTAAGAATGGAAGTTTTGTTTCAAAGATCACTTATGTACAGAAAACGAGAATATCTATAGGATTAAGGGTGGCCTTGACCTTCTAGGGGCTTCCGGAGACATACAAAACTTAATAACAAAGTAATTATCAAATCAAGTTGCAACACAATCCTTAGTTTTTCTAGACGTTTCTGAGATCTTTTTGTACTCAATGATGATTGGATAAAATGTTTTTAGCCTTTTCGCAGCTTTTAGAGACAACAGCAGAGAATTTTTGAAGATCCATACACTTATGATCAAATAGTTGGAAATACAGTTTCAGATAAAACTTTAAAGAGTGTGACAATTAATGATACTAACTGGCATTTGAGACCGAAATAGACAGAAAATGAATATAAACTTAAACAATCTTCTGCTTAAGAACCAGAGTATGATAGAGATCGCTTACAATTTGAAACATTAAATTGATAATTAACTCATTCAAGAAAAAAAAACAATTTAAAGCTACAAAATGAAAACCAAAACACTTGTGAATCTTTTATCAGTCAACATAAATAAATTGTTCTATTTAATTAAAAATTTAAAGATGGACGTAATAAAAGTCTGCGAATCATGAAACTCACATCGCTTTCAAGAGCTGATATCTTTTGAGACGATTCATGAAATTTCAGTTTATATTCTTGAGCTTGATTACGACTTTCTATTGAGAAATAAGTTTTTTCCAGAAAAAAACAAGATAAAAAAAAGAAAGGACGATAATTAGAGAGAAAATAATAAAATAATCATCATATGCATCAAATTTACTAAAAGGTGTAAGTGAAGGGTACTTTTTTCAATGAATTCTCAGCAGGTCCCACTGTTATAGATTCAAATTCATATTTAAAAGGGGTAACGCCAAGATTAAAGAGAAATACTCCATTTAGAATTACAACTTCTGAAATTTAGGATTGTTAGTGCGAAAATAAAATTGAAATTGCTAAGATTAGCATGAATCTCCCTAAAGATCAATTAAAATTATGTGATATGTAATCAGAGTAAATGTAGATAAAAAATTTTAATGTTGTAGTGACTAATGTGCGATGTTAACTGTACTTTAAACGATGTATTTGCACTTGGCGTTATCCCCTATGGAACATTAATTTGGCAGAAGAAGGCGTTTATTGAAGTGTCAAAATGTATAGGAAAACAGGTGTATTTACAGTTTTTGGGACAGATTGTAACATCATTATGATCCAGCCTAATTGCAAGCAGAGAATTTATACAATTATCCGATCACAGAATGTCACGTCGATACTCTGGAAAATTCTATTGGGATATGACTGAACGGAATTTCTTCGTCTCCTTTAGAGTAGCTGGAGGCTTCGTTGCGTCTTCCGGGAGCCGTTCCAACAACTTACACTATTACTACTCTGGTATTTATATTTGATAATTTGATTATGTGGCGTTTTTATATAAAGCAGTAAATATATATGTCCCAGGTTCTACATCATTTACGATTTATTGATATATATATAAAACATAAACATTTATTCAATTTCATTGTTTAGTGGAAAATTTGTTACCCACATGATTAACTCCACCGTCACACCGAATTCCTATTAAAGTTGAAGATATAGAACTGCTGAAGGCAGTCAGCAAGGTGTGTAGTGAATTTTTCAAGGTCATAATTAATACGGTTGAGGATAGACGTCTAAAGTCATGCAAACTACTGGTAGGTGTTATTTTATCAGATACTAACCATCCCCTTCACTCTTATCTTACTCCTTGTACATCTTATGGTAGAACGAGACGTAATTACATTAAACCCCATGCACGCAAGCAGAAGTATAAAATTTCTATAATACCTTACCTAGCAAATATACTCTGTGACGAACAGGTTGTTAGAGTTAACCTAGTCAATAACCTGCATTCTTAACATGTCTCTAATTTGAAAAGTTGTACAGTTTTTCAGATTTTTTTAAACCTTTTTTTCCCTTTTTGTCTTTGTTTCTGTTTTTTGTATAAGAAACTTGTTGAAATACACTATGCTGAGAATCCTATATTGTACCAAAATATAATATTGAATAAAGCCATTGATAATAATTATAATAATAATAATAAATTAGGGGGGGGGGCAAATAAGAGAGATGTAACTACTCTACTAAGAATTATTCATCCATATTTTTACAGTGTAATCACTAAATACTTGTATTAAAGTAATTTTTATATTGTTGTTATTCTTCAGCTTTTATTTCATTCATTAAACGTTACTATATGTTTCACCATTCTTAAATTATTGTTGATTAGCCATATATATATTGCTAAGTTTTTTCAGTACACATGACTTACTTATGTGAACATTGTGATTTTTTTATTTGTGATGCGGAATTGTGGTCATTTAATTACTATGTATAGTTCTGTGAGCTTTAGAGCCAGAATAACAATGAAAGATAACATGATAACATGTTATTTTAATTGCAATCGTTGTCTACTGATTGGTCACTGAGAATAGAAGCTAGGTGGACCAATAAGAAATAGAATTCCACAACCACTGTTATTGCGTTATCGGATGTAAGTGAATGTGTCATTAGAGGACTCGCTATAATGATCTGACTAGATCAAAAGGATAATACGTGAGTGTTTGAATTTATAACACAGAATTTCATCCAGTGATTTAAATGTACTGAGCACATAACTGTATAGTAATATGTCCTACACTTTGAATACTGTGCGTTATTGGGTCATATTTATAGGATTTAAAAATTTTAAGCTATAACAAAATGTATGTATGAATGTTTTCTTTCTCTCTAAAAATTTTCCATAACAGGTAGTCAATTTGTAGTCAAATTGAAGGGATTGTCATCAATACGTACAGACATAATTTACCTATACTGTTGTATCAATAAACAAAGAAAAATACAATATTTCTACTTTAATAAGATTGAGTTATTTTACTTGGATTATTAAGTCAACTACCTCAATCGTATTGTGGTGTATGCTATTTATGTTGACAGATATAAGTAGTAGTTAGCCGCTATCGGAAGTGGAATATCTGGTAGATTTTATTGAAGGGAACAGGAAGGAAATAGGAGAGCAAACGAAATAACAACGGAATTAAGGAATAATGGAGTAGGTAAAGGACAACGCAAAGAAGATATGCAAATGATGTATTTAATACATGATTCCCATATTTTACGAAAGTATTGTGTAATTTTGCATTAAATAATAAATTACTTTTTCCCACCTGAGTTCTCGTTCATTACAGTATTAATAAAGATTAGAAAAACATGCGATGATTGGAAAAAAACTATAAGCTTATTAGACGAATCAGTAATAAAACACTGAATATTAATAATGATTATATTTTAAATGGCAAATTTGCCATTAAGGCTTTCTCTAGTTACTTTTCTTTCAAACTCAATAGTTATTCTTATTTAATTTAACCAAATCTACTTTGATAATGAGAACTAGAAAATGCTAAAACTGATATAGATGAATATAAATCATTACTCTGATATACATAAAGAAAATATTGATTTGCAATGGATACAGAAGAGAGAGAGAAAGAGGACAAGTAAGCACAAATGTACATGCCCACACACACGCGCACGCAACATAGCAACTTCAATTTCAAATAAACCCTTCAACAGAATCATTCATATAAAAGAAAGTGCAAATATGCATATCAATACTTACACAAATACAAACATACACATGCAACCATACATACACATAGATATTAATGTATCTACTTATTGTTGTAAATATGATTCAGTTTCTCAACTGAATTACACAAAATTGATATTGCAAGTCATAGTGACCATAATTATTCTATATTCAGTCACGAGGTTACGAGGGAATTATGATTCAAGTTATTTCATTGTAATTTTATAGATATTCCATTAAAGTACTAAATATTAAATGGAGGGCTATTGAAAAACGCATATTGGAAAAATAATAATAGTAAAAATAAAAATAAGAGCAAAAATAATAATGACCAAGATTAAAACAGAAAGTACTAGGCAAAGATAGATAGTGGTTAGCAATGGAATCCAGGACGTGTGTTTCGTCCTATTTGGGACTTGTGGATTCAGGAAGTATCGCGGCAATACGCACAGGATGCATATATGCCAACAAGAAACTGATCAATTGCAGTCCCAAACATCAATGGAAAGATCCAAGTACGCAAAACCAAGTAAATTCAGAAGAAAGTACTATTTTAACGAAAATTAACGAATTCGTTTTCTACACTTATCTATCTATCCATTTATCAATGGGCCTCAACATAATACAAGGGAAAAGTCAAGGACGGAGAACACCAACTCAATCACGTTTGATGAAGAAGCTCTGGAGGATGTGGAGTCTTTCGCGTACCTGAACAGCACCATCGATGAACAAGGAAAATCTGATGCAAATGTGCAAACACTGATTAGCAAAGCAAGAACAGTATTTCTACAGTCGAAGAACATATGGAACTCAAAACAACCATCAACCAATATCAAAGTCACAATCTTCAATACGAACGTGAAGACACTTGGAGAAGTAATACATCCATCATCAAAAAAGTACAAGTATTTATAAATAGTTGTCTATTCAAGATACTCAGCATCCATCGGTCGGATATTATCGACAACAGCAACCTACTGTAGGAGAGAACAAATCAGCTTCCAACTGAAGAGGAAATTAGGAAAAGACGTTGGAGGTAGATAGGACATACATTGAGAAAATCACCAAACAGAACCACAAAGAAAGCCCTAACTTGGAATCCCGAAGAGAAAAGGAAAAGTAGACCATGGAACACATTTCGTCGGGAAATCGAAGCAGATATGAAGACAATGAATAGCAATTCCATACAACTTGAAAGGAGTGCCCAGAACAGAGTTTGATGGAGAGTGTTGGTGAGTGGCTTATGATCCTCCACGAGGTGTAACAAGCGTAAGTAATCGATCCATTTATCCATTTACTCATCTATCTAAATTAGGTCAATAATAAAGAAATGAATTGAAGCGGGAACAAATACCAGAGAACATTTTATTTTTTGTGTGAAAAACTCTAGAAAGTATCGATAGCAGCGACGATGGTGATACGCAAACAATGGGATTTCTTTCTTTAGATAAATAGAATGCACTGCTTACGAATATATATATATATATATATATATATATATATATATATATATATATATATAAACACAAACTAGCGTATTTTATCAATGTGCATACACATATACCGGGGCATATAAAACAGTACTTTACCTAAAATAGAAAATCAATTATTTGCGTACAAACATACACACAAACACAAGAATACAATGAATTTCCATCATTGTTTGCCTGAACATAACTATTGTGGTATAATAAAAGTCATGACATTCATAGTTTCGTCACAGTGAGATCCCATCATCAGTCATATAGTTCGAAAACAAAAAAACAATGTCAAACGAAATTAGATAAACAAATGGGTAAAATAACAGATTAGGAAACAAGAATAGAGAAATACGATTCAATAGGTTTACATTTTTGGAGAAACCACTTCAGCAAAATTTCAAGTTACAATATTAATAACCAGAAGTTGTGTTATACATTGTTCAACTAAACATAATTATTGTTCCTCTGTATAATGAATTTGTATTAACGCATTGATCTAGACAACACTTTACTTTCGATCTGTCGATCGAAAGTTTTAGTCTAACACATTCCACTTATTAATATCTGGATAGAATTTATTAACCTACAATGCATGATTGGCGTGCTTTCGTAAATCGACAAACAAATCGATATGTATGGAAGAATTTATTCGACTTTTTGAAGAAAAGAATCACTAGTCTGATCTATTAAGGTAAATTTGTTGTACACTTCCTAATTTAACATGGATAAGACTGTTGGACCTGATTATTAAAAAAAAATTATTTGACATGATTTAAAATCTGTAGTATTCTTACCGAGGTAAAATAAACCAATTTTTGTGTATCGCCTATCTTTATTAACTTGTTATTAATTTCTTACTGCTGCTGACACCATTATATTCATAGGATTAGAAATCTACTAGTTGATGTTTTTTTCTCTTTGAAGAAATGATTCTTGTTTATTGACTTAGTTTCTAGAAATGGATAACCATTTTCATGAATTCATGTCAGAACGCCGAATGAAAAGGGATACAATCGCGTGAATATTCAGTTCAGAAAATCGTTCACTGTAGAGATTAGTTCCGTTTAACGTTAAGTATTGGTCACCATATCAAGTAGTGCAAAATTGAGTATATTGTTATTGATTGTTAGAAATTTGGAAGCAATCGGGATGAAGGGTCAAACTAAGGTATCATGCTAGTCAGAACTTATAACTACAATTCTGAGGGAAACGTTCTATACTTGTTGACTTACATATTCCTATTTGAAGACGCTGAAAAAATGCAGAACGTCTGAAGCAACAACAGTACTAGTGTTTGAGATGGGTTCCTTTCCATCTAAATATAAAATTTTGCTTCAGGACTGGTTCGTATCAACCTCAGAACTAGTAATAGGTAGTGAAGAGTTGATTGTGTTGACCACGTCACATATCAAAGAAGTCTCATCATCTCTGGTGGGTTAGTTGGCTTTGCCAACTTGCGTTAATCGTGTAGTAGATGAGATATCCATCTGCTAACTAAAGGACGGTTATACTGAGCACCAGTTCCCCCCTTTCTACTTTATGGTTATGTAAACGTCGCCTCTAAAAGTAAAGAACGTTTGTAGTTTACTAGAATTCCATCATACAAGTACTCCTTGTACATTAACGGACCATCAAGTCAACAATTTCGAGGGTAACAAGTAGGGTACCATGTAGCGAATCGTGATCGATTGAGATGGTTAGGACATGTAAACCACAATGATAATGTACCTGACTGTACCATTGACCGTACACAGAGTATCAAATGTTCCTTCAACATTGCAGATTTTTTTATAAGCACCAACTAGAACAAAACTTAAATTTATGACTTTTGGACGTAGTTAGAATGTGATTCAAAGTCAAGTATACGAACCCGTACTCGATAAATGGGTATTCAATGGAATTATAGTATTCATTAACATATGTATACTTATTCAGTGCATAAAACAATGTCTCTGATATAGAGTAATTAAACTTTCATATAAAAGTCATTTATATTAGACTGTATTACACACCTTTATATTATAGGACGTCACATACAATTTAAACATCGACAAGAAGCAATTCAAACTTCGAAGATGTAACATAAGATGCACAGTATATTAGAATATAATTGAATATCCTATTGAAAAGCCTGATCAAAAATTACATCAATCGACTTAAATCAATTTAAGATTTCCAAGAAAATATTACATTTAAATTATTTATTAGAATCGGGATCCAAATTAATGTTTATATATCCAATTTCGTAATATAGATCAATTAAGCATGTAAGAAAATACAGTTCTAAACCAAATGATATTTAGAATAAATTATCAGTAAAAACACATGATTCAGTAGAATTGAATTAAGTGTTTTTCTAATGAATGACGCAGAATATAAGTGAAATAGATAGTTGAAAATTTACTAAGATCAAGAAACTACTAAATATATTTACTAGGAATTGGAAAAGAACTTACAAAATTTATGGATGTTCCTGAGAGACCTCATCAGATACATCATCATTGAGATAAACAGTCAGTCAGGCATCATCAACGTAAAAACTGACACATGTGTATGTTGGTCCAAAGTGCTTTATTATACTAGCATAAAATGAAGTTAACAAGACGAATACCAAAGGATACGAAATAATTGTAGTGGCAACAATGGTAATGGAGGAAAAAATGTGCGAAGACGTAACGAAATGAAACAACGATATTACCCAGATATCCAACTCACAGGAGATAGAATGGTACTTCAACCTAAGATTAAATATCTTAAAGCCAAGTGTTCCAACCAATTAGTGGTTCTCCTAAACACTTCGATTCGGGTAACCAAGTTAGATCACTACACTCCATACAATAGATAAGATTCTTAAACCGGACTATAAAAACCTGTATTTAGCGAACAAGTTGCAGTAAATAGACAAAAAATATTTGAAATCAATTAATATTGACTCTTACCCTCGTTAAATATTGCCTACCCACTGAAAAAAATAACTACCACTCAGGTTATAATATTGAAAGGTTCTCTGACCGATCAACTCGAAACACTTATTACTAGTGTTACGTTAGTTCAAAGTGCATCAACCGATTGATAGGCTTCGATAAAAGCTTAAAAAAAACTTGAGAAAACCATTGATTGAATAAGATGTATTGTGATCAATACCCTGACACATGGATAAGAAAATAGAGAACAATATTTAACAGATTCAACAGAGAATCTAATAAATTTAATCAGCTTACGTTGTAGTTCATGTTTAATATCTTCTGCATTTGCTATATTTGTACGATTCTTTGAATCATAACGTGTAGTTGGAGCCTCGAAGCGTTTACGTTCTTCTCTTAACTGAGATTCTAATTCCTCAACTCGTGCATCTAATTCGGATCGCATACTAAACAACTGTTGAATTTGCTTATCTGCAAAAAAATGATTAAAACAAAGAAAAAGTTAGTAATATCTAGTGTTAAACTTATACAAAAAAAACATTATTTCTCGATCGAGGCGTTTTGTGGAGATTGGTTTAATTTATTGATTCTTTATGGATTGACCTTAGCATACTTACTTACTTATTTATGCCTGTTACTGCTCATGAAGGAGCATAGGCCGCTCACCAGCATTATCCATTCAACCCTGTCACAAGCAATCCTTTCCAGCTGCTTCCAGCTTTTATTCATCCTTTTCATATCTGCTTCTATTTCCCGACGTAATGTGTTCTTTGGCCTTCCTCTTTTTCATTTCCCTTCAGGATTCCAAGTCAGGGCTTGCCTCGTGATGCAGTTTGATGATTTGCGTAATGTATGTCCTATCCATTTCCATCGTCTTTTCCTAATTTCTTCTTCAGCTGGAAGTTAGTTTGTTCTCTCCCAGAGAAGGCTGTTGCTGATGGTATCCGGCCATCGGATGCTGAGTATCTTGCGTAGACAACCATTTATAAATACTTGTACCTTCTTGATGGTGGTTGTTGAATTTCTCCATGTTTCAGCTCCGTACAGTAGAACTGCCTTGACGTTGGTATTGACGATCCTCACTTTGATATTGGTTGAAAGTTGTTTTGAGTTCCATATGTTCTTCAATTGTAGGAATGCGACCCTTGCTTTGCCAATCCTCGCCTTTACGTCTGCATCGGATCCTCCTTGTTCATCGATAATGCTTCCCAGGTATATGAAGGACTCTACATCTTCCAGAGTTTCGCCATCAAGTGATTGGACTGCTGTTCTCCGTTTTGAATTGGAGGACCTTGGTTTACCCCTTGTGTATGTTGAGGTCTACTGATGCAGAAACTGCTTCTAGACATTAGCATAGGGATTAGTGAACACAAAGGAACATTGAATTCATTTTTTATGTCAGCAGCGCCCACTAATGGCCTGGGTCAGTAATCGATAGCATTGAACGATCATTGTGTTTTACCACCTCTTACTACAATGGGTGATATTAACTGGTGTAGAAATAAATTGGAAGAGATGTAGGAGTAACTAAATCAAGACGTGGTATCAGTCCACGAAGTCACTGACTATTGAGTTGACCCATGTTGATAGATCCACGATAACGCCGGTTGAGGTCTGTGTGCTAACTTCAATCAGTGATTGGAAACGTTCGGTGACATGATACAGAATTGATTACAATAGAGTATTTATATCCATTCTTTATGCCACTCTAGATCTCGAGCTCCAATATTTCGTCATACATAACTTTCCAAAAATCTTTTTGATTCATATTCTCAATGCTTAACCCTTATTATTATTACCACAATTATTATTATAACAATTCCGTCACTGCTCATCTTATAAATTTTATTTCATTGTGCTAATGTAGTATGAAAACTTTGGTTAACACCCATATATGTACCAGGATCTACTTTGAGGATGGCTGACTAACCGTACTATTTCAGTTTCAAAACGAATTAATTAACATTAAAGTTGAATATCATCATTAATTACCTGTTTTTTAAGAATCATATTATCTATGAGTCATCTTTCTACTACCACTACTCTTACTACTCTGATATTCTGAATTAGTAATTTCATCTCATTGTGATAACATGGTGTGGCAACTTGAACCGATATATATATACGTGCCAGGTTTTTGGTGATTATGACTAACGAGAACTTGTTGACGTCGGAAATCCCAAATTCCCATATGGATCCTAACAGAGTGGCTTAGAATTTGGGCGCTAGCTGTGAGATATGAATACAATATGGTTAAATAAACTTTTTGGCAGGTTCACAGACGTGGACTGTTGAAGAGTGCCATACCACGACGAAAGCTATCAAGATAATCCATGACCTTCGATGCTATCCCTAAATGATTTCAACTGACGAGGACAACCACTGAGGTGTTTTATTGTAATCAAGATAAAACGGTATGTAAAAACCACTCAAACCGAAGAAGAATAACTACAAAAGTTAAGTGGTACGTTTTAAAGTTTTATGATGATGAGCAATAAATTTTTTTAGAAATGTTATGTATTAAATAATTATGTTTCACTATAATCTCTGTTCAATAAGCTAACAATAAATATTTTAGTCAGTCCATTATATACAATGTAGGGCTTAACATATACATGGGCTCATGATGTTAAATTACATGAATATAGCTGCGGTGTATGCTGCTTATGTAAACAGACATTTGCAAATGGAGTATTTAATGTATGGTTATTATATTTTACCAAGAGATTCTGTAATTTTGTATTAGAAGAGAATTGGTTGTCCCACCTATGTTCTCGTTTATTACACCACAAGACTTAATGAGGCCGTGGTTTGGTTAAGTTTAAAGCGTTTGATTCTCAGCTACTAAGTGGGACATTCGAGACTGGCTCCTTTTACGTCGGTCTGGGCAGCTGAGTTTTATCACTAAACCCCCCGCACACATATACATACAATGTATGGTTCGAACCCGAATAAACGAATGTGCACTTGGTAAATGAGTTACTTTACGGCACGATGGGAAGTTAACATGATGGCAATGTCTGTTGCTTGTGAAAAAAGAGTATGATTCACAAAGAAGGAATAACTTTGTAGTATAGAAAGCATAAAATAATATAAATACTCAAGATATAGGGGAAGATATGTAGTGAATACATCTACACTAATACGATTGATTTTGAATTATTTCATCTAACACCATCTTTAAACATTGATTACGATTATTGCACACAACCCAATAAAGTATAAAAACCTATGAGCAACGTAAAATCAACAGATTTTTAATGCTGACTTATGTAGTATAAGGAATATAGGTATCTATAGGAGTAAACAGAAAGCACCTTTTAAAAAAATAAAGTTAAAATTCCATTCTGACAATCAGACATAAGTTGTTTATCGTTGTACTCATAAGTGCTACTGTAATAAGTAACTTTCAATTGGAACGAAGCGAATAAACGAATTGAAATATATTTTGATTGTTTTCGTGCAGTTTGGAAACCGGTTCGAAAAAAATGGTGCACACATACTCCAGGTTCTAGATGTTGGCATGAACTTGATGCGGTTGCTGGGCACAGAGACCGCACTTTCTGATGTTTTAAATAGAGTTGAGGATTAGACTTACAGATTCAAAGGCTAGAGGAGTAATGATCCAAAGAAAATCACTTGCTTCAGTTTGGAAATTCGGGTAAGCATTACAACTTTCAGATCATTAATGACAATCATAATGGTGTTGTAACTTGAGTACCTCACGTTGTGTTAATTAGGTTACTAATAATAATGGCATTATGTTTATTAGTATTATGAAAGATTTATGGAGATTTCCCAATTCGCACCTTATATACCAGACTAACTTGTACTAGACAACAATTTAGGACTAGAGAGAACTGGATAGTTGTTTCACCCCAGTATGAGACTCCTCAGCGGTGTACACCGATAACCTAATCAAGCATTGTAACTAGGACCTTCAGACACGATGGAAAGTGTGTTATCTGTAGATGACTAACTATTAACATCCAATGGCTCACTTCCCACTTCAGTAGTCTCGCAACATTGTCATCGCAATTATCATCGACAATGCCTAGTCTTAATGTCGACATATGTGAACTTCATCATCCATGGGTTCTGATTATTAGAACCTTGAGAATTCTTTGAGATACTACTCACTAGCGAAGACAGGATTACAATCATTAGGATAAGAGGAAAGATGAAAAATTAGATACTAACTCAGTGGTCTGCAAGGCGAATCATTCACTGTAAGATTTAAAGGTCATTAGTCTGATCACTGATTGGATTGTAGGTATGTACTGTCTACGAGAGAAGTCTCATACGGACGATAACTGTCCAGTGTTTTATGATTTTTTACTGGCTGTTTAGTTGAAATCATTAAATGATGTAAAACTATATTCATTAAGTTGTTATTATCATTTGTCGAATAAATGTTTACAACCGTATCTCAAAATTAAATTAAACAAATATTATTATTATTATCATTATGTGATATCAAATATTTTTATAGGTGAACTTTCATTGGGTTTGTGGAATCTTTAATTGTGAACAAAGAAATAAACTAAGATTTTTTACTAATGTGCAGATTTTTTGATAGAAATCTTGAAAAGGACTACAGTTTAAGCTACAACAACAACTGGAAACACTAATTGAGTAATTGAACACAAAACTATGACTGAAATAATTAGTCTACGAGTTAAAGCATTCATTATTTAAACATGCATTTTATACACAAGAAATTCCATATTAGAAATAACCCGCTAATGTAGAAAACATCGTTTTGCTGACAAGATATCAACAAACTGAAAACCACTATTACAGTTCACATCAAGGAATGACATTAGTCAGATAACTATTGGAAATCAAGAGGAGTTGGATGGCTATGTCGTTCAATTCTGAGATTTCTCTAAGAAGTCTATATCCACGAACCCACACAGGGATCGAACCTGGAACCTACGAGTCTAACAGTGAGCGCTAAACCTTTAGATCGCTGAGCCAGGATCCAATGTTTTACATCTCTTAACTTCAGTCAATTTGCAGTATGATTTTAACTGAGTAAGGTCAACCCGTAATGTAAACTATGGAAATCCGATGATCTTGACAAACACTATAGTAATCACAACATTCTGTTAGATTTGTAAAATTTATTTTATGCTGTAAAATTGATTAAAGTATCATAGCAATGATACCAAAGTAGAATTAGAAAGATCACATTCTCTTTTTATAATTAAATTAAACCACCAAGATCATTTCCACTGAATTAAAAAGATTCGTAAAACTGTTGTCCATCTAAAGTTAATTTGATGTACCGTTAATCAAGTGTATCGAAACAATAGACGAACTATTAAAGACGGTTTGCCAAAGTCATTTAAATAATAATGGACGATCAGTCAATAGTTTGATTGGTCAAAAAGGTTTCACAAGTTTAATCAGACGACTTGGACTAATAATTACAACAATAATTTTGAAACAAAAATAAACTGGTCCAA